TAAAAAGAATTCAAATAAAAAAGATTCAAATAAAAAAGTTTGTCGGTCGTCGCGAGCAGGATTTGAACCTACGCGGCCGAAACCATATGATATCTTATCTGCTTCGGTAAGGAAGCATTTCGAGTCATACCCATTAACCACTCTGGCATCGCGACATTTTACCTGATTGGATAAGCAAATTTTGAGTTATATAATCATATCTAGCGCAAAACACGTACGGCCCCACAACAAGCAATCACATCGGCAGAGATTCGGGTCCTTGTCAAGCTGTCATTGAAGCTTCAAGCCAACACTAGAATTGATGCTCACCTTAAATTGTAAAGGCAATCAACGGTGCATTTTTGATACTTTAACGGGAGAGTCCCATTGATTTTTTCGTATCAATTTAGTTTGCCGACACACCAGCATCCCACGATGCCGTCCTCGCCCTCTCCACCAGAAATTTCTTCTCAGACCACCACTACATCACCACCCTCCTCAATCGCAGCACAAGCTCAATTAATCCACACAGTATCTCTGATATCCGTCGTACTTTGCCCCGTAATTCTCGCTCTTCCGCCGCGGAAACTCGATGTCTACAGCATATTACTCGTCTCGGGGACGTTTGTAGGAGGAAACCAACTCGCGAGAGAATATACAGGTCGGAGCATCGTTCAGCGTGTACAAGAAATACCTGCGCGGTGGCCTAGCAGTGGCAAGGCGGAGAATGTAATAAGAAAGGAAACTCCCTGGCTAGGTACGGATGGGGCTCAATTAAAAACAACGAATCCTCTACCAATCGAGAGGAATAAACACGGTATCCTTGATGAATTACAAAAACAGAAAGCAGCCACGGGAACGTCTCAGAAACCGGAATGGAAGCAAGAACGAGATAAGAGAGAAATAGAAGCCGCGGAAGAAGGAAAGGGCTACGGGGATCTGATAACGGAACAAATCTGGGAAGTGTGGAATTGGGGCAGAGGGCAGGCAGAGGAGCTGAAGGAGAAGGACGAGGAGGTTGTGAGAGAGGCAAAAGATCATGAGAGGGAGAAGAAACAGTGATATTGAGCTTTAATAAATGCAAAGAGGTGCGTCACGACAGAGGTGTAAAATGGAAAGGCCGCCGGGAGAAAGGCATAATACAGTTGAACCAGGACAAATGAACGCCATCGGTCGCAGTAATTCATTCTGGAAGACGGAACGACTGCCGTCTACTAGCACAGCAACTGGCCGACGAAGAAAAAGATTGGAAACCATTTTGTATCGATATGGAAGGCATGTACTATTAATGTACCATCACTCGCGGAGGTCAAAATAGATGTCAGTCACTAACCCACTAATATTAGACGAAATAAGTCGACATCCAGTAGAGTTTAAAAAACCTTGTTTACTCATAATAATTGACGGAATATGTCATAATGTTCTAAATTGATGCACTAAATTACGATATTTCGTCAACCTAATCGAAGAAATATCGCGTTTCGACTGCCACTTATTTTGTCCACCGCGAGCATCACCCGACGCATTCCCCACGTGGCGAAAAATAATGTGCGTTACCGTCATGCACGGCCTCGTGGGAAGCTGTCACAGAGTGATTTAAATAAAACTCGATATAGAGCAAAGACAGGCGCCGACAGGTCGTCTTTAATTTCGCTAATCTTGTATAACCATCTCTCCATTCTTACTTCAAGCTCGATCACCCACATTCTATCTCGATCCCGAAGTCTTTCTTGGATGATTCAGAGATCAACCTATAGTTGTCACCTTGATCTGTGTCTTGTCAACTTCGAGAGCAACCTCTTGCTTATTTTTTGCGCTTTGTTCGATGTTACCGTTCTGCTCTAATATCAGTAATGACCGAGATGCCACAAACGAAGAAAGCTACCTGTTCTATATCAACACCCTCATCAAATGCCTGCCTTCTAATTCGAAGTCGCATCGTTTTGCTTGTGAGTTCCTTGGAGCGGCGGCCAAGTCGTATGGTGCCTCTCCATACCAACATGAGCGCATAAGCAATGAACCACCATTCCGATGGTTGTGGATTAAGATCTCTTCTCGGAAACACTTCAAGCTCTTTTGCCTTCTTTTGCCAGTTAACTCCTGAAGACTTTATCTTTGGTCTATTGGTATTCTCAGAATCGGTTGTCTCCGAATCATTCGCCAATCCGTCCAGTTTCAACTCCTCATTAGCCATTAAACATAGGATTTTGGCTCTCAAGCTATCGAATATTGGCTGACAGGTCGATATCACTAGCTTCAGATTAATACTATGAAGTAGGTCACCAAGCTGACAACCACCGTCACACCTAGAGGTGTTGCGAAGTCACGATGTCTGTCCGCGATGACAGGGAGACTCCAAAGGGACTATCGAAGTTAACAAAACAATTTCTCACTCGACATGAGGAACTTACTACGCAGAAAGCGAGAGGTGCAAAGAATATGCTGACGAATGTCAGAAGTCTGACATGTTCTGCCAAAATGCGAGACCGCCGCGCCTCAATCACACTGTTTGCGGAGAATAACTGTTCACTTGGTCAGACAAGGTTTGAGAAAGGGTCATTACACTCACTCCATCTCTCAATGCCTTGAATTCGTCGCGTTTCTGCTGGACCAGAGCCTGGACTACTCTCAGACGTTGAATCGCTCCATCCAGCCCTTGACCCTGAGTCGTCGCGCAGCGCATAGCTTCAGTCGTGCCTCGTCTCCTCTTGTTTCGATAAATTTAGCATACGACACGAACGGCGAGGTTCTCATTGTCGCCTCATAGTACTGCCGGATTCGACGCTCAAGATCATTGTTATTAGCCGAAACCTCGCTCCGGAACAAGAACAATTCAGAAAGAAGGTCTCCTAGATTCTGCTCCAACGAGCCCAGGCAAACGACAGCCCATGCGTAGATACTAGGCTTTCGAAATGCCTCATCGTCATACAATAAATCCACATACTCGTCGCTTTCCAGAAAGCTTATGTCGTCGTCATTATTACACTGTCGTAGCACATAATCTCGCAGTTGCAGGCTCTGCTTTTCGATCGTTTCATATATTTGGAGTACGATCTGGATCTTTGCGTCTTGGACGTCGTTGAATGGGGCGTGTCTGGAGCTCGCGTACTGGATCGGACTGAAGCGAGAGCCGTCTCCCAAGAAGGTCGCGTACTCGTAGAAGTTTGAAGGGGCAAGGATTAGGAAAGTGAAATCTGATTCTTCTTGATTGGATGTCGCCGAGGAGTTTTCGGATATCAGGACCTGGTAAAGCTGTTAGCTTCGCATTTCAATCCCGCTGTTATGGTGGCCAATATAAGTAGCAGTCGAGACCCGGTGTCGTTTCAATCTAGTTTACGTGAATCTGCCTATGATTTTCAGTAAATATGAAATGCAATGACTCTTTAAGACTTACTGAATCTGAGCTGAGAGTATGGCATAGAGGTCGACAGGCCATCGACACTTTTATTGTCCAGCGCGGGATTGTGTGCTTACAGTAACACTTTTAAGTCTGAACCGCTTCTTACTACTATCAAAAGTTCCACTGGGGCCAATTCTCTGTTTCCAATCTTCCTCAACCTTCAGCGTAGGCTTAAACATCGTCGCATGAAACAGAGGCTGGAAACTCCTAGTAACATCCTGATTAATACGACCTAGTTGATCTTGTCTTGCACACGTCATATGTTGAACCAACATATCTCGCACTTGTCCAGTTGGTCTGAAAGTATGATCGACGAGTTTTTCGGTGGTTTTCTGGTTGTGAAAGTCGGCGAAGAGGATGGGACATAGCTTTTCTGCTTCTATTTTGTTGTCGGCCCATTCGAGGTGCGAGAATCCCTCGCAGACACTGAGGTTGGTTAGTGCGATGCGGAGACGAGGATCGAGTACGGACATTACTCTTGCCCATGGGAGGACTATCGTGGGCTGACCAGAGAGTCGCGGGTCTTGGAAGTATGATATCGAGCATGATTTTCCTTCGCTGGATGATATTTCTCGAGCAGAGGGGTCAGTTTGAAATATATCGAAGGCTTGATTGACTCACGTCTCGGTGTTACATCGACCGTAGGATCATGTATTGGACTCAAAGAATAATCGAGAATATCAAAAACAACTGGCACTCCCAAACAACCATCCCCGTATGCACGATTGACCTTGGAAATCCTGACTGTCTGCTTCTCTATGGCGTCCAAAATAGTGGTCACTTCGTCAAGTGGAAGCTTTTCAAGATAGCTTTGCGAGAAAGGAAGTGGAAGTCGTCCATCTGGCCGGATTCGCATGCCGCCAGCGACAACGTTCTTGTACCGCTGTAGATTCTTGACGTCGGTGGAAATTACGCCGTTGATTTCTGGTTCGGGGATTTCTTCAATGTGGATGAGCGGATGATCCTGTCGATGACCGAGCGTAGCGATTCTATCGCTGCTATGTGTGCGCACGAGTGGTAACCCTCTCTTGACCGTTTTGCTAGCGTCGGTGGACTGTCCATCGTCGTCTTGCAGTATTGCTTTTTGTTTATGCTGTATTTGGGGTGTTGGCTGTTGCTGTTGCTGTCTTAGCAAACTCTTGATGCTGTACAAAGCATATAATATGCCAATGAGCGCTTGTTCTGATGTTGGAGAGTCCATACTGTGCAAGCAAGCACTTGCAAGTTTTCTTCAGAGCATACTCTGAATATTTTTCACTGTCGGTGCCATCTTGCATCAAGGGTATATGAGGATGAAGAAATTCGCCCCTATCTCTGGCTTTTTGATCAAGTGTGGTAGAACAAAGCTGCGCCATGAAATGCAGAGAACCAGACGACTTCCTCAACATTTCTTTCGTAACACGCTGTTTAGAACTTCAAGCACTACTCCCGGCCTTCAAAAGCCGATACTTGTTTGCCATGATTTACGTATCGGATTTCTAGTTCATACTTGGTATCATAGGCCATTCAGGTTGCCGCCACACATTTTGAGCGCTACGAGGCAGCCTCTTACCCAGGAAGCTACAACAGCGCTGTGACAACCTCGCGGTGGACAAAATAAGTGGCAGTCAAAACACGGTATTTCTTGGATTAAGTTGACAAAATATCGTTATTTAGTGGATTAATTTAGGACAATATAAGATATTTCGTGTATTATTTTAAGTAAATAAGACTTCTTACGCTCTATTCGAAGTCGACTTATTTAGTCTAAGATTAGGGGGTATGTGACTGACACTTATTTTGTCCTCCGCGAGACAACCCACATCGAATGAGCATTACCCAGCACAAGTCACCGCATGACACCAGCTCATCTCAACCCGTATTGTCTCAAGTATTTCCCCAGAACCATACTAATTAGGCAATTGTCGAGTTTCATGTTCTACTTTTACCGCCACGTGCAGATCTCGTGCGAGCTTGGCCGATATGTCTCACCACACATATGTTGTGAACTCTATGCAAATGGACATATGAACTGTCCATACTGCATTCCTTCCGCACAAGTGGGCTATTAGCTTTAGTTAGTCTTGAGGTTGTGATAGCTCTTTTACTGACACTAGGCTACACGTGGGGTGGGTTAAAGATTTTCTTTCACTGAGGATGATATACAAAATATCCAATGTTTTGTCGACATGATCGACTAAATATCACGTTTCGAATGCCTAATTATTTGTCCACCGCAAGGTCTATTACGATGATCTACGGTCGGTCTTATATCCCCTCGGAACAAGCTAAACATAGAAAGGAAATCAGGCCGTTTACAGGTTATCGTGTCTGATTTTTTCCTACTATTAGAAATTGTGTTCCTCCTTTTCCCCAAAAATTACATGGTTGTAAGGTCTTATATAACTTTGATCAGTTCAACATCATTAATCCTCATCTTCGCAAGATACCTCTTCTGCAGTTGGTGCCTTTAAATCCTCCAGAATCAACTTCAAGCCCACTTTCGACCGTCGTTGAACGTGTTCCGGATCCTTCTCGTCCACCATCAAGAACTCCATCCACTTTGCCAGATGCTCTTCGGCGCTCTGACGTACTCCCCCTTCTCGCAATCAGCCTCCACAGACTTAACCCAGCATTCCCGCCGAATAGCTCTTGCAAATTCGCCGTAGCCTGAAACAAAACCTATTCCTTCGAAGATCACATTTTCATAAAATCTTCCAATTAACATAATAACCCCGCATACCAAGAAGTTCCAAGCAACTGGTCCATAAGAGGTTTGAAGTTGATAACAGAAGAACATTAAGGCGATCTTGGCCAAATGAATTGTAGCCCCAATCTCCACAGCATAGTAAGGCGAGAACATATGAAAAGGGTTCCCCAGGTAGGCATCTGGATCTGCGATATATCGTATGAGAAAAGGGATTCGCATCTCTACGACTCCAAGGCGCCTCTCTTCTGGATCCCACACCATGTTGATTTTGCCGAAATAGAAGTCTTTGCGGAAGTTCTCCTTTAGAGTACTCCTGTCGTCCATTAACCCAATGTTCGCCGCACCCTTCCAATAATTTGGCTTGATCAACGCGAACGATTCCCAAGTAGTCGCGACATACACTAGGAGAGCGCCGATTACGAGAAATGTGTCGTTGTACCATTGCTCCTCCGGCTCATCGAGATAGCAAGCCAAAATCATTATCATAATGCAATCTACTAAGCATAACAATCTACGATGGATGCGGCGCATCTCCATGAACCGTGGAACAGCTAGCAAGTCTTTGAACTGTTTGCGAATTTCTAACTCATCGTCGATATTGTTGTTCTGTTGCGTTTCCAGAGTAGCGGCTTTGGGGGAGTCTTGATCGTGTGGAAGTTCGAGGTGTTGAATCGAGACGGCTTTTTCGTCTACGATGCTGGAGACCGATTGATATGGTGAATCCATAACTGTGTATAATACGATGGTAAATGATTGATGAAAGTTTTGGGAGAAAGACGGTTTCAAGGGAGGAATGAAAGGGATGATGCGGCTGTATATATAACCTGGTGAGGGTCAGAAAATGTTAGTCGACGGGAGTGGTGGGGACTAAAACTGAAAAATGACGATAACACAAGAGTCTAAACCACTTAGCTCATGGTCGGCGGACGACGAAATCTTTCATTCGCACTAAGTAAGGATTTAATTATATCATAACCTAAAAGTGCATATTTCAAAACTTCAAGAGAATGTTGGTACTTGACCACGTGACGAGAATCTGAAAAGGATCTTACCGTGTTTGCTTCTTGAACAGCGACAATAACATGCATTAATCAATCTAGTATACTTTTATATATCATGAATAATGATTTCAGTAGTTTCTTCCCACCAATTCAAGATCACTCAGCAAGGTGGTGTTTTGTGGTGCGCAAGTGTGTTGGAAGTCGGCTCCTTTGGACAGAGCCACGACCTGCTGCCCAAAACACCATCGTCACTCGATTCGGTTGAGCTAATTATATTGCGTTTTTAAGAAAGGTTAATTGTACTTCCTACAAAAGGAGCGTTGAAAAGCCGTTTTTTGACTATTTTAATACTAGCAATCGCACTTTTGGTGTTGTCCTCGTCTCCGATCATTCCGTAAATTCATGTCCAAATAGGGACTTGAAAGCGACTAATTCGCAGACCACATTGGCTCATCGCTCACCCCATAAATCATGATAAAGCCAAGATTGGCTTTCCCCATGTAGCTGTCCCCATGTAGCTGAAACTGTTGCATCTTCGGTTAAAGATTCTAGGCCCGAATGCACACCACTCGCGCGCGTAATATGGTGTGAATGTTGGTTGAATGTTGGATCCAACTTCCGTTTTCTCGTCATATTTTCCTGCTGGTTGCATCAACAATGTCCTTTGAAATTAAAACCGTGCCTTGATACTGGTACTTTGACATTATGTTACGATTTCCCGGAGCTGGACCGCTGCAATTCAAGCGTTTCCTGTTGACGAGTAGCCTTATTACCGCTGCGTTTTTCTTTTGGCTGAGATTGAATCGTTACAGAGAAACCGAAGTATCTGTATATGATTTTGCGAATGGTTTCCCTCAAGCTCCTTCGATACCGCACGAATCGCGAAGTTCACAATTATCTCATACCATCGACGCTGCTGCAACAAGTGTAATAGCACAATCCAGCCACGCTACAGGAGCAACACTGGTGTCATCTCCGATAGCAACAACACAGAAAAACAGTACCGAAAGTAGAGGTATTTGGATCAGGCGAGAGTGTTTGGTAAAAACAACCGCTGACATAATTAGTTGAAAATGCGACATTGCTAGCCCTGGCGCCGTTATACCACAAGGCCATATTTGACCCAGGGGATGAATCATTTCCACGACTAAAGTGTCCATCTTTAACACACAGTCGATATGATTACTTACAGGATAAACTGGGTAATGTCGCCTCCGGCGATCAAAAGTACTATTTCGCAATTAATCTGCACGATAGCATTCAGATCATTCCGAGATTACTTGGATCCGTAGTTGAGACGATGCGCTTCTTGGGATTTGATCGCTGCACACTATCCATTATCGAAGGAAGATCCGTAGATGGAACGTATGAAGTACTGAAGTCTCTTGCACCTGCACTTGGCAAACTCGGAGTAACATACCATTTCAACAGCAGTGATGTAAATCCAGAAGTTGGTAATCGCATTGGTAATTTAGCAGCTCTCCGAAATGATGCACTGGAACCATTGCGAGCGTCGCCCACATATGAGAATGCATCGGTGATATTCCTCAACGATGTGGCTATTTGTATGGAGGATATTCTGGAGCTAGTCCACCAACGCATAACGCTTGAAGCCGATATGGTATGTGGTATGGACTGGAAAAACTTGTGGAAAGATCCTACATTCTACGATGTATGGATTGCCAGAACTATGACGGGGGATTCGTTCTTTGAGGTTGGAGAAGACGGAAATTGGGATTCTGCTTGGAATCTGTTCTGGAGTGACGACAAAACACAACAACGATTCCAGGATCATCTGCCATTCCAAGTGTTCTCATGCTGGAATGGCGGTGCGGTGTTTGGTGCTCGTCCATTTTTCAAGACTGCGATTGAGTTTCGTGCTCCCCGGGAAGGAGAGTGCTTCAACGGAGAGCCAGCGATATTTTGCAAGGAGTTATGGTGGCTGGGATATGGCAAGATTGCTGTTATCCCGACAGTCAACCTCGAGTACTCTGACGAGGGAGCAGAATTAGTTCGAGAATTGAGAGGAACACCTTCGACGTTCACTCTCGAAGATGGGTTGTCGAAGATTGAGTGGGTGAAAGAACCGCCGGAGAAAGTCAGATGTGTGACCAACTACGATCAACAAACTTGGGGAGCCTGGAACGAGTCAATGCCTGAACCTCCCGCTCATTCATGAAGAGGAGACCTTGACCATGAATATCTTTGAGCCAAAAATATGGTTTCGAGTTGAAGTGACTCGGAGACGACGAATACCTCACGGTATGAGAAGAAGTATAAGGATTCGACACGCAGCCTTGGATTTTATCTCTATTCGGATTCTTCAGACAAAATTCTGGCTTCCGGTTGAGCTGATTCTGTGACGAGGAGTACCTCAAGCATCAGAGCTGATATAGCGCCTCGATAGTCACTCCAATCTTGCGCCTTAGATGTTATCTTTCTCCGGATTCTCGAATGTATAACATCATTCTCAGGGAGGATGAGCCGGCAAGAACATCTTTCTTGTCAGATTGATGATCTTGCCAAATCGACGATCCTAAAGTCCAAATCGATTTGCAGGATGGATGGGCTGTCGAAAGGACCGCTTCGTACAGGCTGACTGCGGAAAGACAGTCCGTCTCTGAGGAGCTGAGAATAGCGCGTGAGCTGTGCTCTGTCAAGCTTTGGACTGAAGGAAGAGTATCTTGAGAGCAAAGCCGAGGGCTGGGATGAGGGATTTACCAGACAGTTTTTTTTATCCTAGCAGGTCCACTGTGTGTTTATCATCGGCAACCGAGTGCAAAGCAACCATATAGCTCCACAAGAGAATATGGCAAGTGCAACCACTACACTACTCAAAAATGTAGAGAAATATTACCTTATTTAAGTATTGCAAGGATCTAGTCTACCAAAGCATGTTCTGGTGCGAGATACATTCAAGGCGATTTGCTATCTGCGTGTCGTTTCTCGTCGGCGGCGGACTGAATGAATGTGTCGCCCTGAACAATGGAAGTGACAGTAAAAAACGACATTTTTTGATAAATTTCACAGAACATGGTGTATCTGGTCTATGATTCTCGGAAAGCCAGACGTATTAAGTAAGACTTTGTTTGAAGTGAATTAACCGTCGCCATCAAAGTATCCTCGTTTATGAGGAGGAAAAGGGGTGTGGGGCGCCTTTGAAATAATGTGGACCAGAAAGCTTGAATTTCCGCTGTCATCACTGACCACCTGCGCAACACACAGACTCCTTTTTCCTTCCAACCCATCTTTACTGTTGCTTTACTTTTGGTTTCTGTTTGAGTATTTTGGCTTTTTCTTTCAATTCATGGACAGATAACTCCCCTGTTTCGTTATGATACCCCAGCGTGTTTGCTTTTGTCGCCAATTTTAGTTCCAACAATTCAGCTGGCGCAGCACAAACGAAGTCTCGAGTCACGAAGAACACAAGCGCTTGGCAACGTACAGACGAAGACTCGTACAAGAAAATCATGGCAGATATTAGAGACTTCTCACCAGATGCAGGGAGTGGCCATAAGATTCCTTTTCCTCCGCTTGATCTTGAATCAGGTGTCCCTCCCAGCGATAGCCCTGCAAGCGATCGTAAAGCGAGCTCCTCGAGTCGATCCGAACGGTCTGGAACGCGAGTTCAACCTTCACCGATACTGAAGCGCCGTCAAACCCGATCGAATACTGTTCGCACATTCGATACGATCGAGGAACATAGACCCAATTGGCACCCGGGGCAGGAACCTGGCCTGGACACTTCTCTTCCAAATGGTGGCCGGTCGCAGACTCCACTTCTGTACGAAGAGTGTCAGATAACGGTGGTGGACTTCAGTGAGAATGATATGGTCATGTACGACTTTTATACCAACAAGGAATTCCTCGAGTTTCTAGAAAAGAACCAGGAGGACTGGGTCCAGTGCCGATGGATCAATGTCAATGGACTCAGTTGGGATATTATTCAAGCGCTGGGTAATCACAAGAAACTCCACAGACTCGCGATTGAAGATTTGATAAATACAAACAATCGGACAAAAGCGGATTGGTTTGTCAATCTCTCCCTCTGGCAATTCAACGCTGACTCTGTCCCAGGTATACCGATCATACCTATATCGTTCTTACGCTCCAAAAACTCGTTCACATACACCCTGACAGCGATAGCAGCGATTCGGATTCGGATGGGGAGGCCAAAAAGGAGAGGAGCAAGAAACGAAAAAAGGGAGGGTTTATGAGACAGGCAAGCAAGACGTTGTTTGGATCCAAAACACAAAATAAATATTCGGGGAAGAGGCGAAGAGCGAAGGTGGTTGCAAATTCCCACAATCCGACAAGTGAATTTGTGCATGGCCACACAGATGGGGAGAAGGGTGCACCAATGCAGAAACTACGAACTCTTCAAAGATACCACGGAGGGCCCAATCACGAAAGAATGGCGTTTATGGAGTCTCACTCCCCGTTATATGAGAAGGACCTGGCTGTTAGTGCTGAACAGGTGTCGATATTTCTCACATCGGGTGAGCTTCGAAATCTCCTAATTCCTTGAAACCAGCTGCTAATTCATCTTAGACAATACCGTCATTTCATTCTTTGAATCCTCCGCCGATGATATTGAGCTTCCTATCATCCATCGTCTGGCTACTCCGGATACTCTCCTGAGGAGGTCGTGTGATGCATCCATGATCACGCAAGCAATAATCGATGCTATAATTGATTTGGCTATCCCGGTGGCAGCAGCTTATCAGGATGTTATTGGGGACCTTGAGCTCGAGGTACTCACCAACCCCGATATCAAACAGTCGAGGACGCTTTACGTGATTACGAGCGAGATTTCCATGATGCGTGCATTTGTCAGTCCAATCGTCAATTTGATTGACGCTCTCAGGGATCACAAGACCGGTGGGTTTGGGCCTCAGTACGGCATAAGGAGCAATTCACAAGGAAACAAGCTGGCGGTGAAGATCAGTCCGATGGCGCAGACTTACCTTGGCGACGTACTTGACCATTGTTTACAAATTACCGAATCACTTGATCAGATGAGACGGTCATGCGATAATATGATCGATTTGATTTTCAACACGATATCCGCCTATCAAAATGAATCCATGAAGCAACTTACTGTTGTCACGATCATCTTCCTTCCGCTGACTTTCTTGACTGGATATTTCGGAATGAACATTGTACGATTTCCAGCTATCGAGCACGATGAGAGCTATTTTTGGATAATTGCAATCCCGGTGGTGTTTGTTACTATGGCTTTCTTGATGCGGGACATCCTGAAATGGTGGTTTGTTAAGATAGTTCAGAGGCGAGGAATATCCAGGAGCCGTAAGACGAGATTGACTCGCGAGGCTACCATGAAGAGAAATTCGTGATGTCGAAACGCTCAGGATGCTTGGGTGGCATCTAGGATATTAGGGAAGAGTTGCGTTGGGAGTTGGATCCTATTATTATATTATGGTAAGCTATTTTGCTTTTGGTTATAAAATGCTTAGATACCCTGATTAGTATGTTAGACGTTGAACTTGGCTTTATTCGAGGAGTGTGATCGCATAAGAACATGGACAAGCTGAATCCCATCCTCTTTTTTGGCGGCGACATCGCTTAGTGAACGTGCTCGCGGAAAAAAATAAGTGGCAGTCGAAACACGATATTTCTTCTATTACGTTGACGAAATATCGTATATGTAGTGTATTAACTTGGAACACTATCACATATTCAGTCAATTATTTTGAGAAAATCAGACTTTTTAAAGCTCTATTCGAAGTCGAGACGTGGAAATGGGTTTAGGCCGGTTGAGGCTTGTTTTAAATGCGCCACCAGCTGCACTCGATCTCTTTAGGATCTTTTGGAAAAAGATTCCCGTACCTGAAGATCATCAATTGCATACGGACCAGCTCATCACATCACCTGGACAACTTGTTGTTTTAATCGTTTTTATCTATGCTCAATTCCAAGGTGGGTTTCATGCCCCTCCAGCTTCCAAGCGGGCTGCCCCGCGATTTTCCTTGGCAGATGACGTTCTGCCACGACCAAGTGGCGGGGAGGAACGTCATTACTATGGAGAGAGTCTGAGACTCTGTACGATGCTGTGGATTGTCACGGAAGATATGGCATAGAATAGTGTGAGGAGAGTTCGAATAAGGGTTGACAGAGATACGGGAGTGGTGAATATTGAATAAGTTAAGAGGAAAAAGCTGCTTGCTCGGTGACTCGCAATTAGGATAGCTAGTTAAGAGTACTTCACAAGAACCTCAATGGAACAAAACAAAAGCAACCGTGCCAAGTTTTCAAGATCCCTGGTTTCACCTCGTTGTAAACCAGTAGGAATAGACTTGCTTGCGAAGCTATAAGGTAGAGTGGATCATTGGAGCAAGATTCGGCCCAAAGACGTCAGTGTACTGCTCCCAGGCCGGGGTGATAAAACCCATCTTTCTCCCACATATTTCAGCCAAACATATATCAACAATAATTTATTCTCGAGTCATTTACAAATAATTAAGATCAGACGTCATCATAATGGAGACTATTAACAACATCACAGCTGCTGCTTCCAATGCGATTTGGGGACAATCAGAAGATCCGAAGAATCCAAACACAACTACATCTCAAACTACAGGAACACCCACAACCACAACAAACCCAACAATGTCAGGAAACACTTCTGGCCGAGAGCCAATTTCTGGTCAACTTGGTAACACCAGTGCTGGTGAGCCATATGACAGAGGCAATGTAGGCAAGTAACGTCCTTCAAAACGGATGACCAGCAAGCTGACCTTTTTAGAATCTTCCCCTACCACCACCCCATATACAGCAACCACAATTGACCCAAGAGTTCACACTGAGTCCAATGCTGGACCACACGGCTCAAATCTCGCAAACAAGGCGGACCCAAGGGTAGACTCCGACCGCGATGGATCCAGAACTGCAGGTTCGACTGCATACGAGCCTTCCAACACCATGGGAACACCACTCGGTGCTGGAAGTGCTGCTGTTGGAGGATCATCTGGCTTAGGCTCATCATCTACCACCTCAGGTCCTCACAGCTCAAACCTCGCCAATAAGGCAGATCCAAGAGTTGACTCTGACCGTGACGGATCTGGCTTCGGAAACACTAGCAGCAGCAGCAACACTGGAGTCTACAGCTCTACTTCATCATCTACCACCGCAGGTCCTCACAGCTCCAACCTTGCCAACAAGGCAGACCCAAGAGTTGACTCAGATCGCGACGGATCAGGAATTGGTAACACCAGCGGCGGGAACACTGGTTTCTATAGCGCTACCACCCACAACCCACTCACTTCCCGACCTGCAGATTCTAGCACTACCTCTTCCACAACACACCACACTTCCGGTATTGGCGGTATCGACTCTTCACGATCAACAGGAGATTACTCCTCATCCACAGGACATCATGGCTCTAACACAGGCCACCAGTCCACTTACGGCAGCACTGGAGGTGACACTAGCCTCTCAGCAGACGGTTCTCAAAGCATCAACCCAGGCCCAACTGGCTCAACTGCTGGAAAGTCCGTGGTTGATGCTTCGCAACAATCCAGAACAAGCACTGGTCCAATCGATGCGGTTGGCGACAACACCCCAAACACCCGCCCATTCTCAGAATTCGGTGGTAACAAGACCGTTCCAGATTCTGACAAGACTGGTATTGCTTTCCGTGAGCCTGGTCCAACACCTTCCAGAGGCCTTCACCCAATTGAAGGTCAAGGTTCATTGACTGGCGCTCACTCCCACCGTGGCTCCGGCGCTTTCCAGAATACTCAAGATACCCACGATACGCTGCACAAGAGAGATCACATGGATGGTGCCGATCACACACAAGATCGCAAGTTGAGCAGCGCTACAAGCGCTACAAGTGGTTCCGGACGCGCAGGATCTACGGCTGGTATTACTGGAAAGGGAACGCCAGGTGGTATGCCAGAAGTCGTCGCTCGGGATTTGGAGAAGATTAAGACTGGAAAGGGAAAGCCACCAGGAGGAAGTGATGCTGAACGTAAGTCGCTTCTCAAAACTCGCTTGCTAAAAGGATAGCTAATGATTTATAGTTGGTCTCGATGAAGCTCACGGAGGACCAAAGGCTACCTCTAAGGAAGGCGCTCACGGTGCACACGGTGAGGAGAAGATGGGTATGATGGATAAGATTAAGGCTAAGTTGCCAGGGCACCATTAGATTATTTCTGTTGTATATTAGCGTATATGTAATACCATAATTAGTTATGATAACCTGACGATCCATTCTTCTTATTGCAAAAGCCTCACATTTCATTACCATTATCAGTGCCTAACAAAAACATGATCAATGACTTTCATTTCTCTCTTCATTTTCTACCTTCGATTCCAAATACACCAAGTGAGGGGACTGCACTCCCTTTGATGGATCTCTAGCTCTGCACTCCCCATCATTTAACCGCCACTACCACCAGTGTGTTGCAAGTCCGACAGCACACCCCCTGAGAGTGGAACAACGATGTTTTGCCCATGAATTACAATTACTCAGTAATTTCGAGTAAATAGACATATTGCCTCCATTGCAAAGGAGAAATTTAATTGCTTAGGAAAGGAGTATTGGAAAGTCGGTTCAGCATTAATACTCGAAGGGTGTCCCGTCGGTCTTGTGATACGCTGGTGTACTGATCGGTTCCAAGAAACCTTCTAAGAAATTCAGAGCTCAAACATTGCTTCAATCACGAGCTTGCATGTTGATGTTCAATTGATGATTAGGGCTGCATGACAATAGAGATTTGTTCGCTGATGTTGTGCAACATGGGACATCAGCCTGAACAGAAAGTATTTGAATTTCTCGAGGAGGGTACGAGGGACTTGGAATGATTGGTGCCATACTATGTGTGATTCCAAAGGGTTTCAATTTGAAGGTCTTGGTTTTTGGATCAAAAGGAGAACATAAATGCTAGATTTGCAAAGTTGAGTTTGTGGAGTTGTCCTTGCAATTTCTGTCCGAGCATCAAGATGTTCAAATTATTTCTTCAGTTGGTTTTGCTCTTTACAATAGCATCTGCATTGCCAGATACAGATATTCAAAAAAGATGGTCTACAGCCGAATACTCAGAAGGAAAGTTCCTACCTATTCCAAAACGATGTCAGTCATATTGACGGTTCAACAGCCTGCGGAGGCTACCAAAGCGACCTCTCCCGAATGCTCACCCCGTTCGTCTTCGCTCAACTCAACTTACATTGAACTAACACTTCAAGCACCCAATCCTTTGACGCATCCTCATGGTGCTCAGTTTACCTAGCTCCGACCAACTTCTACGTAACGAAAACAGGCACCACCACACTCCCAATCAGCACATACACAACCAGTCCAACAACTTACATCACAACATACATCGAAATTTCCACCTCATCCACCCTCTCCGCTCTCTGTCCCACAGCACCCTCACCCCAATACTGGTGTCGACTAGCCGACAGCAAACGCTTTGAATTTCTGATCGGCGAATACAAAACGGATGACCCACCAAAGTGTCAGGAACTGTGCTTGAGAGATCCAAAGTGTAAGAGCTACACAATCAACGAGGAGCTGCCCACCACGCGGACTTGGGATTGTAGGTTGTGGAATGAGACAGCGGGGAATGGTAATGGCGGACCGAGGAGCGAAATAGGTGTGCTTTATGATCGGGATTGCGGATACTTGTTTCCTGTACGTCCTTCACTTTTTCAAAGCTTCTATGGAACTGACTTCCTTAGAAATGCTGTTCCTCCCTCCCCACATCAAAGCCAACCATCACACCTACATCAACACCACCCATCACCGCCCCTCCCTCCCTCAGCACCGCTCCGCCTCGCCAAAAACGCGATCACACTCTCCCCTGCGGAAACGGGTACTGCGATTACCCGTACTGGCTCGAGATAGACGACCAGTCCATGTGGTATTACTGCCATTGCATTATCGAGACGCCGAATCCTGCTAGTAGTCTCACGTGGAGCGATAATGTGAGCGTGAATCTGCCGCAGGTGACGGTCACGGCGGCGTTGCATACGTATTGGGTGACGAGGACGACGTGGTTGAATCATGTTACGGTTTGTGAGGGGTTGGCGACGGGGAGGTGATGGAAATCATGTGGAGGTTGGGGTGGGATGTTTGGGCGTGTGGTTGATGGGGCTGGTCACCTTTGTTACTCGGTTATGTGTGGTTCTAGTCTATTAGCGGTCTCTTCGGAAGATCCTGTAATGCAGAAAGAGCGATGTATTGGAATAACCATTGTTGTCTTTGGGAAGATCTGGAAGATGGTGGGTGGTGTATCCGGACTCGCGATGGACGAAACGAGTTGTAGTCGAAATCTAATGCCTCTTCGAACAAGTAGACGCAACAAGTCATGTATCGTCAATTGCTTATCGTAAACGATGCACCTATTCCGATATATTCTAAATCATGATTGACGTCCACAAAAAGTTGACTGGTCATGCTTTGTTTTGTCCGCGATCCGGGTCTCGGTGAAACATTAATCCGCTCCCTCCTCAATCCCGTACTTCATCTGGGGTTACTAACCCTTTTTCCACCTCATCTTGCATCCCACGAACATTGAGCCATCAAACAAGTTCAATTCTCTTTCAACTACTTCTGTTCTCTTCAAGTTAAATTCTTAAGTGGTCCGTCGAGTCTTGCAGCACACATATCAACTTTTTGACATTCTTACGCGTTACCGGACCGGGATTGGCTATCAAAGAACGAGATGCTTGGATCATTCGTACCAATAGCAGACATGTTTCTCATCCTGCATCGATGTCGCTGTCGACTCGCAAATCTCATCACTTATCAGAGCCGCTGAAGGATTCCAGGTTTCCTTGCAATACTTTAACTCGTCCCACGACTAGAATTCCATAAGCGTCTCTATGGCACTTTCTGGTGCCTCGATTGACCCATGGGGACTTTCACTGGCACTCAGTCGATTGAAAAACGCATCGGTTCGAGCTCCGTCGCTCCCTTTGGGTAGTCTGAGAAATCCAACCCCCAGCACCCTCCAACAGGACGCATTTGATATCCCTCTGAAGACTTCGAATCGCTATCCCTACATTCCTCTGGAACCAAGCAAGAATCAGATTCGAATTCTGCGTAGAAATTCTTCGACGGATACGGGACCCTTGAAATTTACAATGCAGGCGGTATCTTTGGACACTGAACCCACTTACGAAGCTCTGTCATATACCTGGGCTGACGAGACCGGCAACACGGATCAAGATGAAAGCGTCATTATTGATGGGCAAGCGATTGCGGTGACTCGAAGTTTGGAAGCTGCGCTGAGGGCTATTTTTCTCGACGATCCGACAAAAGCTTTGTGGATTGACGCTATTTGCATCAACCAGGTGGATGTCCACGAAGTCAACGAACAAGTACGCAAGATGAGTACTATCTATGAGAGTGCAAGCGGCGTTATAGCTTGGCTTGGAGGCGACTATTCTAACTCGACAGAAGCAATCAAGTTTTTGCGCAACTTCAACAATAAGACAGTGGGCGAGTGCATGTACGAAACTTCAGGGCCCTGGCCCGATGATCTCATCCCTTCTAAAGAAGTCATTCATGGTATTATTGGGATTGTACAGCTATTTGCACGGTCATATTGGACCCGGTGCTGGGTTGTGCAAGAGATTGCATTCGCAAAATCCGTGGTGTTCAGTGCGGCCCCGAAACAATATCCTTTCATGACATTAACATTTTCTCTTCTTCATCTGCGCTCGACAGTGCCCTTATGATTCGAGCTTTGAATATCGCAAATGTCGGATACTTACTGAGTGGACTATACCGGGAGGGGCCCATAGGCATAGATCACTCAGACCATACTAAAATGGATGCGCCGCTTACAGCAGTTGGAGCGATTTTGAAAAGACATCGTCGAAAGATATCAGCAGATCCACGAGACAGAATCTATAGCCTTGTTAGCTTGATAGCACCAGAGAAACAGATTAGGATCCCAATTGATTACAGCTTAGAAACACAGCCTCTCTTTGAGATGGTAGCTACTTTCATCGCGACCGAGGAAAAAGATTTAAGCATTTTATCCGAAAACAAGACGTTCTGTTCGATTGATTCGGAAGGGAACAAGGTCAATTCGTACTCTTCTTCCCCGTCTTGGGTTCCGGAATGGCTTGCCACTGCAGGTCCAGACAAGTACCGAATAGATGAACATGATCAATCCATGGGCTCTTGTTGTCTCAATATGGTTGGAGAATCTATTATCCATAAAAGAATGCTCATCACGAGGGCACACATCATAGGCAAATCACTGAAGTTGGCAAATTGATGCCTGGTGAGCATCCCGACTTGAGCTACCTCGAATTCTTCGATCCACTCTACAACTGGTGGTCAATTTTCCATTCCCTTGGTAAGAGAGATATGTTTAACAAGCATGGATTTGCAGACTTGGTCAACTACGGGGACTATTATAAGCAGTGCGAGATGTTTCCAGACCTTGCTATCGTCCATAATGACAACCTGTCTCGACAACTCACGATTCTGTTCTCCGTTTACTTCCCTGACGACAAAACTTGGCTGCCGGATTTTGATAGGGAGACTCTCATCACTGAGGAAGTGAAAACCCGGGCAGAATCAGCAATGTGGCGACTCATAAGGTGGTGTGGGAAACGGAAGATTATCGTAGTTGAGAATTCAATTGCTGGGATGGGACCTCAGTGCGCCGAAACCGGGGACATTGTCGCCATTATTCCTGGATGCAAAGTACCTGTGGTTTTGCGGAATGCGAAAAGTTCCGGGGACGAATACTACAACGTAGGCGACTGCTACGTTGAGAACATCATGGACGGTCAGGCTATGAAGGATATTGAGAGTGGCTCGAAGTCTTTCGAAACGATCAAAATTCTTTGATCAACCTGCTAGAGAAGATATGGCACTTGACTAGGCTCGCTCGTAACAGGGCTGAAGAAGTACTATTTACCGAACATCATAGACAAAATATCGATATTGTGTCAACTAGATGAAAGAAATCAATTCGAATGTCACTATATTGTCCACAGCGAGCCAGTCAAAGCAGGTGGCTCCCGAAACAGTCGATCTACGACGAACCTTTCACACAAAGTGCATTTTCCTTGCACTCAGCTTTGTCTCGCGACTAAGTTGATATTTGGTAGGGTCTATTGATCTTGAAAATGTTGAATCTGTTTTCTAACACTAGTAGGGTCTCTTCTCAGAATAACCTGTGGTATTCGCAGCCTTTATTCCACGCCTGATCAAGAAGTATATCTAGAAAGCACATTCTGCAGCATCTTCCCTGACTTTAAACTCCACGCAAGTACCGAGATCTGGAATCAACACATCATACATGCTCGAGTTTGATGGTCTCACTCGTGAGTCATTTGCAAAGCGAATATGGTATCGTAGGAGGATATTTGTCACGATCATCTTCATAGAATGATCTGCAAAGAAACGACCTGGACAGACAATCTTTCCGTGACCGAAGTGCAAGTTGTTCTCGCTGGTTGTTGTGAATTCTGTTCTTGGTTAGAAAGTATTCTCGATATGGGGATTGGATATCCTTACGATGCCAGTTACTTTCGCCCTCACGCTTTCGGTTGTTGAATTGGCGTAAACCATCAAACTTCTCAGGTTCTGGAACTCGGTTTGGATCGGTACCAATAGCATATGTTGCCATTTGAATGTGAGCGCCTTCTGGAAGGATAACACCATCATGAAGAGTGACTGGTGTGCGAACGATTGCGTTGAAGCCGACTACATCCATTGTTAGTATTTATTGTCAATAAGTTTGTGTCGACCACGGAGTGAATATCTCAAGACAAAGGAGGTACTAACGTAGAGTAGGAGGACTCAATCTTTGAGATTCTCGCATGAAAGAGTCCATCTGCTTCATTTCATACAAAGCCTGCTTCGTGTAACCATTCTTTCGCAGAACTTGCAGAGCTTCCTGTCTTAATGGCTCAACATATTCCGGATGAACACACAGATCGAACAACACTTGTGCGACAGCGATGATGGTGGATGGACCAGAGCCGAGATATGTGACCATCAATCGCTGAACAGTAGTTTCATCATCGTCATTTATTTCAACGCCACCGTCCATCAAAAACTGCAGAAAGTCCTCTGGCTTCTCGTATGAAGGGTCTTCCTTCTCTCGTCGTCTTCGTTCGCGGATCAAAGGAATAATCATTCTCTTGGCCTTTCTCAAAGCGGAGTCAACACCCCAGCTTGTGGGCAAGAAAAAGGCAACCGCTGGCTTGATTCTGTCGGGAAATACGCGCAAGAGGAAGTTGTGCTTGAAGCCATTTTCGGAATACTTGACAGCAGTGGAGAGGTACTCGTCGTCCTCAGCAAGCTCGGTAACGAATTGCGTAGCAACTCCTCTGTGTACCAGTTGTCGAGCAAGATCCAGAGCGTTGATGCTTGTCCAATCATTTTCTGTGGCCGGCACATCTTTTGGCAGGTACTTTCGAATTTGGTCTTGTACAAGTGGGACGTGATGACCGAGCTTTGGTGTCAGACGCGTGTTGATCATACGGGTCTGCAGACTGTGATCTGTGATGACCGCCGTGATCGAGTGAAGTCGTTGGAAGGCGTCAACGATGGCAGTGTTCAAGCTCAACTTCTCCGGGGGCATGCTGGCCAACTCTTGGAGGTACTTGTTCGGAACGATTAGGAGATCATTACCAGATACCTTGAAGAAGTTGTCCTTGTACTTCGCATACCCCTCGCGAATCATCGCTGGGCCATTTCTGAAGAACTGCCATCTTCCTAAAATACCGTTCTGGTATCCGATAATTGGCGCATCGAAGTCATAGTTGCCATAGATATTGGGTCTGTTCTTGCTTCCGCGGGACAGCAGATACCAGGAAAACACCAAAAACCCGACGAGGGCAGTGACTGTTGAGGTCGGTGAATGAGTAGAGGTCTGGATCAAAGTTGCATCTCCAAGCACCTGGCTCGTGTTTGAAGTTACGAACTCCATATTGAATCAAGGTAGGCCTGCTACACTTTGGTTACTTTGGTATGTTGTGTATCGAGGTTAATATCTGCTAATTTTTCTATCATCTTCTAGGAGGAGACACAACCATATATGCGTCCGTGTGCTCGACTAGCTTAAACCATGGGGTTCTCAGGCATCTCCTACCCCCACCTATAATCAGAAGCCAGCAACCTTCTCAACTTCAGGGTTTTGGCCACCAGACACATGGTTGGATGCCTCTTCATGTAGCTTACGTGATGCGTCAAAATCCAACATCATCTCGACCTCTTGTTCTTATTATTTTCCATAGCTTAACCCCACAGTGAGCCTCCGTCTTTCTAAGCCATCAATGGCGCGCATACGGAACGGCTCGCCTCGACACCGCCTAAAACCCACATGAGCCAATTAGCAATTCAACGTCGAAAAGGCATGTGCTAGTTGTGCGGCGGCTTACTCCATTGTCCACTTTATTCAGACGACAGACCATTCATCTTTGTCCCTCTACAATCGACAGGCAGACATTACACTTAACCAAGGTAGTGTCGGGCTGACTGCTTAATCAGTCAGATAATATCCCTGGCAGATGCGATGCGTAATGCGATACAGAATGCAGAGATTCGATAGTCGACCTCGCGTAATCGAATAGGATGGAGACTAGAAACCCCAGCTACGTTGGGTAACTGTGAGCTGCACGTATTGATGTTTGGCTAGTGACAGCGTTAATGACTCGAATTTAGCTGTCAAACCTCGTCTTTACATTCGCCTAGTATAGTGGGCGTGTGGTTGAAGTTCTCCCGCTTTCTGTATGTTTTGTTATAACTCTAAATTCGAGGTGGCTCTTGCTACTTAACTTGAGTTTTCTCCCTCCTCACATGGAGTGATATCGGCATCAGGAGTTTTAGAACATCTTCCCTTGCAATGATCTACGGACTTTTATACGGAATAGGCGCATTGGTTGCAGTCGCCTACGCCGTGGAATATGTCTTGACTCTAAGAGATGATTCTACTGAGCCACCCCGTTTACGATCAAAGGTACCTTTGATAGGGCATATACTTGGAATCATTACCAGTGGTCCTTCATATCACAGTCAATTAAAGTAAGACTACTTGACCCCAGACTTTGAGCTTAGAATAGCAAAGAGATAACTCTAAATTAACCTGGTATAGGACTGCTCCCAACACGGAAATCTTCAGTCTAGGCATCTTCAACTTCAAACTCTACACAAGTGTTTCAACTCGACTTTTACCGGCCATTCAAAGGCAGTCAAAGACATTATCCTTTCGGCCTATGATCCAACATGTAGCTCGCAGATGGGGCGATGCCAGCGACGAGACGAATGAGATTTTCGGTGGCCCGACTCTTGTAACCGATTTCAGCCATGCGATGAAATTGAGTCTCGCCCCTGGACCGCATCTTGATGAACAAAACGAAAGGATGGGGCTGAGGGCGCTAGTCGACATTGAAGAGCTGTTTGGCACTTCACGTAAAGACCCACAAGGCGGTACCGTTAGATTCTTGGAATGGTCTAGGCATGCAGTAGTTCAGGCATCTAGCTGTGGAGTCTATGGAACCTCACACCCATTTCTTGACACCGAGGTTGAGAAATCATTTTGGTAAGCCATCTGTTGTAGCATATCTTGTAATAGCTCACTACATATGAGAAACTGCAGTGCTGACACGTGCAGGAAATGGCACGCCCACCTCTCCGCTCACATCTCGGGATTGGATTTCGACATCTTGCGGACTGGATACGCGGCTCGGCAAAAAGTGTTTGATGCACATACCAAGTACTGCAACGATATTCCACCGGATGCATCGCTACTTTTTAGAGAGCGATGGCGGGTCTTGCGCGAATCTGGAGTTTTTGAAAGTGATTGTGTGAAGCAGCAAGCCACGCTTCCTATCGGTATGTTGAGTAATACAGTACCAACTTTTTACTGGACTGTTTGGGAATTATTTTCTCGCGATACGGTCCTCGCAGAAGTAAGAGAGGAGCTAAGCGCAAATGCGGTGACCAAAGAAGACGACGGATACGCACTCGATCTCGCAGCCCTGAAATCCAAATGTCCCCTGCTCTTATCGGTATTCCAAGAGACCCAGCGAGTCCGACATATTCACGCCGCAATCCGCAAAGTAATGAAAGACACTCTACTGGACGGCAAGTACCTTCTCAAAGCAGGGAACTACCTGCAAATGCCCGGCGCTTCTATCCACCACAACACGCAAATCTGGGGACCATCAGCCAAGCAATTCGATCCCTATCGCTTCGTCCCATCAGGGAAGGCCGTTAAACATGGCGGCAGTGATTTTCTCGCCTGGGGCGCTCCCCCACATCTCTGTCCCGCAAGGCAGTTTGCGGCGACAGAAATCCTGATCCTGGTCGCGCTTCTAGCTTTACGAGCAGATCTGCAGCCAATCAGCGGTCGCTGGGAGACGGACCCGAAACTCGATTTCAATGATCCCGTTACGGTGTTGAATCCGAAAGTGGATGTGCCATTTAGCGTGAGGGAAAGGGAAGAGTGGGCTGGGAAGACGTGGAGGTTGTGTATGTCGGAGAGCAAGATTCGTGTCCCGCTTGCGTCTGGATAAAAGATTCGTTGGTTGGGGGCCGATGAACGTTGTGTTGTTGTCTCGTCGGTGCGGGGTCCTCGTACATGCGGAGTCAGCGGCTGAAGAAATTTCGACATGGCAATTATTATTATTCGCATGTTTTTGATTGGCAGGCTTGGCATGGAACACACTTTTCTTATCTGACATTTACCTCGACAGAATTGTTCCACAGAAATTCATGCAGTCAGGCTCGAAAGTGGTGAAAAGATGCGACGGAAAAGATTTTGTGATCAGTGCGAGTCGTCCAGTCGGCGAGGAAGTACCGTAATCATGAATCCGTCTCACCCGCCATTTTCATATCATCCCGCTTCGTCTGACCACCATGACGTGCCGTTGTTGCAATTCAGAAATCGAAAGAGCTTGCTTATGGTGCAATCGTCGGCAGTGGTAGGGTGGTCTGTACAGGCCCTGTCCGGATATGTTGTATCAGCGACAAAGTCTAGACGATTACCTGTGAGTGCATTGTGAGAATGACAGGACACCCTTTAGTGCGTCAATGCCAGAAAACGTCTCTAACACGCTTTCTGTCAACAGGCATATTTACGCTTTAAGAACAGAGGTAACCTTGTATATCCACTCAGAGTGATTGAGCAAATATAGCTTTTTGGGCAGAACAATGTTTATCTATCGTAAGAGGTGACGGGGTGTCCTGTCAGACTACAACAGATTAGCGGAGGGTCCCGGTAAAAGTAAACGTGCGTGAGTATGATCGAGGATGGAGTATTGTTTTCTATTCTATTCTAAATTATTAAACCCTGAGCTGGTATGGTATCACTAATTACAAGTAGCTCTATGTGCGTTTGGTGAATACAAGAGGACATCCATCCTAATTCAGAGTTAGTGAGAAAACAAAAGCCGGAAGTTTAGGAACACATACCATAGGAAACAAAGTCGCAAACACCCTAATCTCCTCGGACCTCTCAGTAGCATGGTGTTTCCAATCCAACTCCAACGCCGCCTTCCCAATCATGCCCGCCATCGTAAGCGGAACGTATCGTCTCGCCAAACAATCATGTGGTCCCGCGCCAAACACAAGCCAGTTCTTGGTCTTGGACTCCGCATCGCCTGTTATCCAGCGCTCTGGGTCGAAGGTGTTTGGATGGGGATACACTTCCGGATCGTGCAGCGCTGGGTAGCACGATGGGATAATCATGGAGCCTTTGGGAACCGTGTATTCTGGTGTTACCGGGAAATCTTTGGTCGCGAGGTAGGGGACGAAGATGACTGGGGGTCTGTGACGGAGGAGTTCTTTGATTACGGCCTGTGTGTAGGTGAGTGATTCTAGCATTGGTAGGTCGAATCCTTTATTCTTGTCACCGCCTCTTGCTGCGAGATTTTCTTCGCGGAGACGGTCGAGGACGTCGGGTCTTTGGGCGAGGACTTGGAAGAGCCAGGTTGTGGCACTGCTGGATGCGTCTTGCGATGCGAAGAGAAAGGTGAATAGCGTTTCTCCGATTTCCATGTCCGTGAACTCGCGGATTAAGTTTGATGGTTTCTCTACATTCTCCTCTCCAGCAGCGACTCGTTCGAGGTACTTCTTTGATTCCAGCATGTGTAGTACCCAGTGGTCTACGATGCAAGTTGGCGTTCCGCCGAGTGCCATGTTCGCTTTGCATGCAGCTGCGCATTTCGCGAATTCGAGATGCACTGCATCGGCTGTTCGTTTGCCGTACCATGGTTTTGTGAAGGGGACATAGAGAGATAGAGGGACGTTTACGAGTTCGAGAGCAGCGGTTGCGAGATAGAAATCGTCTGCAATCTTTTTGACTGCGTCTTGGGAGATGTAGTCGCCAAAGAATGTTCGGCATGAAAGTGCACAGTTGATCTCGCGGAATAGGGTCATGAATTCTCGTGGCTTCCCTTGTTCAGCTTTGCTAGCATTTACGAATTTGTCGAAATAGTCGGACAAGACTTTGTGGTGGACGGGAAGGTAGGTTGCCATTGCCTTGTTGGTGAAGAGAGGAGTGAGTCCTCTGCGGTATTCGGCGTGTGCCTTTCCTTGGAGAAACACCCACGCTTTGTGACCTAGAATGTCTTTCGCGATAGGGACGATACATGGCTCGGCGTATGCGGGTGATTTGAAGACTTTGTGGGCAAGATCTCGGTCGGAGGCTAGAACGACGAATCTGATTTTCAAGGTGTTGTTAGCAAAGTTCAGAGTTCAGAATGGTTCTTTCTATGAAAACAACAGTAGCACGTACTTATGGAATACTGATACACAACTGAGAGGACCACTCGCCCACTGTGCCAAATACGCGTCGAACTTTGGATGCAGAGCTTGAATAAAAGGGCCCATGAATGGAATCTTGAACGGAGGTCCAGCAATAGGACCTTTTCGCTTAATGTACATGACTGTAACCAAGAATTAATTCTCCAAAGGCCTTTTCAACATCATTATTTTTTCCGGAAACTCACCTTGATCATAAACCATAGCTCCAATAATGAAGCTCACGATATATTGCCATGCTGACCAGCCAGCCATAAAAGCCGGCAACACAGCTTGGAGCTGGGAAGGCCGCGGCAGCTCAATCTGAGCAGTTGTGGAATTCTGCATCGCGACGACAGCAATAATTTTGAAGTATTGAAGTTCGAGAGCAAGAGTTTACTTTTATAATCCTCTAAAACTAAATCAACAGATTAATCCGATTAATCTATGAATGTCTCCAGTATTAGTCTCACCAATAGGGCTGAGGGTGGTGCCGAATTAGGACTAGACTCCGCATGTCGTACAGTCTTTTGGCGCAATTATGAATCGTCCAGGGGCAGACAGCGGGGTCTAGTCCTCTTCGGGCAAAGCCTCAGCACTGTCCTCAAGCTTATATCCTGACACCCTCAGGCTCGCAATCATCACGTTGCCTCACTTACAGCCGCCCGGGCGATTCGTGTGTTGGAAAAGGTCATTTCATGGAAGTCATCCACACTTTCTAACACTTTGCCCATTTTTCCAACAACCTTTGCATTCACTTAACCTTATATGCTGCAAAGCGATGCGACGAACGCTCCGGAGATCTTGTGCTGCATGCGCGAAATCGAAACACAGCTGTGACCTGCGTACACCACGTTGTTCTCGTTGCATTAAACGCAAGATCCAATGCAACTATGCAAACGAGCCGTGGACCCCCCCGGCACGACCTGCCCAGGAGCTAATCCGAACAAGCTATACTTTCGGATCTCTGGATCCTTTTGATTCGTATCCGCAGACGAGACTTCCGAGGGAACATATTCAGAGATTGATTCATAGCTGTACGTATTGATCTTGTCCTGTTTTTTAATTAGCGAGGTTCTAGGTGAAAAAAGCTTGCTTACCTAAAGTTATGAATATTAGTTCACCAGAAAATTGCTTTTCAATATTACCCTCTTGATTTGAGCCCAAATTCTAATCCATTTCTCGTCTCCTGGTGGCCACTCGCTCTTGGTGATCCAGCTTTGTTTCATGTCTCATTGCAAACAGCATGTCTCGACGACGAGCTGCTAGCCCAGAAAGGGTTTCAGGCTTCCGAAATTTTGATGGCTGATTCGGTGGCCCTGTTGAGACGTAAAGTGGAAAACGTCTCACTAGCTGTTCAGGATGGAACCATGAACTCAGTTATTACCTTAGCAGCTATCGAGGTGAGTTGATCTGATACTCTGTCAGTTTCTCTCCTCTTCTAATTTGCTAACCAACATACCTCAGTTCGGTAAAGGCAACATTAAGACAAGCCAAATGCATGTCGATGGAGTCAAAAGACTTGTAAGTATGAGAGGCGGTATCAGTTCCGTCAGGCAGACAAGTCCTCTGACTGCGAGAATGGTTCCCTGGTGAGTCAGTACAAAGTCACATGGAGGATATTCTGCTTACATGTCTTAAGGGTATCCATGCTCGTGATGGGCCATCCTCAGTTCGAGACACAAGATGATCTCGGTTTTGGACACGGTATACCTCCAATATCTGAATGGCAGCTGGAGTTTGATACGGCCCAAGATGATATCCCAGAACTTACAAGTGCTGAAGTTGATTACGAAGTCCGAAATGTATTCTTTCGTCTTCGAAATATTTTTAAGCGAGCGGACCAAGTCCCTTTCCCAACCACACAGCTTCATGACCTTACTTGTTTTGTAGTACATCGACTCCTACTCACAATTCCTAGTGCTGGAGACTCTCATCTGTCGCCGATTACCGAATGCGTTCGATATGGTATCATACTTTACATGTTCATCATTCATGGTCCAACATACTACTCACATGCGGTGATTTTGAACACGATGATCATCCGATTTATGCAGTATCTGAAATATCTTGACCCAACATCTGGCAAGGACTCTTTCCTCGATGTATGGCTCGTTGCTGTTGGAATGGTGTCCTCGACTGGCACCGCTCATCACCAGTGGTTCGTAGAAAGAGCAAAAGTTGTCGCAGCATCAGTGCCACTGGGTGACTGGGATCAAGCTCTGATTCGAATCAAACGTATCCTATGGCTCGAGACTCCACAAGGCGAAGATATTTTCCGACCGCATTGGGACGCCATATTCGGGACGAATAGTCATCCAGGATCGCCAGACACGAATGCTTATGGCTCACCTAGCATTACTGGAACCGTATTACTGCGGAACACGGTCTCGCCGGCGAGATTGTTGCCTGGCAGACTTGAGTCAGCTATACAGATGGAAGGCAATCAAACATGAGTGCGGACATGTTTCGTACGCCATGAGATTATCAGAAGAGAGACTTCAAAGACCAGAGATTCATACAACCTCGATCGCGTTACGAACACCTATATCCGTCCCAGAGTAAATCTCTCAGCCGACAAGGTCTCTCAGGCGACAAGGAACATTCAAAACCAACATCGGATTGGTGCTGGTTCTCGTGCAGTCGCAAGGCTTCAGTGGTAACAGAACCCGACTCATTAATTATTCAAGTACGAAGAGGAAGTTCGCTCGAGAAAATGAAACACACTTCGGGTGGAGTGGCTTGATGAACAAATGGTCATTGATCTCTGCCATGTTCAAAAATTTATGTCGACAATGTGGCATATCAAACGGAACCCGAAAACCGCACAAGTTAGTGTGTCGCGTTGGTTGGTTTGTTGGAGGAGAAATCTCATAAACCACGCGGAATATTGAGCGATTGCTTGTCCACTGTAAGGTTACGCGTCTCATTGGGCCCCTCGGGTCAGCCAATCAAACATCGCTGTACGGCGTAGCTTTACCCTTATTCGCCGCTTTCAAATTTCAATCCAAGTTGGGGACAAGCGGCGGCGAAGCGATCGAATGAAACTGACGGAAAATTGACGGACAACGATAGTATTGAGGCACAGCGGGTTCGAAACACCAATCGCTCTGTTTTGGTAAGCCCTAGCCGGTCGCAGACATCGAGATGGCTATTTCATGTACAAATTTACGAAATAAAGCTTGGAAGATTAACAGTCTTCGCCTGCTATATATTACGGATTCCCCTTCGGGTCCGTATGAATTGGGCTACCAGTAAATGATGTTCGTTCGGATTATGGGTCCAGTTCAGCTGCAATATTGCGATAATTGAGAAACGACCCTTCCGTCGTCGCTTTTGAAGCTCTGAATAGAATATCTCATACTTTCAGAGAAATCAGCAAGCTCGAGTCGACCTAATCCGAAAATGGCTGAAGATGCAAGCTCAAACAGTGCCCAAGAAGCACTGTTTGCAAAAATCGGGGCTGTACACACGGCAGTTTGGAGCACTCTCGCAGTTATTTTAATAGGTACATTAATCAACAGATTGACTGGCTTGCGATATCCTGCCAGTCTGCCTCGTATTCGCGAAAAGAAAGGGACGACAACTTTCAGTCTTCGAACGCGTCTTGCATATTATACAGACGCGAAAAAGCTCTATCGAGATGCTTATGAACAAGTCAGTATTGAATCGCTTCGGCGATGGAAAGACTAACAAGTTTTAGTACTCGAAGAAAGGCAAAACTTGCTTGATCCCAGGCCTAGGCTTCAAAACTGATGTGATTGTACCCGGTGCAGCCATTCGATGGATCACTTCGCAGCCGGATTCGGTTCTGAGCTACGTGGAGTCTGCTCTTGATATTGATCAAATTGAGCATAGTGTGGGTCATCGGAAGTTTGTCGAGGATGGCTGGCAAAGCACTGTTTTGCGGCGAGATCTGAATTCCAATCTGGAAACAGTAGCTCCAGATGTGTGGGATGAGACTTGTGCGGCGATTGATTATCGTTTTGGTGACAGCACGACGAAATTCAAAACAGTACACCTCTATGACAGTATGAAGTTGATAATTGCGCAAGCTTCAAGTCGCTTCACTGTCAGCAGACCATTGTGTGAGTGAAAATTGATGTTTCAAGTTAAATGAAGCATCGATCTAAGCTGACCTTGAATAGGTAGAAACGAGGCATACTTGAAGAATAGCATTGAGTATTCGGATTGGTTTGTTATCGAGGCTGGCCTCATTGGTATTCTTCCGAAAAGCTGGCGTCATTATTTTGGATCAACTCTCGCTTTGCCTATGCGATACTATGAGTATTTCATCAAACGAGAGCTGAAGTCGACGATCAAGGAAAGAATGGAGCTGCTCGAAACTCAGAGCGAGGGCCCGGAGCCTCTTGACCACCTTCAGATGATGCTGAAGTTCGCCCGAAAGAATCGTCCTCAGGAATACAATGTCAACGACATGGTCAAACGTGTTAGCATCTCAAATATCGGATCGATTCATCAGTCAAGCATCGCGATCACTAACGCCATCTTTAATATCCTCGAATCAGACGCCAAGTACGACACAATTGCTCAAATCCGCACAGAAATCTCAGAGTTCTTCGCCGAAGGTGGTAACTGGACAAAAGCCAGTATTGCGAAAATGTACAAACTCGACAGCATCATCCGCGAAACCCTCCGAATCAACTCTTTCGGCAATCGTGGCGTCATGCGACAAGTCAACGTCGACAACCTCGTCACCGAAGACGGTTTCCTCCTCCCCAAAGGCGCTGAAGTGTCAATCCTGGGTCACCCCGCCGCGACTGACCCAGACGTGTTTCCCAACCCTGACGAATTCGATCCATTCCGCTTTTCCCGCCTCCGCGAAGCTTCCAAAGATAGCAGTTCGCAGTACGCGTTTGTATCGACAGGACCTACGCATCTCGCGTTCGGACATGGCAAACACGCGTGTCCTGGGCGGTTCATTCTGGATTTCGAGCTGAAAATGGCACTATGTGCGGTTTTTGGGCGGTATGAGCTCAAGTTCCCGGCGGAATATAAGGGAAAGCGGCCTCCGCTTAAGTGGGTTGCCGAGGCGCAGATGTTGCCTAGTTGGGGGGACGTAGTAGTAAGGAAGTTGGAGGAGGGCCTTTGCTGAATTCTCGCGGAGGTGGCGAGGTGCCTCGCGGAGGACAAAATATACGTCAGTTTAATAGAGCTAAAGAAATTTCGTTTACTTAAAACAATTGACGAAATAAGCCATATTGTTCCAAGTTGATCCACTAAATAACGATATTTCGTCAACTTCATCGAAGAAAGAAATACCGTGCTTCGGCTACGACTCATTTTGTCCACCGGGAGGGTGCCTGGGATAGGACTACACGCGTGTTGTGAGGCTGGCCGGACACCGCACCTTCTTGCATTATGTTATGTCGCCGACATCTGTCCATAGCTATATTTATTCAATTAGTTACACTAAATTTGCTATAATGCCTCTTTTTGTGAGGCTCACTTAAATTTTGAGGAAGCAGTATATTACGGTCTCACTGGACAGAGCGAGTGGCGGAACTTCAGATCCTAACGAGGTATTATTGACACGAACACCTCACACATTTTTTTTGAGATTTCTGGCTGACAATCTTCTTTTATTTAAATTACATCTAAGTGCGAACAAACCGATTACAGACGTGTGTCTGTGTCAATGCTGACCTACTGGTCTACTGCCTACTGGCGAATGCCTATTGGCGAATTCTTATTGGCCTACTGGCTAAATGAAGAATCTTCTGATTCAAACAACTAAAATAGTGCTCTATAGAGCAAAAAAAAACCAAAACCAAACGAAATCCACAGAAACAGACAAGCACCTCACTCTGATGCCGTAGCATCCTTCTCCCCTTCTGCTTTCTCCTCTCCTACACCCTCTGCTGGACCCTTATTTGCCAGATCTTGTTCTTTTTTCTCGCTCAAAAACTGCTCAAATCGCTCGGACAACCAATTCTCGACCGACGCCGGGTCTTCGTGAACTACTGAACATGCTTCCCTCCACTTCCCGCAAAACCACCCTGTTATCAGAGCGCTCGCTCTGCTCTGTTCGGCTGCTACCTTCTCAAGCATGATGCCTTGGTTTGTGAGCTCGTCGATTTTCTTCTGGCATGCTGTATGGTCGCTGGTTGGTAGCGCTGGCGATGGTGTTGCTGGGGGGGGGGCGTGAATGTAGGCTGGTACGCTGGTGCTGGTTGGTAGGCTGGTGTTGGTGCTGGGTGATATGCTGGTGGAGGGGTTGAGTGGTATGCTGATAGAGGTTCTTAAAATGCTGGGGCTGGTGCTGGTGAGGGTGCTGGTTGGCATGTTTGTGGGTAGGCTGGAGGGTTGAATTGCCTAACTGCACTTGCTGACATTTGCTGTGCTACATCCCAGCTCTCTCCACCAATGAATGGTACTGCTCCGACTATTATAATGTTAGATCGTACATGAAAAACTTGATTCATGAAAGTGACTTACAGTAAAGTCTCCATACTTCTCTCTCGGTCAACCACTTCATGTATGCTCGTGATGCTGTTGGGTTCTGAGATTGTAAAATCCTCAAGAGTTGCTGGTAAACTCTGCTGATATAGTCTGGGTCATTGTGCTCTGCTGGGTTACCTGAGACGGTTATTGGGTCGCCGAGGCGAGGCTGGGTGATCAGTCGAACCATCGACCGGTAGACGGAGGTGTACTCCATTGTTGGGTTGGCAGAGGGCGGTGACTGCTTGAAAATGATTTGAGATGGGTTGATATGGTGGCTTTGATACCACAGAGAGATTTTCACGGTTGTGGCGCACTCGTCGCGAAATTTGTTGTTTTTGTTTATTCTCAGAGCCCTAGCGATCCGAGGATATAAAGTTGGCGACAGCGAGATTGTGTGGGCGCTAGGCAATCGTCGGCTTTAAGAATAAAGAGCCGAGAAGGCTGGCAGCCGACAACAGAATAGTGCTTGAACTGCTAGATATCAAGAAATACCCGGCTAGGAAAACACGTTCTGATTTACACAGGCTTCGCGTTTATAAACTCTTAGATTCTAGTCACTAGATTACTTTCATGGAGTAATTGTTCTATTGACCAAATGTTTCTGGATATACAATCGTAGAAGGAGTATTCGAAGAAGACCTGGTGAGAACCCTCATATAACAAGATGTGTGACAATAAGATCGTTCTAAATTTGTGACTGCTTCCTGGCGGTTGACCCAACGATCGGCAGATGAAACAATAGTTTTCCAAACATCTTGAAACATTATGAAATATCTCGTCTAATGTTTGGTAAAATTCATGTTTCCATCCCTCGATTCAACTTAAGTCCCAACCGAAATGGGTACATGTCTGATAGTATTCTGCAAATTCAATCAGACAGCATATTGCCAACAATATAGAATCGATTTGTGACCAAAATGCATTAGCCACACTAACATGGATGGTCTGTGTCTTAATTCAACATTATCATCATCAGCAAAGAGTTGAACCGACTTCAGCAGAAGCGGTCTTCTTGAATGTCAGGCCTAGATGTGATGGCCTTAGGCTTGGCTCGCTTAGAAAACCCATCCTGATATTCGAAGTTCTGAAGTCAACCTCAGTACTGTAATGCAACAAGAACAGACTACCACCCTCGTGGTAGTGCATTTCAGCTTCAAATTCGAATACCAATTCTTGACCGCGTTCGGGCACCACGATGTCGGGACCGCCGACCAACCAAGGGGAAACCCCCTACCCGCAGTTTGGCGGAAGCCAACAAAACCAGCAACAACAGTGGTATGACCTGCCACAGCCATATCAGCCAGCAGTTGGATTTCAGCAATTCCAGCAACAACATTAGCAAGGCTACACTGCACCACAGCCATATCACCCACCAGGTAGCTTCCAGCAACCTCACCATCAACAACATCAACAGTATCAACAACAGCAACAAGGCAGCCACACAGCTAAGAAAAATCCCAAGAACAAGAAAAGAAAGCCCTGCCTAAATTGTGGGGAGACCAGCCACCCTCTCAAGCGCTGCGACCGACCACCAAAGGATGGGAAACCATACCTCCAAGGATGTGGAAACTGTGAAGGCAGCCACATAACAGATAACTGCCCAAAGCCATGGCCGCCAAAAGGAAGCTCTGAGCATCACGTCATGGTGGAATGTCGAGACGGACTCTATCAATTTGAATCCCTCATCGATATCCGAACACAACCTGGCTTCTGGGAGAATGAGCATAGGCCTGACACAGAAGAGCGTACGAAAGAGAAGATAGAGCAAGGATTTTACAACAGGAACATCGGCAAAAAGTTGCCTACCGAAGAAGACAAACATCGAGAAAGAGACCCAGCATGGAGCGACCCAGCGGCACTAGCAACAAAGTACCCAATTGGCTCAATGGTTCCAGAATTCACAAGGTCGTTCCAAAGATTTGATGAATCAGCGGCCAGATCACGCCGTTACAAAGTTAAACAAAACCAGAACAAAGGAAAAGTGTCAGCCAACATGGATAGGCCAATGATTCCACTGCCTCAGCGTCGCAACCAACAGCCAACAGCCTGGAGCCAAATCTTTACCAGCCGCCAGTTCCCTTAGTGCAAGCACCACACCAGCACCAGCAACAGGTCCAAAGTCAAGATTCGCAAGCGTTGCTAGATGTGCTTGCAAAAGCCATTGATCTTGTGGGCAATGAAAAGGCCAGATTGATGGAAATAATGGCTGAAGCCATCGCAAGGGGGTTCACTAGCCACAAGAGACCTCGCCCAGCTCCAGCCAATGCAGACACGCGGCAGAGAGGCGTGAAAAAGCAAAAGCAGGAGCAATCAGAGCATGTTCGGTTGGACAAGTGGAATGACAGCCACAGCCAGTTCAAATACGGTGCAATCAATGATGCCAGAGAAGATAGAATCCAAGTTAAACCAGAAACCTCGACCGTTGTGAAACGCGAGGAAAACCACAGCATACCATTTGCCAGCGACGACGTCAAAGTGAAGATTGAAAGCATCGAGGATGATATTGGTTGTTCCTTTGGATCAAGTGAACGAATGAAACGAGTTGAAAGCAGACGAGCAGCGCTTGAGCGGAGAACGGTCGATCGATCAGCACCACACTCTTCGTCCTCGGAAGGAACAGCTCTCAACACCGTACCTCTTCCCTCCATCATCAAGACAGAGAGCGTGCGCTCAGATATGGGTGGTAACGGGCAAAAAGGACGGGAGCAAGAAAAGGGAAATAGCGGAGGAAAACACGTCCGTGGATACCAGAATGAGAGGTGGGATCGTGGTGGTCGTTGAGAGGTGGAAGGAGGGATGGTTTTTCTTGGACTCGCTGCTTGCCAATAGGTACGAGATGATGTGCTTCGTTCAATAGAACGGTCTGTCTGTCTATAGACACATTGTTGGTCCACAGGTCCAAAAATGAGCCTATAGGTTCGAGATGAAAATTACGTTAATAGAATAACCTTCGCGTCCATAGACTCATATAATGGCTAATAAGCCCACAATATGAGCCCATAGGCTCGGAATTATGATTTCGTTGGATAGAACAGTCTATGTGTCAATAGGCACATGCTTTGGCCAATAGGCCCAATAATGAGCCAAGAGGCCCGATATGAATTCCGTTCAACAGAACGGTCCACATGTCTATAGACACATTGTGAGCCGATAGGCATGAGTCGATGGCTTAGAGGCTTCATTCAACCTCTGGATTATAAGCCGTGAATGTCTTGCTTCGGATTTATGTGTTCGGTTTGCGGGTCGCGGGAGGTCAGAAGGGGAAAAGAGCTGTTTTCTGTACACAGGATTAGCTGTAGCTTGTCTACAAGACTTTACTTAACGTCGAATTGACATCACATTTCAAAGCATACGTGCAGTGTCTTTATCGCCTACCTACACAAGTAAGTTCGAATTAATGTCGTCGTGAAAATGTCATCTCCGTCACCCGATTGATTAGTAAGCGGGGGTCTGCACCCCACAGCCACCTGCACTTGTGCAAGCGGCGGCTTCCTAGGAGTTTCATTTTGAGACCTTCTAAAACAGTGGACCTTAACCTTCTTTCAACGACGCTGTAATGAATTTCTATGTCCTTAGCTTATCCTTTGAGCTCAAGTATATCTTCTACGGCTAAGCGACTTATGATACTGCTTTGCAGGCTTGCAGCCAGTCTAACGGAATTACACAGATGTAAGCTTCCTTCATTTATTCAGCCTTCCAGGAACGCGGTACCTTCACAAAATTTGCGCGATCCGAATAGGTTTCTACAATAAGAGACAGTTTGTGAAATCCGCGAAGATTTTGATTCGATAATTACAAAACTTTGCTAACTAGTATATCCGGAATTCCCACCCCCCTATTGTATTACAATACTGGAAAGCTTTCAAGCTTATTTCGACTTACTAGTCAAACGGGCTTATTGGACAAAAAAGGCTTGCTAGCCAAAAAGAACTACAGGTCAAACATGGCTTACTAGCCAAAAGAGCTATAGGTCAAGAACGGCTTTCTAGCCAAAAAACGGCTTGCTAGCCAGAAAGGGCTTATAAGCCAAACAGCGTCCCAGCTGGTAAAGGCTTACAAGCCGAACAGCTTACTAGCCAGAAAGAGCCTACCAGCCAAAATGAACCACCGATCTTGAAACATTCCCATCCCAACCAAAGAACGACGCTATCCTGCTCGTAATCCTGCTGCTCATCTACGTCTCGCCGATCCATGACCTTCTCTCAAACTTCCCCGTCCTCTCGATACAAATACTCTGCTAACTGTTCTCGTGCGTCTTCTCCTGCTGCGATTGGCCCAGTGTGATAACTGTGGTCGGCCCATGGGAGGGGCCACTGGGATAGGTACTTCAAAAGGGTTTTGCATTGCCTGGAAATCCATACCCTGTCCCCAAGAGTATTCGTCCAGCTGCAACCAGTCATCCACACCCCGTGTCCATTCATCCCCGCCCCGTGTCCATTCATCCCGGTGCTGCGACCGGTCGTATTCCCTCAGTTGTACTTCATAGTTTTCTTCCTCTTCCTGTGGCTGGTAGTAGTCTGCTTCGTGATCTTGTACGCTATACTCTTCGTACTGCTGTGCCAAGTAGCCTCCTTCATGCTGTTGGAGGTGCTCATCTTCATGCTGCTGTAACTGGTGGCTTTCTGCGGGCTGCTCTGTTTGTCGGTCTTCTTCTTGTTGCAGTGTGTGCTGCTCCTCTTCATACGGTTGTATTTCGTCATCTTCATATCCTTGCGGACCTTCGCTCAACCTGGAAGCTAGCACTATACAACGATCGTAAGTTCTGCCCATTTCTTCATACCTCACTGACTCTGCTTGAAGACGACGCTCGAAGTCTCTCATCATTTCTTTGCGCATTGCTATCATTAGCTTTAGATCTTCCTTGAGCTCGATGTATGCCAACAAGTCACCCTCTTCCCACAGAATCTCCATGCGTCTCCTAACTTCTTCTTCATTCCTCTCGCACTCTAGTGTATGGAGTAGCCTGTTTTCTTGCTGCCTCGCTAACTCCACGGAATGAAGCTTCTGCAATTCTAGAAACTTTTCTTTCTCTGCGCGAAACTTTGATTCCAACTCCAGTTTTGGCTGGTTTATTGGCTCCGCTGGCGCTGGAGCCAGTTGCGTGTGCCGACTTGCTGCTGGTAATGCTACCAAAGTAGGCAGAGGGGCTGAAGCTGGTTGAAATGATATCATCAGCTCCCGAAGTTGCTTTTCCAGTTGGAGAAACTGCTGTTGTGATTCTTGGCAATTTGTTACTAATGGGAATACTGGTGTTTGCTGGGAATCCGCTGGTAGTGGTATGAGCGTGGGCTGATGTTGCAGCGATTCTGATTCGTCTGCTTGACTTTCACTCGACTCCAGCCTGTGACCTGGCGTGGAGACATCGGGCTGGATGTAAATTTCGACCGAAGATGCTGCTAGAGGATTGACTGGCTCAACGCTCGAGGCATGAGGAATTTCTGTATGCTTGATAGCCGCCTCTGCGGCTGAACTCTCTTCAGAAAGCTCTGGTGCTGGGTGTGCTGGGTGTGGTGTTGTGCTCGACAAATCTGAGGCTACATGACTTGCTGGTTGAGGTGATAACTGCTCTGCTGTTCGCTCCACTGTGTGCTCCGGTGCTGGTATTTCATCAAACCCTCTTCCTCGTAATTCTTCCGATATCTCATCGATCTTGGACTCGTAGCATGGAGTCTCTGTAGGATCTGCCATCTTGGCGATTGGACGTGTATTTGAGAGTTTTTTTGTTGTTGTTTTTGAAAGTGAGTTTCACTCATGTTTACATATTAAAGCACTCTCAGGACGTTGGTACCACGTGATCTCGCAACTTTTGGTTGTGCTTGACATAGAACGATATAGGTACGATCTGGTTCTTTTGCTGCTAAATACCTAGGCGTTCGGTCATTGCATAGGTGCTCCGGTGCTGAGTATCGCAAAGAATCTTCATAAAATTACCCGCACAAATAAGTCGCGTTCGATAATATCAGAAAGCCTCATTCTGAAATCCATGCAACCATGTCTTGGATTCTTACCCCAATATCTGGATTCAATATTCTTTGATTTTGCTTATTCCAGGGTGGTAATGAAAGTTTAAAAAGTAATCCTACTCTTGCCAACCTTGATTAATAACATGACCGCTCACAAGTAAACATTATATGATTGGCTAAGGTTCACACTTCTGTCATCCAGTACTCAGCTCTCTTATCTGAATGGTATTCATGATGAAGGTTGAAGATTTCTTGTGTATTCGAAACAAACGACACACGGTACGATAATACGTCAATTCGATCGACTAAATATCAGTATTGGCCTGTCGTTCGTCCTTTTAACCCGAGACTAGAAAAATACTAACCAGCGACATGATGTTGACGTAAGGTGTGGGCAATTTTACAACACAATTGCTACATCCCGGTTCTCTGATCATACTCTATTGACTCTTCCGGAAACTTTTGGCGACACCATTGCAGTTTCATTGGCTTATTGAACAAGAGACAATGATACCCAGGACTCGTGGAGGACAAATAAGTGGCAGTCGAAACACAATATTCCTTCGATTAAGTTGACGAATTGCGGTATACTTAGTGGATTAACTTGAAACAATATAGCTTATTCTGTCAATTATTTTCCGTAAATCAGAATTTTGAAGCTTATTCGAAGTCGACTTATTATTCAGTTCAAGATTAGGGTAGGTGACTGACACTTATTTTGTCCTCCTCGAGACAAGAGTAGTTTTCCATGGCAATCTATGTTCGAAGTTTATTTTGCTTCCTTGGGCACTTTCGTAACTTATTCGATTTACAAACAATGGATGCAAATCACCAAAACGAAGGATCGGGTACACTCGCCACATCGTTGGAGCAGGAGCACTAATTAGTAGGCTTCACCAATCCGTGTCCAAGTTGGAACAATGTTACAAACACCGATTCTGCAAAGGCATGGATCCGGTAGGTGGTGACTCTCATCAAAAAAACGACTGTTTTGATGTTTAATTAGAAGACTGTTGAAAATCCGTTCGGGGCCTCCTGAGCCAGAGCCCAAAATGCAAGTCCATAGATTGAAATTTCTCGATTGAAGAATGACCAATAAGCTTCGGGCAACGTGGTTAGGTGAGCACTGCACACAGTTCTTTGAATATGTGAGATTGAATTTCCGAAGACTATGTCTATTACTATATTGAGTTTCGATCGGGATTTAGCGTTTCCTTTCAATCTAGCTTTACGTAAACGGTTCACCCCCTTAAGTAGCCTAATTCTAAACAATAGACTAAGCTGTAAAAAATTAGTTATTATTTTCTTTACGTATGTTTTCCTCGCCTACTTAGAGGCCTATTCGAAGTTACTAGTGCAGTAGATAGGGGTATACGTACTTCGTAAGCGCATCTCGCACCGATAAGCGCAGAACTCCTACTGGCTCTTTCCACCAATATTACCCCGCAATGTCGAATTTCTCTCCGCACGCTGTAAACAAGTAATGAAACTCCTTGATCATCACTTGATGGATGGGAAATATCCATCGGTGTAGTATCACGGGGAAAATACTTGAGTCCCAGAAATGAGGACACCGCTAGGAACTTCTCGGCCTCTCAAGTTGAATTGAATCCTAACTTGCCTTCCGACCTACACGAGATTTGTTAGAAGCTTGCTGCTCAATGCATCAGTCAGTGCCCAAAAATGTCCGACCAACGAAAACTAGTCACGCGGGGTCGGAAAGCTTGCACTGCTTGCCGTCAAGTCAAAGTTCGTATAAGCTAAAAGTATTCTCTAACATAAGCTAACCGGAATGTAGTTGCGCTGCGATAGTATGCAAACATTTCCTGCAGCTTGTTCGAGATGTAAGCAAAATGGTATCAACTGCCAAACGGATCCTACGTTCAAACGAGTACGGACGAGACAGTCAGTATATATTTTCCTCTTCTATATGAAGCATCTGGCTAATTCAATTAGTCGACTAGAAGAATTTACGAGTCAGCTTAATGCTATACAGAAGACTCTTGGTATTTTGCCTTCAACATCGAGTCCTTCTGCGGGTACGCCCTCAAACCAGTCACTATCACCACCAGATGAAACAACAAACCGCCCCAACGTCTCTTTCTCAATATCAAACGACTTACTAGAAACTGTTTACACTAACCCGCAGGAAAAATTGTTCTTCAGATGTCTTAGCAATATAGATTTCCCACCGGTTGCCCCTGTCATTGGCAACGTCTCGATAGATAACAGTCAAGTAAAAATGCTGTTCAAACAGTGGGTCCTACTCTAGGTATATAAACAAAGTACTCATTATGATACAGATTTGGGGAGCACCATTACCGCCATTGCCCTGTCCTTAATGTGGAGCTATCTATAGATGAATTGTACCAAAGTTCGTCTTTCCTATTCTGGACCATCGTTGTCATTGCTAGCCAGTGCCATGAATCTCACAACGAATTGCATACATCACTTCTTCGGCCTTACCGCCAATTATTGGGTGAAATTCTGGTCGGTCCATTACTGTCGATTGAGCCTATACAAGGACTCATTCTACTTTGCAAATGGCCACTTCCAGTTGCCAAACAGAAGGAAGACCCAAGCTGGAATTACAGTGGTCTGTTAATCAATGCTGCAATACAATTGGGCTTACATAAGACCTCGTGTGGAGTCGATAACCCGATGTGCTTAGTAAAAGAAGCGAGAAGGCGGACTAAAACATGGGTGGCAATTCTACAGGTCAGCTCCAGGTGTGTATTGCATCCTGTGCTAATTTGTGGATCATTTTTTCGCTGACGAAACATAGATACGTCTGGTATTCCGGTCACTCTTTATCCCCCGAACTATTGAATGGCCCACTACAAACATTAGACCCTCCTCTGACGCCTTCGGAAAGCGACTTTCTCACTAAGTATAAAATCCAGAGACAGTCAATCAAGTCCGCAATCTTCATGTGCAACCTAAAGGAAGCCCCAGAATCTTTCCCAGTCGCTCAAATACTTCTTGAGGACTTGGAAGACATCAAAAGAATATCGTCCGTCTCATGGGGTCCAGAATGCGAGGTCATATTTCTGGGCGCGCAACTCAGTATATATGGATTTCACCTCCAACAGTTTCCAGCTCAATCACATGCAGAGTTCGCAAATTCGGACATCCAATCTTCAAGAAAGGTGCTCATTCAATCCGGATTCTCGGTCGCGGTCCGCATCATCCACATCTTTTCCGAAATGACACGTCCGCAACAGTCCCCTCAAAGCACATTGTCTTCAAAAGACGTCAACGCCGAACAGCTTCAGAAATCTCTCCCCAAGCACTATTTCATCACTCTAGTCTTCGCAATAACGTTCATTTTCAAAATCGTTGCCTCAACGCCGGAGAGCTCACTGCTCGGTAACGACATAGCAAGGAATCACATTCACCTCGCCCACGAGATCCTCTCCACTTTATCCATGCACCCGATGGATGAGGCTTCCAGAGCAGCTACCATGATCAAGGTATTATCTGGAGCTCAAGGCCTCTCTGGGCTTCGTCTCCACGAGGTTAGATCCGGTGGGCGCTTGCGGCTCGGCATAATGGAAGATGTTATCAGTACTGCAAAGGTGATTAGGGAGGAAAATTCGTTTGTTAATCCAGACTCAGGCTCAGGCTCAGCGGCTCACCAGCAAATTTCAGATCTTCAAATTGCCGAAGATCACCAAATGCGGTTTTCCGAGGCTGCTGAGCCGTCGGAGTGGGACAATTTGGATATGTTGCTGGGCGGGTCTAATAGTTTTGGTTGGAACGGACAGTGGGAACTTGACTTACTGGGTTCGGAGCCTCAAGACGCATCGCCAGGTACTGATTCTTTCTAGAGCGATAGTTTGTATATCAATATTCGACATATAACAGTTTTCCAATGTCATCTGTTCTTCTTGATGACGGGTAAGTACGGGAATATCAAAACCCCAATTTTGGACTTCTTCAACGATGTTTTCCTATAGTGGGATATTGATTAGTAGCTTAGGGGAAGCAATTGTGATGTATAAATGATTGCTATATTTGTGTCCAAATCTGGTATCTCTAAATCCAATCTCACGAGGTATAGAAGAAATCTGTAAAATGGAAGTTAGTAAGGCAACATATCGAACACAAAAATCCATTCATACCCGGGTGCTTGTCTCCAATCTCATAAATGGTCTTCATCCTCAACCCATTCGCTCTCTCTGAATATTTCTCGCGTCTCTTGATCACATTTTGACGTCTGAAGTACAAGGAAGTTGTGATAGCAGACACTGCGCAGAGCACCTCGAAACCTAGCGCGGCGGCATTGCCCTTCTTATCTTCCAGCAGAAACAACGACTTAGTGAGTGTCCCCGTACGCTAGGGGTATTGAGTGGATGGAAGACTTACAGAAAGGTGGGTCTGAGTAAATCGTGTTGCCTGCTATAGCGAATGCTGTGGAGATCATATTTATCATTGCTATGGCAGCGCCTCTGTCAAAATGAATTAGTCCGGATGCACAATCCTAAACACATTGGACAAGAGACGAGATAATATTCTAGTACCTTTTGGTGTAACCAGTGATACTCATTGCCATCCAGGACAAGACCAAAACAATATGCGGATATGCGCCAAAAGCCACGAGACATGTAGCAGCCAGACGAGCCTTGTCGTTAGTCAGACCAATCAGCAAAGCATAACCGATTGCAGAAATTGAACTCGATACTGCGAGAGTGAAACCCCGAGCATTGGTTCTGTCTGCGATTCTGGCAAACAATAGGACGCCCACAAAAGCGCATGTATAGACAAGGACAGTCATGAGCTGTGAATTGACGGTTGAGTATCCAAATCCCTGTCCTTTCAGTCAGCTCTGGCTAGGTTCCGGAGAATGGGGAGCCAACCCTGATGATGGATGGCAGAAAATTTGAGAGGGATGATGTGCAGAATTGTCCAGCAGAGGCCATAACCGCCATGAGCCAAAAATGCACATCCATTAAAGGCAGGTAGATCTTCTTCATCTCTAGCTTCCCCTCTGGATCATTGTGCGAATTTATGCTTCGCTGTACAGCAAAGTCTATCTCTTCTTTCTTGAACCCAAAACGAACAGTTTGTGGAGTACCTGGGAGGAAGGCCATCACCAAGACACTCGCCCCGATCGGAATGAGTCCCTCAATTAAGAAAATCCATCGCCACGCGTGCCAATCATTATGACCTTCGAGGTTCTTTGAGATTCCGTAGGCAATGAGACCGTTGAAAGCTCCAGCAAGGGCGTTACATGCATGGACAATTGAGCCACGCGTTGCGAGTTCTCTATACGTATACCAGAACGAGAGGTCTTCGTGTAGTTAGTCAAGTGTTTGTTGAATGGAGGCCGATGTGTAATAAGAAGCTCACAGAATACAGAGCCCTGAACAAATGCCTCTGCAGCTCCAATGGTAAGTCGCATCCCTTGTAATTGCGCGGCGCTTGTAACCTTAACGCTTACAGCAGTCAACATTCCCCACTATTCAATAAGTCAGTGTGTGATGATAATAACATGTATGCTTTTGTCCCAGTAACTAACTCACCATAATCATAGCACCTCCGAACTGCCATTGGGGGCCAATGATCCTGAGAAGCAGAGTACCTGGGAGTTGAAATAATATGTATCCTATGACGAAACAGTTGGCTGCGAGAGAGTATGCCGCCGGTGATAAATTGAGCTCCTCTTCCATGCCTGAGATTTTTGCATTTCCCAAGTCTGTTCGACCCTACTTCTTTTCAGCGTCTGGACCCTATCCAAGAAATGCGATTATCGCGGGAATGTAATTATACCAGTGTTGCACAAAAGTATACCAATGATATGAGTGGCAAGATGAAAAGATCAAGTTTCCACTTAACTCTCCGTTCAAGTCGTTCTGTGCCAGGTTCTAACTCATTGTCGTTCAGCTCAATATCTGCGTCCTTACGAGATGGATTGATGTCCTCCAGTTCTTGCACATGCTGTTGATTCATTTTAGCATTATGTTGCAAATCTGTCGTGAAATTGATGAACAGAAGTTACTGGAAGACCGTTGACATACGATGTTTCACTGCAATTGAAAGATATCCTCTTGACGTACATTTGGCAGGGAATATTCGCCCCTACATACGCCCCGGTAAGCGTCTTGATGCGAATCTCGCGCTGCGAAGCGCATGTCTCCGATTGGAGGACCTTGCTTGGCAAGTCTCATTAACGCTTGAGGTTGCGTGTAGATGGCGGCCGAAAAATGGGTTGTTTTCCGGATTGTCGCGTTCGTTGTTCGAATAAGAATAGCTAGAATCAGAGAGCGAGTATATCACCAAAGGTCTCACCACGCTAGCACCTCATGTCCACCACTTTCTGATTCAGCAAAGAAAAAAGATCAAGAGAAAGGATCGAGAGCAAAAGTAGCAAAATGGCTCAGGGTTTGATCGATGAAGCAAGCCGAGGCTCCCACTCTGATGAATTATCTACCGATGAAGGCACACTGGAACCATTGTGTCATATACTCACGCCAATCGGGATGCTTGGGTATGGATTCGACGAGAGCCTGATCTATAAAGCACTCCAGGATCTGGCAACAAATGAAACCCCCACAGCGTTGATTCTCGACTCGGGCTCAACTGATGGAGGTCCATTAAAACTTGCCACGGGTTCTATGACAGCTCCACGGGTTGCCTACATACGCGATCTGCGCAAGCTCCTTGCACTCAGTCATGAGTTCAAGGTTCCCGTCATTATTTCTTCCGCTGGAGGAGATGGGACGAACGAGCACGTTGACGAGGTCTTGGCTATTGTTCAAGAAATCATAGAAGAAGAACCAAAAACGTAACTATACTCCATGATGCAGGACACGCCCGAACTGGAAGTTAATAAGCCCAGTAACTACAAATTCAAAGCTGTTGGCATATACAGTGGTGTCACGAAAGTCAAAGTTCTCAAAGCCCTCGCGGCTGATGAGGTGACCGGCTGTGGGGTTTCAGTCCCGGCGCTGACAACACAAGATGTCGAAGATGCTACGGTGGTAGTTGCTCAGATGGGACCAGAGCCGTTTATGGATGTTATGGGTGCAGAGACATACGATATCATTATCGGCGGCCGAGCGTACGATCCAAGTCCATACATTGCGTTTTGTGCGGACCTGGCGACAAAGAAATTTGGCCTGCCGTTCGAGTCACTGAAGCCGACGCAACTGGGAGGCTTTGCGTTCATGGGTAAGATCATGGAATGCGGAGCTCTTTGCTCTATTCCAAAAAGTGCATCTTCGAAAGCTACCATATATTGCGATGGCACCTTTGACATTGTCCCCTTGAGCCCAAATTCCTACTGTTCACCTGTATCGGTGGCTGCACACACCTTGTATGAGAAAACACGACCAGATATTCTCCCAGGCCCTGGTGGGAGCTTACACCTAGATGCTTCCAAATATGAGCAGCTGGCTGACGGGCGTTCTGTCCGCGTTACTGGGGCCATTTTCAAACTCTCCAGGCAGAACCGTCTCCCTTACACTGTCAAATTGGAAGCAGCAAAGATAATTGGATATCGCACCCTCTTAATGGGCGGTTTCCGCGATCCAATCCTCATCAAGGGAATCGACAGCTTCCTGGAGAGAGCCAAAGCATATGTCAAGCAGCAGCACAAAGAATCTCCAGGAACGTGGGAGCTTGACTGGCATGTCTATGGAGTAGATGGGATTATGGGTTCTCTCGAACCCGGTGATCCGTCGTACCAACCGCGAGAAGTCTTTCTTGTTGGTGAAGCGTTGGCGTCATCTCAGGAACTCGCAACCAGTGTTGCCAGCTGCGCGAGGATTGCTTGTGTACATGGCCCTTACCCGGGACAGCGTGGCACGGGCGGTAACTTTGCAATGGGTGTTGGAGGAAAGCTGGAAGTTGAGATGGGTCCCTGCGCGGAGTTTTGCATCTACCATCTCATGCCATTAGAGATTGGAGCAGAGCACGCTCAAGAGATACGGGGAGTCGACACCGCATCCACAGATGGCGGGCACACGCCGATATTCTCGTGGAGAAGGATGGTGATGAGCAGCTGCGCGAAAACGCCGACTTATGGTCCCTTAGCAACCCAAATTCCTGAAGCGATTGCCATGTCAGATTTCAATGGTGTGCGTGATGTGCAGAAAGCACCTAAGCTGCCACCATGCTATCTCAACCTTGCTGACCCACGTACGCTCTGCGATGTTGCGTCTGTGGTGCGATCCAAGAACTCTGGTCCGTACGAAATCACACTCGATGTTCTTTTTTCGCAGAAGCGTATTTATAACCTTATGCAGACCTCTAACATTTTGACCCCTTCGGCCATCGCCAAGTTGTATAAGCTTCGGGAGGACGAGATCATTTACTGCGGGTTCTATGATCAGGCAATGGCATTCAAGGCGACGATTCCGAGAAAGAGGTTAGGAAAAGCGATTTCGGGGGGTTCTTTCATGGAGGCCGATGTTCATGGAAGTCAACAGTATGCAGGACTGCTTGGTTTAGACCTAAGCCAGGAGGTAAGAAGAGTTATTCTTGGTTGGAGTTAATTGAGATAGACATCGAGCTTTGAGACAGCGGGAGATATCCAAACAAGGGAAGCTTCCAGTCTGGGTAGGAATTAGAACCTTGAAGTGCTTGATCTCCCTTATTTGACTTAGTCTTTCTTAAACTCTTTAATCCATTCCTACGCACACCGCAATTGCATGGTCTGGATCCAATGCGGTTCTTTATTGAGAGTGACAAAATATCGTGTATTTCGTCTATAATTTAGGGTGAATAAACCCTTCTGAAATCATTTAGAATTGCAATAGCATTTATCTAAACAAACTCAATTACTCCATTCTAACCATGCACCAAAGGGTTTTTCCATTCTAGTAAAAGTCGTAACAGAACCATGTGAAAAAATCACTTAAGCATCCCACGAAAACAAATCCTATGCCACGCAACACTCAGGTCGCCTACCCGTCCCAGAGCCTGAGCTTTATCGTCTTTGATCTTGCTCAACATAAACATGCTCCATCGGCGTCCCTTGTTCGGCCCACACTCTAGCTTGTTCGTTCCTCCTCACCCGTCTTCTCTCCATCTTCCGCTGAAGCTTCTCTTCTTTAGCACTCACCACACCTCCTTCGCCATACTTGTGCACGGTCAATCCCACAACAGCATACATAATCACCACAATAGCCTCCTCCAAGTTGGCCATGAAGAGTTGCACAATCGCATTGCCGTTCTCGAGGTTGAATATGTGGTTGGTATGGAAAGTGTCGAGGATACTATATAGCACTCTGCTGCCGATCAAAGGTAGTGCGAGCACCACAGCAACGAGTATTCGCTTCTCGCCTCGTGCGGTTTTGTTGATTTCGAACATCGAGTACAGAGTCAAAATGACAAGTATCACGTAGATCACCACGAAAATGCCAATTCCCCATTTCGTATCCGTCTTCCCCGATTTGATTTCGGAAGGTGTAGATGACGATGAGGCTTCGTCGGAGCCGCCCTCGATACAGAGAATGAGGGCGATAGTGCAGGGCAGTTGTAACAATTGTATGACTCGACTTCGGCGAGCGTCTGCTGAAGCTTTGGCTGCAAACTTGGCAATCAATCCTCCTCTAGCACCAAGTAATCCCATGATATTGTTTCCACTGTCGCTACGAACATGCGTCGATGTAAAGTCGATCACTCGCTTCAACAAGCCCAAACTTGACAGCAGCAGTGGTGATATTCCCACGGACTGTAAGATCAGAGCCCATTCTGTGTATGTGCTATTCGAGTTGTTGTGATTATGGAGTATTTCGAAGACTGCACCGGCCAGTCGTACGATGGTGAAGATGAGGAGGTAAATCCAACCGAGTTGCTTAGTAAAGCCCTGTTTGAAGAGGACGACGAGGACTGTGAGAAATGTTGGAATATATACAATCAACTCGATGATAGCAATTGCTTCGCGAACCGCCATTTCGAAAGCTTTTAGTCGATTGAAAGCCCCTGAAATTCGAACTCCGTGTGGTCAAGTTAAGCGAGATATGGATGGGAAATTTCCGGAACAATGAGAAGTGATTGTGAGGAATTGAAAGCTGCTAGGAAAGCATCCAGAAATATATCTTATGTATTTCTTCATCTGCAAGGTTTTCGGTCTGACATCTTTGGAATCACTGCTGATTGTAGAAAGTGACGATACAACCTGGAAGCCGTCGAATTCAACATCCTGTATACCCTAATAGGAAATCTACTCGAGCGCCGCGTATCAATAAAGCGGGTCCATTCTCAAAATCAAACATCACAGCGACACAAGTCAGCCTCATCCGCAGCTGATACGAATCTAAGTCACGATTCGGTGTAAAATCTCAGGCCGACGGCCGAGGGAGAGTTGATCGTTTCTCGGATTTTGAGGTCAACAAACGCAGCTACTTCGCGGCAAAATCCAATCTGGTAATTCCGGAAGTTGACAGCGGCTTTTTAGCCAGACAAAGTTACTTAAGCTTCATCGGAATAGCGGAGTACACCTTGTTCTACCAATTCATACTCCGCATTCAAGCCTGAGTGGGCCTTACTCATCAACCCGCAGGTTGGGAAACAAAATAAGCTTTCGACCCAACGGAATCAAAAAGCTTGGTTTTAGCTACCGAAAGACGCGATGGCCTCGGCGGCGTCACAAACAGGAAAAGCGCGTGGTGACTGTACAAGTGGAACGGATTTGATAGGTAGGGCTGAAATAGGGGTCCAAGTCTTAGATCTCGCATTTATCTCGGAATGTTGTGGTCGAATGAGAAGCATTGTCTCGCAATTTGCTAGTTTAGGTAATTGTTGATGCTTCGGAAGGTTTCGTCGAATGAGAAGCTCTGGCTCGCCAGTTACTATAACAGGCAATTGTCGTTGTTGTTACGAAATGTGGGGTATTGATCGACTTGGTGCAGATGCTGTCTCTCAACACTCCAAGAATACGAAGGAACAACTGTGATAGTACCCTGGCTCATGGGAGAGGAATAGGTCTCATAATTAAATTACGTGAAATTAATATTGACCAGTTCGAAAGACAGCTAGTCGGTAAGTTATCGTTATGTCAAACATTCCAAAAATTTGCAATTGCTTGTGATGCGATAAAATGCGAAAATGGGAATCACAAAAGTATTCGCATTCATCCAATGCTTACTTCTGGTGACAAAGTTGACATTTGAAGTTGATGATGGTTTTTGCTCTAAATTCATTGAACATCACAAGCTGCACGTTACAAATGTCGGACAGAAAAGCTAAGGAATTTTAATTTCAAGTTTGATATTCCGTGGAAATGCAGAAAGAGGACAGCTCTAACATCTATGTCTACAAAACCGAAATGTGATAGACGGTTTCAACTATAATAACATATACAACCAATCATAGCATAAGCCTTCCAAATATCCATTTGAATCCCACTATCTAGGATATCTGCCAACTCAATGGCTTTGCTGATATCGGAGAACTCACCAATAAACCTCAATTGCCGAATTATCCAGTCCCTTGTTAAAGGTGTGGCGTACGTTGAATTGGCGCACGCAAATAATGGCCAGAGAAGTGAGTAAGAGCTTAATGCCGTAGTGGTGCTAATCTTTGGGAAATCGAAGCATTCGGTCGTGTCCGATTTCATGATTCGTTGGTCGTCGAGGTACGGGAGATATCCAGCGAGTTGAGGAACAGTAGCACAGATTGCTGAAGTAGTCTGGTGTAGATTCTCTTTGGCGAGATCAACCTCTAGTTTGCATTCCGGTGATAGCGAAAGGGTAAAAAAGTAGTCCTCCAATGTACTTTCCACTTTGTAACCTTCTTGGATAATGATGTCGAGGAGCGCGATCCTTCCAGCACGAATGCTATTCAACGCCTCGGCAATCGAGGAGACAGCATAGATATCATAGTGAGATTCCAGTACTAGATTAGATGCCAATAACAGATTCACCGTTTGGTGTTCCCATCCGGGCGGTAAGTCGTTCAACAGAGTAGCCATTTCACCATCCAGTCGAGCAGCCGTGGAAATTATGGCGCTAGAATCATACAAATCTCCATTCCGCACAGCAGCTCGGAACGCAATATACGGAATCGTGATATCAGTCAATCGCCACACCAGATCCTCCGTATCGACAAAATTGGCAGCAAAACTCCGCAACGATAGAAAATCTTCCGGAAGAGAGATCTCATGTTCCATACATGTAACAAAGAAATGTGAACTCATTTGAGCAAACATTTCAAGTCCGATCTGCGTCTCGTATTGCTTAGGGCCACGAACTTTCATCAACGCTGCAGCTCCCTCGAGGTGTCTAGACCATGCACTGCTGGATCGGTTTGTAGGAGGTATCAATCTCTCAAATTCATCCAGTAATAGTACTGCTGACATGGTCGTATCGTGTCTAGAAACTACCGGAGATGCTAGAGCAGCATTGATTGAATTCAAAGCAAGTACATAAATCCGTCTCGCGTGGATTTCCAATTTTGTTGACCGCACTGCCTTTGACAAGCAGGCCAGTCCGACCGCTTGGATAGAAAGTGACAAATGCGAGCTCATAACTCCTTGTTGGTAGTAACTCTCAAGATATTTGAAAGAACGAGACTGTCCAACTACAAATGTGGCTCGAAAATAGCAAGATGCTCTCGTTTCTAGAGGATCCGAAAGTGCTGGACAATGCAACAGAGCCGGATCGATATATTCCACAGGTGGTTTTGGCGTTTCAATTTCCTTTTTCCGACGTCGCTCACTAGCATTCTGTGCATTCTTGAGAGTCTTGTTTTTAAATTTCTCAATCACATTTTCGGTGGAATCGTTTATCCTGAACTCCGTCGTATCTCGATATCCATGACATTTTCGCTGTGCTCTTTGACATTGTCCACATCCGGGTTGTTGTAAATCACACTATGCAAAATCAGTACCAACCCAGACTATAGGAAATGTCAAATTGCCTACCCTAGCTCTCCGCGTTCTGCATGGTGCACATGACTTTGACAGCTTTCCACCGTAAACCATGGTCGTATTTGGCTTGATTAGAGTTTTAAGCCTCAAGATTTGTAGATTCCAAGGCTTGGCATCGAAGGATAGCCTCGAATTGAGGAAGAGAAGCGTATAATATCATGTTCTTCCGACACCCAGAACACTGGGTGCGTTTGAGCTAGTCTCATAATGGTAACCAGTGCGTAGCTGGGATTCAGATGTGCTGAACCAATGAGCGAGGAGAGCATCGTGTGATTGAATACGAGTTTTTGAAGCCGCCCGTTTCTGTTTCTAAGGAATGAGAGTTCGGTGTCTTTCATGTTGCAAGTTGTAACTTTTCGGTGGTTCGGGTTGCGAAGAGCGAAGCAATCCTCTCGCTGACTGTCTCTTTGATGTACGGAGTTTGGTTCGGGGTCAGTAAGCGAACTCCTTTTGAGTGGGAAAAATGCAGGTACGCAGGAAAAGGTTCAGTTACTAAGCAACCGGTAATACTTAAATTGACGCTTCAACACTTAATACACAATACATGATTCGTTCAGAAACTCAGGGTCTTCGGCATGACACGACGTATTGCGGAAGACAGAACCCGTTGAATGTTCTCAGGCAGAGTGGATTTTTCCCGCAATAATTCCACCACCAGGATCTACAGATCTACAGCGCATTTATTCGTTCCGACGAGAAGTACAGAAGTGTAGAAATAGAAGCCATTGGATTGTGACTGAGGTTGTGGCTTATGCAAGAGACAAAACGCACGTTTTGGCGGGAATACTTCATCGTTTGTAGTAATTTACGCGACCCAATGCGTACGTTGCTGACAGGTGGGTTTAGCACATGAATCTCATCGCAATAATTGCCAGAAATAAAACAAAATAGATATCAGTCAAGCGGAACATACGGCAAAAGTTGTGCTCAGCCACTTGATTGTACGGACAATGTCAAGACTTCTATCATGGCTTGCCATAGACGGGATGACAGGATCATTCTACTTCTCTTTCTTATTGGTCTTGGAAACTGACCATCACTCAACGATCAAAAACCCGCAGTATCAAAAGACACAACCCCTCCATTAATCAGATCAAAAGTCGGAGTAAACTCCCCACCATTCGTCACATACAGCGTCCGTCTCTCCTTCGCACTTCCCCTCCCAAACTCCGCAGCCGTTGGATTCTTCAGAAGCGTCGTGTTTTGCAAGAGCTTCTGACTCCCATCCGGTCTCACTTTAACAACATGATTCGGGTGCGTAGCAATCCACGCATTCTTGCCAGCATCGAGGTCAAAATCATCGTAGTGGCCGCCCACGATCGGGTCTGTACTGATCAATTCCGCAGCGCCGATTTTGTCGCCAAATGCGTTGATCTTGACGCGGCCGTAGATGTTCTGGGCGGAGTTGGCGAAGTAGAGGTAGTTTCCTTTGGCGAGCATGCCGTTAATTCCAAGATTCTCTCCTGGAGTGTCGCTGACGCGTTGGAATAGGGGATCTGAGAATGCGATATCATATCTGCGGGTGATGAGATTGACCTTCCAGACAGCACCAATGGCTGAGTCGGCAGCGAGAATTAAGTGTGGTTTCCCTGGAACGGTTGTTATTGCGTTGAAGATTGTGGAATTGACAATGCTGGTCACGTTCTTGATGACCGGTGGATTCGAGTTGAAATTGACAGTCCATACCGTCAAGGATCCGAGAGCTGCTCGGGTTGTTGGGAGATCCCAGGTCCCAGTGATGAGAGCAAAAACATCTGGTGTTGTTTCTGTTATACCAGAAAGGCCAGTGACGTTGGCGAAGGTATGGATAACAGGTGCAGTTGGTGTAGCTTCTGTAGGGTCAATACTCCAAAGCGAAGGAACGCTTAGTGAAGTAAGAAGGAGCTTGCTGTTCGAACGGATCGCGATATTCTCAATGAAATGGTTGATTGGGAAGGTATAAACATTACGAATTGGTGGATTGGTAACGCCGCCAGGTACTGGATTTGCGATGGCAAAAGAGGACGCCAGAATGGCACAGATGGAGAACTTGAGCATCATGATCCGATTTTGATAGAACGGTATTCTGATTATCTGAACGAAGTTGGCTGAAGTCGCTCACAAACTCATCAGATATATACAGACAGCTTCGACTTTCCATCAATCACAGGATCTGACTAAGATCCCCTCTTTTGCAAAAAGAAACAGGGTCAGAAAAAGACACTATTGATCCGATTACATGGTAATAAGTGGGTGATGTATATGCAGAAGCGACCTGAAAAGTCTTGGTGCTCTACAGTGAGCCATTACTGGCTGTAACTGCGGGAGGATGTAACCCCCAGATTCGACGACTGCAGGTTAAAGATAACACCATGAGGCTGATGCAGGTGCAGCATTAATTTGCACACCGATTTGAGGGATTAACAGAGTTGATTCGCTTCCAAGGAAAACAATCCACAACTCTCTCGGTCTAGCAGGTCAAAAGTGTCGTGTAAGCCGCCCAAACAGCCAAATGCATCTTCGTCGACCGCTTCTGCAACAGGCATGAATGCAAAATGAAAAAAGTGGTGGGGGTTGAAGAAGGGAGGAGAACAGCCAAGCGATTACGGAATCACGAAATTAAACAGAAGGAGAATGCAAGTTCTGACCAAAGAACTCGAAGCAGAAATGAGAATGGAAAAATCAGAAACATAACGCTCCACTCGCTGGCTGTAGTGACTTGATTCTGTGGCTAATAGCAATGACAGCATTCGCTGAATAACACATCTGTATGCAAAACCCATAGCGCCATGTACTCAAAATATAGATGGTATCAAAAGCAACCGTACATCTAGGACGCCAAACTCCATTGCCCAGTATAATTGTAGGCGCGATCTTTGTATGTAACCACAAAGATTATAGACCAAGTAAGATTTTCAACACCATCGCGACCAGAAGTACCACAACTCCTGCAATTGCCCTGTCGATCCACATGGGAACACCATCATTTGATCTGCCATGCACAAGTTGTGCCTGTGCTTGTGGATTTTGCTGTATATTTGGCAACGGTTGGATGCGTGCTTGAGGCTGACCAGTAGGTTGTGGAGCAGTCTGACCTGGCCTCGCTGGCGGATATGGCTTTGCAGGAGTTGTGTCACTTGCACCGTCTGTTGTATTGACAATACCCTCAATTGCTACTGGCGCTGCAGAGGTACCGATCGGTTCTTCAGCAGTTTCCTTGCCTTTACCCATTTCGTCCTTGTAGCCCATCTTTAGCTCGTTCGGTATTGCGACTTCTTCGGCTTGTTGCCCCTCTTTCTCTTTTTCTTTTGCAGCCTCCTCGCATTCTGCAAGTATCTCCCGGTTGTTCTTTGCGCAGATTCCGCATTTCCAGTTACCGCTGCCCTCAGCAATTCGTTCTCTTTCCGCTTTACTACATTCCAACCCACCTAATTGACCCTTTGCGTCCGTTTCCATAAAACTTCTCAATGCCACCAAAGCTGTTCGGATTCCCCAAGCTGGCTGCCACGTTTCCTCGTGGTGTCCGCTTATGCTGAGACATATTTCACGATTAGCTTCGAATCGACCAGATGGAGTGAGAAAGCGAAAGGATGGTGGGCGAAGCGGATATGTCGGAGGCAGCACTATTCTGCCATGATATATGCCATTAGCAAACGCTGAGGATGGCGGGCCGCGTAATGTGAAATGCCACTCGAACAGGTCCGAGTCGGAAGCTGGAGAAGCGTGGTAATCTGCAGATGGAGAATGGGATATTTCGGCAGCTTCACGAACTAGATAAATATCAGTTGGCGTGAAAACAGAGAGCTTACAAAGGACATTTGAATATGGATGGTCGAAAAGAGCTCGAATGAATGACTTACGTATGCGCTTTATTGTAGGAGATTTGGAGTTGAATCTTGGAGTTGCCATGATGGCAGAGTTTAGGTATGAATGTCACCAGCAAGATAGCCGTACTTGATGGATCAATTATAAGAATTGCAGCAATGAAGCTGGCGCTTGCTAACGAATGAAGTGGGGTTGTATGAATGAACACCTTGAGGTTCAAGCTCCAGTCATCCGATAAGAAGCAGATCCCAGTCACGTGACTAGCCCTTGAAGACTGTAATTCATTGAGCTTTCATCTAAATTGTGTCAGTTATCAATCACAAGTCTGAGCATGCAGTTGTGCCAGAAAGTCATGACTGTATCAGAATTCCATTGTCATCAGCTAAATGTTATACCCAGAATATTTTACAATTAACTCCAAATCCCCAGTCCGCTCAACCAACACTCGTCAGATTCAAACCTAATCGACGCCATCATCATATTGTACCCAAGCTTTCGAGTCATCTTTCTGCCTTGAAAGTGTATTTCCAAGTATTGTGTTAGTGACGAGACCAACTTTTTGTGGCCAAGCTGAAGCTGCAGCTCGGTCTAATGTCCGTTGAACCAGCTCATCCTCATCCTCACTAACATCATCAAATTGTCCATTCGAGCCGCGAGGTGATAAATTCTGCATGGACACGTTGTTGGTCCTTTCGTCGGCATCTGCGTAATCCTCCGGCATCCTCCCAAGTATTCGGTCTGCTTTGGACTGAGGTCGAGTAGGATAAGAATTGACATAGTGTCTAGCAGCACCAACTTGTTTCTGAGGAATTGGCTCTACAGGTTCTCCCCAGCCTGCAGCGTGTTCACGGTTCCTCTGGGCATCTCTTTCTCTAGCCAAATTCTCTCTTGCAGCCAACCATTTCGGACTTGGCTCCCAACTCCATCCATTTCCGGTCGTTGTAAGTATAGGAAATGCCCACAAGGCCCGGTTGTGTCCAAAGAGATGAAGGAGGTTGGCTCTCCAACCAAGATCAAAAGCACTGGGCAACTTTTCCGCATCCTGTTCATCCAAATATTCTTCGTAACGAGCCCGAGCTCTTTGTCTTTCATAGGCATCGTATTGCTGTCGGGTATAATCTCCTCCATTATGACGTTCCAGTGGTTCTTCTGGGATATTCGCACCAGGCTCACCTACAGGATGTTGTATATACTCCGAAGCGCCATTTATTCCTGGTGGGGCGTGTTGGTTGCGTAGGTTCTTTCGTAGTGGTGAAAGATATCTCGTTTTCTCCAAGCACTCAATCGTGGTCTGTCCACGCGATGCTAATAAAATATGCCATCCTGTGAACCCCGCGAGAACCAGCCCAATAATTCCAGATATCACAGCCAGCATGACATAGTTGACCGGCATCAGTGACTCTTGATACTCGCCGTCATTCAATATTTCTCTATATACCCAAGTCGCCGAAACTCCAAAGCAAACGAAGCAGAATATTGTTGTATATATCAGGAAGAGAAGGAAGAATTTATAGTTTCGCAATCCCACACAAGTCGCTAGCCAAGGACAGTGATGATCCATTTTCAAGACGCAGGTCTTGCAAGTCGAACAGTGATGCGCTCTATCCGGTTTCCTTGCCTGGCACTTCTTGCAGTATCTTGTTTCCCCATTCGACTTGACCGTGAAATTCGTCGCATTCGGGGGTGCCTGCGTTGGCAGGGAACTGTAGCCATTGTTCGCCGTCGTCGTCGTTCCGGGGCTTGTGAACACTGCGCGAGTGTATGACCAGTTTAACATAACATAGAGAGCTATGCCGAGCAGAGATGTCCAATTCCCTAGCAATTGTCAGCCGCGTGAACTATCCTTATGGAGCTGAAAAACTGACCTATCCATGAACCTTTCGTAGGCAGGAAACCTATGGTTGCTTCCACCCAAACAGCCCAGGTCGTGAGACTATACACGAAGAACAAGGGGAAGTATGTGGCCCCTAAACAGCAATATCGTTCGCATTTTCTGGCCCAGCGGCGAGGAGGCATTCTGGATGGGGATCCGGCGGGACTAGATCGTGGTGTTGCAAGCGTCGCCATTACTTGGGTACGGCATTCGAGGATATGCTACCGTATCATAGCCGGTATGTCGTGGAAAGGGGTTAATATGCGATCGCGATTATCGAGTCCTGGTGTTGCGTGTTTGAGGATGGTAGTTCTGGAGGCTGTGCCAAGTGAGTTTGGTCATCCCGAGCTCCGTCGCCAACGCCAAGACCAGACAGGACGTCTGACTGAACTTGTAAGCATTGCACTTCATGCAAACATCGCCTTCAACAACCACCATACCTTCATGGATCGCTTCAATCTGTCTTGACCGAGTAGAATCCATCTTATCTTGATTCCACTCGAAAACTTTTCAGTGATTGATTCCTCCAAGATGATCGATTGACCATGTGTGCTCTTGCCATGCGTCCGACGAAGAGCATGCTGAGTGTACGACATCCCTTCTATTCATAGATACTGTCTTTTAGTATGATGAGCTGGGCTACTTGCAACGGTAGGTATACAAAGTCTACCGGCACATCAAATGGGATCATCAAGAACTTTCTATACCTGCTAGCGCTTCAGAAGCTATAGCACCAGTGTATTACGGCTCTGACGTGACTCCTCCTAACTCACCGACGTTATAATAACATTTTCTCACTAAAACCTACGTTGATCTTATTCTCTTAAGTTAAGATATAGTCTTGTCTCCTTGTATAAGGCTAACTACTTATATAAAGGAAGGAGTGCTGACATTCGTTTTCCAACATTGTTATACTTAGAGAGTGACTTGTCAGTCTCACAATGTATTGTTATAGCTCTACAAGTTACCTACGGTATCTAGGTACATGATCTTTGAAGAACTCCGTGGCGGAAGCCAGAGGGGTATAAGATTCGATAGCTCTTTCCTCCCCAAGTTTGTCCATTTACAGTTAGTTTGTTTTACAAAGCGTTACCATCACTCTCGTTAAACCTTCGACTACATCTTCTTTTCATGAGCAGTTACATGGGTACATCTTCACCTTCACCGCACTAGCGTGTTTTCCAAGCGGACTAATGGGGCTCAAATCTCTCGCACTTTCAATTTCTGCACTTCTCGTCTTCACAGATCGATTTCCTGTTTGTGGGAATCTTTGCCTCAAGGCTGAGACGTTTTCCATTACATATCTCAAAATACGTCTTTCTTCTTCCATCAGTGGCCTCTGCGTCGTATTACACCATGGACCGCAAAACCCGATCAACGTCGGGAGCCCGCGATCTATCAGATGCGATGCTCCCCCCAGAGGATCCGTTGCCTTGTAAAGTGTGCAATAAGATCTTCCCAACATTCGAAAAGTTTCACAAGCACAAGTTCGACAAAAAGAGTCATTTTGGATTGTTTTGTCTAGTCTGTTCAAAAGATTTTGCAACCCGCGAGGCGTGCAAGGCTCACCAGCTTCAGGTAAAGCTCTGGCCCAAATTAACATATCATCACCTTACTCATTGGCTTTAGTATCATGCTGCGAAACAGAACCTGCAATGCCCAGCATGTGCTCAGCGCTTCACTCGTCTCGGCGGCTTGATCCATCATATCGAATATCAAGATTGCAAACCAGGTGGAGACCCGACTGAGTTTCGAGACCGAGTCAAACAGAAAACCGCCATTTACAATGATCCCGTTAATATGCGTAATCGTACTGAATACGGCCAGACATCTGGAGACTTCCGTGAAGATGATTTGCTCACCTTCGACAACGATGGTCCCGAATCGGCTCAGGCCAAGTCTGTCAAAGGTAAGACATAATGTGTCTCGAAGAAATGGGAAATTAGGACTTAAAAATGACTAATTCTCTCGCAGCGACTCCTGAAATTATCTATGGTAAACCTTCTCGTCCAACCCCGAATCCGACGCCGAATCCAACCAAGCTGAGGCCCTCGACTGAAGCAACACCGTCCAAACCCAGAGGACTGTCTGCGCGATTCGAAGCAGGTGATTTAATCAGTTTCGATGAGACATCTCAAAATTTGAAGGACCCCCGGGACGTTCCTCCCCAGCGAACAGCAAAAGGCGTCTATGGCAGCTCTACGGGCTCGCAAATATCATCGGCCAAAGGTCCTAACAACCCCCAGCTAAAGTCTGCCTGGTCTACAAAGAAAGACTTGTTCCCATCCACCGAAAAAGTCACTCCGTCTGTAGGTTTCGCAAATCCACCACTCCCCGAGCCATCTTCGACCATCGTCAACACTGGGACACCCCCCCAAAATGAAGCAAGACGGGACGGACCTAAACCGCTTGTTCTTTCGCCATTTGATCCTGATAACCCTACCTTTCGGGCAGACAGTTTCTTTGATCCTGATATATTGCCACTTGGAAAATATAAGTGTCCTCATACTGGCTGCGGGTGAGTCGATTGTAGCTGTTGATTTGATTTGATCTGATTCCTCTTAGGAAAAGCTGTCCTACCTCGAACTCTTTCATAAGCCATTTAAAATCAGCCAAACACGCCGTGCAAAAGCTTCAATGTCGCAGATGTTTGAGGTACTTTGCTTCCGCAACAGCTCTCACGCAACATTCCGAATCGCAAGGCGTTAATTGTAATGTCCGGGACACTGATCAGTTTACTGCTTGTGTCGACGAATTTACCGCCGGTACTGCCGCTCCTGCTGGTCGTTTTAAGGACAATACCATCAAATATGTGGTCAACAAATTTGACAAACTTGAAATCGATAAAGCGAAGGCTGCCCTTGATGCCGCTAACAAGGCTCATGCTGCTGATCAAGCGACTTTTTGGACCAGACATGTACCGAAATACTAATTCAAGAATTGGCTGATCATGTGGAGCTAGTGGAGGAGCAGATAGGACGGGTAACTACTTCCTTTGAAATCTCGGCACAGATTTAGAGTCTTCTCTTCAATCACCCCAGGTTCCGATATCTTATGTTGATAAATTAGCGATGCTTCTGATTGGCGATTAGCGTTGCGCTTACCCTTAATGTTTGCTATGTTTCGTTGACTTTCGAGTGATAATAGCATTTTTTGTTGTTAGGAATTGCGATGAATCAAATATGTTAGTTCTGCAAGCTATAACAATCAAATATCTGTCTAGCTACTACTACTAGTGTATATTAACACAGACAGGATAACTCCAAGTGCAACATGTGGGAAAATGATTTCCTAACGCTCACTCCAAACAGAAATATTCAGCCTCTGCATTAGAGGAAACATAAATATACACTCAATCGATCTGAGCAAATGCGGATTTCTGGGTCATCAGGTGTCCCGTCGAAGGTGCACAGTGGTGTAAGCAAATTATTAACAAATTAAATGTAATCACCACCCGACAGAGCTGGGTGTGAATGGCACGAAGTTTTATTAGTATAAAATGATTTGTTTCAACCAACACTGGCAATTCCTTCCTTTCAACTTACCACTAGTTAATTCATCAAAAATGATGGCTTCCCCGGAGAACTGCACCAGACCACAAACCCAGGAAAGTACTTGCCTTCACGAATCGACTGAGCGTCCTTCACTTGACACCAACCCAGATGATTTCTCCTCCTCCCTGAGCCAGACCGATATCCCGGCCCTCGAGAAGAACTTAAAACATCTACTGGCCTATCCCACCTCTTTTGACGATGTCCTCAACCCTCATATGCACGCGGCGATTATGTTTATCATGGACCACATCATACCATGTGCTGGACAGGTCGTGCCCCCTGACTCCATGCAAGGCGATGTAATGCGCGTACTTTCTCGCTTTGGGAGGGAATGGCCTCTTTCGGGACGAAGACGTGTAGGTGACTATTCTGAGGACAAGAAACATCCGACGTTGGGTTTGAAGAGGGATAGTGAGATTAGTGAGTTGGATCTTAATGACGAAGGGGCGCCGGAAGTTTCTGGGGGTTCTCAGACATCTCAGGCGGGAAGGAGCTCGAATAGAGCAGAAACCCGTAATTTCGAAGAAATACGGCAAGATGAAAACTCAGGTGGTAGTATCCAGAGTTCTTCTGAGGCCGTTGACGGCACGGCAGGGGAATCACATACAGAAGCATCACATACAGAAGCATCACATACAGAAGCATCACATACAGAAGCATCACATACGCAAGCATCAGTCAACCAAATCGATAAAAAGTATGGGAACTATCAGCCACCGACTGTCGAAACCATTCAGGATGAGGCTTTCAACAAGCTTGTGTGGTAAAACAGAAGGTCTTTTGTATGGTTCGAAAAGTTGATGGCTACAAGAGGTTCAACATGCGACTACAACGGTGTTCTTCTTTGACTTTGTAACTTGTAAGTAGAACGAAGACTTGGTGGATCTGTATATATACTACGTTGACTTCAAATAATCTTGAATTTAGAAATTTTAGAAGCAGGCAAGTCTTTTTCTTGCTTTTTAATTCGCTGTCGTGTTCGCGGCACTTTTTAGTTTTTGCTAAGTTGTAGAAAATTGACCGACTTGCTCTTCCACCTTAGAACACTCTAATTAACCACATGTAGTGCAAGTTAATGTCTCTAATCAATTAAAGTATTAATATTTTATTGATATCTACCTGGAATTGGTGAAAACGAAAGAGCCATACATTTTGTTGACGAAGATGTAGGAAGTCAATTCTTCACAATTTGAAAAGTCGTCATTCGTTTGCGGCAGAACTTATAACTATATTTTTCACTTCATTGCAGTCCAAAAATAAAGTGTCGTATTGTTTTCATCTACTCAGAACTCGAGCGATAAATGCCTTTTTAACCATGCAGTACTGTCCCCATGTTTTGCCAATGAGAACTCGTGGTTTGCCTTCCCTGAAACTGTCAACTCTCGCGGTTGACATGGCTGCAAGTTCCTACGTACTTCTACTTGATCCGAGATATTTAACCGAGTCAAGAAACATTTTGTTCGCTCAAATCGATAGGAGGAATAATCATTTTCAGTCAATCACAACGAATGGAAAATCAAGTTTCGCCTGCTGCTCATGTTGCCACCACCATCCACCAAATGCGTCCATGTCAGCGTTCGAGATCTCAACAGGCATACGCGGTTGCCTCGTATTACTAGCAACCTATTGGCCAGTATATTTAAGGCTGTCTCGTGTCAACACTTGGCTGCTCCACCCATGCTTATTATTGCTGGGATAATTTATTTGCGGCGCAGTTTTGTGTTGCTTCAAAAGACGACTGCCCCGCTACTGTTAAACCATTTTTGAGCCTCAATTCTATCATCTATTTTATATTCTTTGAGTATCACAGGATGGTGTTCTCAAACACGGCGTTCACCACATTGGTGCTGAGCTCTCTCATATCGACATCCCTCTCATACGACACCCCATCCCAAGGCAAAGTCAACTTCAACAACAGGATCAACTGCGACGGTCGATTCGACAGCACAGAACTCATCGAGGTAGACAAATGCATACCCGTCAAGCACGATAAATATCAAGTCCTCCAAGTCGTCAGTCCCTGGCCCACCTGCGCCGACGGCAGCGATGCTCGCTTCGCAACATTCGGCTACCGAAACCGAGAATGCGATGCAAAAGGCGACATGAACCCTTTAGAAGACAAGAACGATTATCTTAACACTTGCACCTACATGGCGTTAGCTGGAAGTTTCGCATTCTGGTGTGATGGCGCGGTTTACGATAAGCGCCCTGGATGGAATGGAAAGGATCACTCGGCTCCGGGTGGTGTGTTACAGTGGAACGAGAAGAAATGCAACAGGAATACAACTCCTAAACCTAAATATTACGAAGCCGATGTTTGCATCGATGTCAAGGAAAATATGGGTTTACAATTAACCGGCACCGCGCTGTGCAAGAACGGGTCAGACGCTTTGGTAGCTGGATTTGCAGGCAAAGGCTGTGATCCCACTTCGAAACCACTCGCTGAGCCATTTACGAGATGGGATGACCGGATGAAAGGGTTTTGTCTCCCGACGGATGGAATCAATAGTATGACCTTTTGGTGTGATGGGTTTGACGATATCGATATGCAGAAGCCGAAGCGAGCGAAGAAGTCTTCGAATTTGGGACTGATAATCGGACTGAGTGCTGGGATTGGTGGATTCTTGCTCATTGCTATGGGCTTGGTTGTGGCGTACAGTATTAATTACCATTTTAGGGAATGGGTCAAGGTATGTACTTCTCTTCAAAACCTTGAAGGGAAATCTGCTAAGCGGTTGATTAGAAACTTTTCGGACAGGATGATGGGTATATTGCATTGTAGAGTTATGACTTGTCGACAAATTCCAATCACTGATATAATATTGCTGTATTATATTATTTGTCTCATGGTGGACAGTATTAGAGGCATTACAATGCCGGTATCTATAAACTAAATAGCGCGTTAAATATGATTTAATGAGTTGGACTTTTACTGTATCAGACTTATCAACTAACTGTTCAAAGACTCGCCTGGAGGTCATGGACGAGTATCCCCTTATATTGTCTACAGTAGGACGTAAATGAAGATTACCTAGCTTCGATCGAGGGAGGGTAACGTCTGCTCAATATATCTTACTGGGCATTATTTTGCGCTGCATAAATTTCCAGAAAACAGCTTATGACTCACTTCTAAAGCCAGAAGTACTGCATAGTGATGAGAGCTTCTCGTTCTCTGACACATCAGTACATTTTGAACAGATTCATTCCTGACATGATACAAGATCGTATGTGCCGATATAAACGACTGTGCCACTTATGGTTTTACTCGACTTGCGTCTCTCCTGATCTTAATTTGAATTCCACTGCGTCTCTTTAGATTCATTTCGGATTACATGATCAAGTATCCGTATTCTTTAAATGATCCTTCTACATATGAAGTCTCGGGCCGAAGATAAATATTGCAAACAAACAACTGTCTATTAGCTACAACACATCTAAACTGGCAGAATCCTATCTGGAGTATCACGAGTGGCAATTCTTTTCTATCAGCCTTACCAGCATACAATTGTTTGGCGTAATTGAGCCGACGGGAATAAGCCAGCTATCGCCTCAGTGGCACTTTACGAATACTTGGAACTCTGCTCCAATGAGTCAAACCGTTCAAACATCAGAAAGCATACATTTATATTTCTCTGTAATCTCCCAAGTCAATGCCAAACTTTTCTAGGAAGTTGTTCGCTTCTGGAATAGGAGCGTCCAACATTACAAATCCTGTGGCTTGAATCCTTTTCCGCACTTGGAATGTGTCACAAAGTCTCGTAAGTAAAGCAACTACAATTAAACACATTTACGTAGAACCAAGGCTCTTAAGCGTCTGAGTGGTTTTGGGCGAGAAGAAGATACCCTGTGACTCAAAAGGAAGAGAAGCCGACACTTGCTTGAACACTTGCTTAACCCGAACCAAATTGAAGTTAATAGTCGTCTTGTTGATTTGACTGTAGATTATGTGCCATGAAGGCACGCATGCTCAGAGCCTAGTACATCTATGCGACCCGTTGGAAGATGCATGAGTATCAGCAGCCATACTCGAAACTGACGACTCGCACAAAATCCGTTAGCCTACCACCTGATCATTCCCTACCTCCAACATGCCTTCTAAGGCACATCAACAAGCACACCATAGACCGTTACTTCAAAGCACAACTTGAACATAATTCATAAAACATTGTCACCTACTAACAACATACTCCCTCCCAGTATCATACACAATCGGTTCCGTCTTGATAGTATACTCCTTATGTACCACAATCCCGCCCATAAACTCCGACGTCCTATTCTGCCGCATGCCCAAATCCCCAGACCCCTCAGCCGAATTATCAAAACTCTCCCGCGTACACGTCGCCAAACCAGGCTTCGTACCTAGGTAATCCTCAGGCCACTGTTCCTGACTACCGTTGATGCGATTAAATCCACCTCGTGAGGCCGTAGGATCCGCAAGAGGAATAGTTATCGCGCGCGAGGGGAGGTGATCGCGAGATCCGGCTTTGCGGCTGTGGTTGAGTTTGAACTTTTCGATGCCATGGCGGAATTTGTTGGAGTCGAAGTCTTTGAGAAAGGTGTTCAAAAGGGGTCGGAGGGATGGGAGACATGCTGCAATGAGGTAGACCCCTGGTTCGACTGTTGACCATAGAACGATATCTACGCCGGCCCACGTGAAATCAAGATCGTAGCCCTTGAGCTTTGTGAAATATATAGATATCCGAACGATGGATGTGATGATACCGCTAAGGTCATGTCAGTCTAGTAAATTATCAAGAATCTGACAACTTACATGCCACCTGCCATAAATGTAACAGTGAGTCCAATCTTCTGATTCCTCGAAGTTTGCAGTCTCCAAATAAATGGCAAAGGCAGGATAATCATCATCAAGTCCGTCAGAATAATTGGCAAGCAGAACCATATATACACCTTGAACTGATTCAGACAAGTTCCCTCCTGTAGTGGATTCCATTGTTTCGAAAATGGGACACACATCCTGAATTGTACTATAAATTGCGCCAGCCAGATGGCAATGATGAGCCCAGCGATAGCATGAGAGGCATATCGAAAGACCTTCCCTGAAAATATCCGAAGATATAGACAAATGATGCACAATCTAGGAAGAGCAACGGCCGCCGGGTTGAGGAATGATATCGCAACTGTGAGTTTAAGAAATATCTGGATCTGTTCCCACGAAACTACTTGGACATGTCGTCCAATTCCACCCGTCTTAACGTATACTAACAGCTGTTAGCGAGGTTGAGTTGATAAACAATTCCACTCACTTATACAAATAACAAGATTAGCAGTGCAAGCCAAAAAGGTCGGCACCATCAACCATAGATCCAAGTCATGTTTAGATCTAAACTTCAACCTCGAGTAATAGAATAAGGCGACAAAGAGACATTCGAAGATGGCAAAAGTGATAACGGCATTGACAAGTCGATAACTATCGTTTGCGAGGGCGAATTGAAGAGTGAAATCTCCCTTGATAATGCTGGCCGCTACGAATTCGCTGATTTTTCCAGACTTAACAGCTGCTTGAATAGCATCGTTCATGTTCTCGACGATCTGAGTGCATGTCAATGCATGGCCGGACCGGCTAGCATTAGACGAGAAGAAAGTGACGACGATGCGCAAAGAAAGTAAGGCGATGACTGATAATATGTAAAGTGTGTGACAGGAAGAGGATGCTTCTTTGAGTTGTGGGGTGGGCAATGAAAGGCGCAGCATGGGAAAACAACTCTACACCTTATCGGAAATCCCGTCTTCTCACCGGCATGCATCCTTCAATACAACTCTGCATGGAGAGAAAGACAGTAAGCATGGCTGCCCTGCAGTGAGAATGATTAATCCAGAGTTATTGGGGTCGTGTCCCTAGATAATCCGCAGATTTTGTCTTCGATACTCCATCTTAATACAATTATTCCATTGTGTGAGTCGAGATGTACCTGCTTCAATTTTAGTTCGTACTCAGATAAACCTACACGTGGGATAAAGTATCTGGCGTGTCTCGATATTCGTTCGAAGCCATTTGGATTGGTGAAAGCCGTGCCACATGTTTGCATGGGTCTCGTGCAGACTACAAGCATCAAATCCTCCCACCTGCCGAGAATGTGCGAATCTCACAATGAGGATTGGACAGTTCGCCCACAGGCATGTAAGCTTGTCATCTAGAGGTGCTGCCACCAATCAGCAAAAATTAAAATGGACAAAGATTATCGACCAAGACGAGAGGCAAAAATCAATGATCATCCCATGTGCCCACTTTGAATGGTTAGTGCCCGGTACTGAATTGCGTAAGTCAGGGGCAGCTCAGATGAATCTGAGATTCGTGGATATTTTTGGATTCATAGCCTGTCCTCGTGGTGTATTCCCCACATGCTTCATCCCGAAACAAGTTCGATAAGACTGTGACCGGCTTCTCGGGCTGACATGAGAAAAACAAAGAGTAGAAGCTTGTCACCCAAAACGGAGAGCGAAGTATCGCAAGTCATGAAAGACAAGTGCCTTGTTTATGATTTGGTGTTATCGATAAATGTTTTCATAATGACAATCATTGTCGGGAAAATACCAAGGGATCTCCATACAGGCTAAAAGTTGAAATTCTGGTACTCACTCGAATACCCATACAGTGATAAGGGGAATGATCTTCAAGATTACGGTCGAGCCTCCGGAGCCTTTTCAACGTCAATTTCTCGCCGCAATTTTACATTGAGGAGTAGCAAGCGTTAGTGACCACAATAAAATATGGTAGAGCTTTTGAATATGACAATAATCGAAAGTGGATAAGAAAAAACATTAATGTATTAAACCGGATGTAAAGCACTGTGTCAATTCTTAAACATTGCTCTTGACTGCCACCTTGTCCTATCCGTTGGGCAGTCATCAACCACGACCGCACGACTGAATCCCCACATCGCTTACAACGAACTTTCGTAATATGCGTTTCATGTACCTGCCTCCAACCGTTTTCGGATGGGGAGAAGGATCAAGAACCTCGTGTTCTTCTTAGTTCTACCAAGCCACGAAATATGTAAGCTGACGAAACGTGGAAGGTGGTACATGGGGGAGTAGAATCGCCCAGGATCTCTGGGTAACACGAGAATGCAGCAAAAAGGACGATCTTGCATTTAAGTCGCCAACAGTTTTTGATTGGATCAAGCATACGAGAAGCCGTGAAGCGATCGTTCGTTGAATTACACTTCATGCTCGACATCAGCCATTCGAGGGACTTTATGAAGGCTAACCCTGCCGTATTTCGCCACAAGCTCAACCTTGAGAGTGTAAGTATTTGCCAACCAGAGAATAGTTAAACTTACGCATTGATGTACCGATTCTACATCTTCTTGACTGACACCGACTCTTCTTATCCCTCGGAAATGCCATGCGGTCTCTTTTGGCAGATTCTGTATCATAATGCCGGAAAGGACAACAAGTTCTGTTTCAATTGGTCCAAGTATAGTATGATCTGAAAGATAGAAACCGTAGGTGATATGTCTCGAGATGAAGTCGAAGTCTCTGTGGGCTAGAAAATTGTCGGTTGAAGCGGACAAATTGCCTTTGTAGATTTGATTGAGCCAATTCTCCCCTCGAGCCAGATTTTCCGGCCCAGTTACCCAATTTTCCCTATAGAAGTCAACGACTGAGAATCCATCATCATCGTCTTCTCTTCTTACCTCGAACATGAATAGTCTTTATCTTCTGGTCGTTCGACCTGCACTATTGAAATTATTCCCTCGATTGGTTTGCAAACACCATGTATAGCAATGCCCTTGACCAACGCTTCCCGAATCCGGCGGATCAGTGCTTTTCGAGCCTCTGATGTGGCATATTCGGGTTTGTTGATGAGATATGTATACAGAGTTGCGATTTGTTCCGGTTCTACAGAGACCAAAGCAGAGAGCTACGAGGTCAGTCGAACACTCCTCTCCATCCTGGCAATAGACTCACTGCAACCAGATACCATTTATCGCTGCCGAGGGTCTTGTGTGGAAACTTTGCTTCAATGGCTTGTAGGAGGGCAATGGTGTCTTGTTCGGTTGGGGGTGTATAGGAAGTCATGGTGATGCTTCGATGGATGGCTCCGACAGGCGTCAATTGATTTTTGGAGGGAAACAGTGACTTGTTTATGGGTGTTCGATACGATATTGTTCGACCTAAAATAATCTGTCAGCAGAGATGAAGCTTGAAGGAAAGATGATAGCTGTGTCGGCCGACCTGATATACTGGTAATTGTTCTCTGCGCCCAAGGAATTGATTGTACTGCCGCTCTTTTGAAGGAAGAGGGTATTGCCCGAGAAAGTGAAGTCATACCAAAGTGTCTGAGACGAAGAGACCAGAGAAATATACCTATCTTGGTGCCTTGGTGATCCTTAGTCCAATAGCCAAAATAAAGGCTGCGGGACACGGATCGCGGGAAACTGAAGCTGACAGGAGACAACTTCGAAGAGACCAGCGAAGAGATATTACACCAGCTAGGGCATCATTAAGAGTCTTGCAACTTCATCGAAATATGCAAAAAGATCAGACTGTCGACGATGACAATATTCATGGCAGTAGAAGTGGATTTTGCTCTTGGCATGTTGTGTAATGTTATGATTGATTCTCGAAGCTTTTGGCTGGGGCAGCTCCCGTCGAGCTCTGACCTTGATTTCAGCCTCACCCCTCCACAACTCTCATGCCCCGCATTGACAGCAACCCCCTCTTTCTGCCACCACCCCTCATCCTTCCTCTGCCAAAGACCTGCGATGGATTCTGCTCAAAAAGAAACGCCTCAAGAAGCTCCGAGTACTGAGGTTCAGCAAAACGATGCGCCGCCCGATCCTCTTACCGCCATCACCGATAGCCTCCCACCTGCCACCGACTACCTAACTTACCTGACTATTCTTGAGTCCCACCTATCACCAGACATCCTACCGAAGCTCAACGACATACTTCAAGATGAAGAATTGACACAGCATATTGGATGGGATTTGATACATCTGCTTCTGCCCCTGCCAGGTGGTGAAAAATGTCTAGAAACGGTTGCAAGATTGGGGAATCCGCGCGAGGTTGTTTTGAAGGTTACAGAAGCACTGCAAATACTCGAACTAGACAATGCTGCGAGAGATGAGGAAGGGGAGGAACAGGATGAGGAGGATACAGAGGAGACTACAGCAGACGATGAAACTTCAAACGATCCCAATGAAGTCGTACCTAGCTCTGAGCCCACTGAGGTCGACAAGTTCTGCATTCTTGTCAACTTACTTCAAATATTACATCCACGAATCAAGACGCAATATCCTTCTCGATTTCTTTCCACCTCCCTCATGGCAATACTCTCAGCTTTTAGACCTTCGAATCAAGCTACCTTGGCCGTTATATCTTTTGTTCATACAGTGTCAGGGAAAAAGCGGCCACCTCTTCCAGGGAGATCCTCAAGTATGAGTATTTCGGTCAGATCCAGTGGAACAGAATCCAAATCTTCTGCACCAGACCCAGAAGCAGAGGAGGAAGACCCAAGAGAAGCGGCCATACAGAAGAAACTATTACAGTCATTTGTTACGCATATATTAGAAGATTATGTAAACGAGAACCCCTTGGAATGGTCTGCGCGATTGCAGGAGCTGTATGATCCCAAAAGAGTTGTTACAAACAAGAAGAGTCTTAGTCAATCATTTCGAGATGTCGAAGAACTACAAACGAGAGATACAGTGGTGGGGCAACTAGTAGTAAGTTATTTTGGCCAATGCATTCACGCCTCTTTCCAGGCTTGACTCGTAATAGAGTTCCTAATTATGGTGCTAAAACTGACGAGTTTAGGCCCTGGGAAGAGACCTAGGTCTTTCCGACTATACTGAGTTATTCGAGGCAATTTACAAGAGCGAAGAAGAGTCCGACGATGATCCAGAATCAAATTATCCAACATCACCCAATGATATTCCACTTTCAAAGCCTGGGTCACTGTGCTTGATAGCATCGTTAATTTTCGCGTCAATCCTATTCGATTCAAAAACGCCTCCTCCGAAAATGTCAATATTTCCAGATCACACCAAGCTCATGGCCCAGTTTATTGGTACGAGCGGTCCAGGGACTAATGGTACGGAAAAACCAGGTGTGATAGATGCGATACTAGCCATCGGATTATGGCTAGAGCACAATAATCAATTCGTGACAGGACCACTGGAGGATGAAGACTATCTGCAACAGCTTCAATCACTCTCTCTTTTATCAGCTAATACGCCGTCACCAACACTACGATACGCTGCTCACTCACTTACTTCCGCAATACTTCACGCTCATCCAGTCGACCGCCTTCGATTGACCTTTATATCAGATACCCTCGAGCATTGTCCTTATGAAACATTGAAAGCATCAGCCGTATCATGGTTAAAGGAGGAACTGGTTACAGCACAAGAGAGGAAAACCGAAAATGTATTTGGCACAACCCTCGCTCTTGCAGCTGCGCAACCATATTTATTCCCAGACACATCGGCCCTCCGAGAAGCAGACGAGAAGGAATTAGAAGAGGAACTTGCTCAGTCATTCCCATTCCACATGGCTGTCCTCAATTTCATCTACCTCATCTCCAACAAGCAGTTCTCCAACGTCGTACCACCAGGTATGATGGTTGTAGTTGAGGAGATATATCTAGGCCCCTTGCGAGCCGCGCAGACGAGAGCACTTGCAGCTCAGCAGGACGGCGAAGAAGGACATATTGATCATGCTCATGGTTTTACTTTTGACCTTCAATTACTTGGCGATCGATTGGCGCTATGTTCGACGCATTTAGAGACTTAGACTTGGTAGATAGGACGATGTGTGATGATGAATATACGATACCCAGTGGTTATATGAAAGATGAGATTCTTGAACGTAGTAGACTTGAATCTTGATGATTGACCGTCAGCACGGAACGAATTCGAGAGTTCGACCTGTGAACTGAACTGTGTGCATTATTTTTATGACTTGTGCTTCATTTACAGGTAAATGTATCTCTGTGCTGCCAGTAAACTGGACGAAGGAACTTAGAGTCCTAGCTGGCTGGAAATCTCGGTTGGAACGGGCGTGATATAACCGAGATATGGGCAAACCTGTGATAGTTCGTAATATTAGCACTCATTCCAATTGATGAAGGATTGGAAATGTGGGTATTAGGAATGATAATGAATTGGTGGACATAGTCACAACCAAGAACGCTGACTACCTCTACAAAGCTAAACACCATTTCCTAGTCCAATACGCAATGCTAAACCCAAAATACCAATTGCAAAAACAACGTCTATCTCGAACCCAATAAAGGCCATCAATCTCTCCCTCCATCAAGAAGCAATCACAGGCGCAGGCATCTTCTCCTTCTCCCCCTCCCCAACTTTTCCATTTGCTGCCGCTTCCCCCTTCCCATCCCCCCCCTCCTTCGCACTACCCGGATTCAACGGTTTCGCAGGATCATACCCCACACTCTTCACAATTCCCAGACCTTTCGTGCGGCCTTCCCTGAACAGCAGCCGATCACCCGGCGCGAGATACTCAGGTCGCTGCACAAAGCGAAAAGCAACGGTTGCTCTGTCACCCGTGCGGATGTAGGAACGGTCTATGTCTATGATCGCGCAGGTTTGCGAGACAGGGCCAACGTGAAGCATGGCTTGGTATTTGGTTTTGATGGTTGTGGCGTGGGAGAGGATGAGTACTGGGGTTGGTTAGAGAGAGAAAAGGGGTAGGGAGTGCGATAATGTACCTTCAGCGACAAATTCGCGGTAGACCTTTGGAGAATTCTGTTCTAGTTTCGGTAACACGACCATACCTTTCCGCACATCTTTCCGCCGTACCCTTTTCAGTGCAAAAGACGCTGATTGACCAGCAGAAGCAGCAGGGACAGATATTCTTTTCCGCTCTATTGACCTGACGGTAGTGGTTGTGAACTGACCAAGTGAGTCGGGACCGATCAAAACTGTGTCTCCTGTATGAATGACACCACTCTTGATGATTCCAGATACAACGGTACCAACGAAAGGAACGGAGAAAGTGTCATTGACATGAAATTCGAACGGAGCATCAGCATCATAATGGCCATGATGAGGAAGGATGTTGAGAAAAGTCCGTACGAGGTCCAGAGACTCTCCAGTAACATTCGAAACCTGGAATATAGGACATATCCGCTGACTCACAAACTGTGTCGCAGTATTGATACATTCTTCTCGGTTCTTGATGAATATTGGAATTTTCCGAGCTCCTGGACTTTTTAATATCCTTGTGATTTGCTGAATTGTCTGTTCCAAGATTTGAGGCGGGCAGATATCGATTTTGGTTATCACAACCATAACTGGGACGTTGAGAGCAAGAGCAATTCCCAAATGCTCTTTACTCATTCCAATCAGCCCATTGTTAGCAGCTACCATCAGTAAACAGTAGTTTGGACTTGAAGATAAAAGTCCAAACACTGTGGTCCGTAGATATCGCTCGTGTCCAGCCAAATCGGTAAAGGAAATGACTTTGGCAGACCGTTTACCAATCTCTTCCCAAGAGAGCTTTCGACCTGGTACATCGGATGCAACAACCTTTCCCATGGTATCAAATCCCATAATCTCCATTCCAACAGAACTTGTCCTTCCACTCTCAATCTCATGTTTATGTCGGAATAGGTTGACTCTCGCTTTGCCTCTGCCATCATCAAGACCACCCTTAACCAACACACCCAACATGGTACTTTTTCCGGCATCTACATTTCCTACAACCGCTATTCGTGTTTCAATGACTTCTTCCACCGTGGCAGGTTGTTGTCGGATCAGTATCTTGCCACTACAGTCTGTATCTTTCTTGGTGGCGTTGGGCTCCAACTCTGCTTCTGCCTCTTCACCGACATTTTTGGTCAAAAGAACCTGACAATCTGCCCGTAGTTTGCTCGCCGCCAATTTTAACCTCTGTAGTGATGCATCCCATTCATCTTTCGTCAATGCCATGCTTTCTCCATTATTCTCAAACCCAACCTCAAATACGGTCTCGCCATGCCCTTCCTCTAGTCTTAATTCCAGCAGAGAGATCAACTTTGATAGGTCATCATCTTTGCTCAAGAGGAGTTCTTTCAGTCGGACGGTAGGAGAGTTATCGGCGAGGTCTAGTGAGTTGAGAATGTCGAGCTCCGCATGGTCATCGACTCCGGCTGGTGGTGCATTCGATGAAGAGGGGTACCGCAGAGCTTGTTGCTTTTCTACATAATCTGCGAATTCGCTGAGGGCCTGGTATGAAGTTAGCGATTGATAATTTCAACAGAGTTCACATACCGACTCTCCTTTCCTGCGCTCGTGTGGCAACTGTTTTCCTTTGCTGGTCATTTCGAGTGAAGCCGCTTTGGTATAAATGGTGTCGCAAAGATAGTAAAGGACCGAATTATTTTGTTCTTACGGATAGTTTAACAGGAAAAAGGAAATGTATCCATGATATGTAATTGAAGTATGAATTAGGGGCGATTATAGTAGGTGAACTTGAGAATGACAGTGATGATGACTCTTTCGGTCTAGATAGCCGCTGTGAGCAATTCATGGGGAGCTTTATCGATAAGCCGAGGGGTCAATGACCGGACGAGGCAGACTTGAGTCAGAACCACAACCAACACCCGTAGTGTCATATGTTCTTCTGGGTGAAATCCCATCGACAATTCCATTTGCATCGTATTTATGGTATCATTTTGCTGGTATATCCGCCATCGCTGAAATGCCCTGTCCGCATTGCCCTTGTGCTTCGAGCCCAGTTGCATGCATCTCCAGCAGTATCACCCCCACCAATTTCCTGCACCCATTGCTATGCTCCCTCCCTTGTATCTTGCTAACCTCGTGTTGCTGCTTTCATAACGTCGGGCAATTGCCCGGGTGTGCTTATAATGAGCCTTGCGGCGAGATGAGGACAACACTATCGCCTGTTGAGAGATCAGCTAGCGCACAACAAGAGGCAGGACTTGTGCAAACATACCCCGAACAAATAACATTTCCGACTTTTTGTTTATCGTCTGCAGTTGCCAATTAACACAGGAATAGAGCCATAGACTCATGGAACCAACCTTGACCGTTTCCTCCCCATCGTCGTCCTCCTCTACCACGTAGACCGTCTCCTGCACATCGCCCAGGACTAGATTACAATGACTGTCGTATGCCTGAGTGAATTAGAAATTAGAAAAGAGTGTCCAGGTACGAGGTCTGAGACTTGAGCACTCACATGTAATCGTCCCTTGAGTTCTCGGTCACCTCTCAGCTTGACAAAAACAACCTCATCAAGGCAGAGTCGAACCAAATCAAGAGGTTCAGAGACCGGACCGGAAGCTGTATCATCAACATCTGCCATGTTGTGTAGTTTATTTACGGCGAGATTGCGTATTGATTTGGTCGTCCAGGAACTGAATGTTCAACCCCCAATTGAGTTTCGCGACAACATTTCATGCGCGCGGAAATATGATAATCCGCTGACTCCCCGGGGCGGAAAAACAAGTTCCAATTCAACAACAAACTTCCGCTATCCAGGATGAGCTCGGGAGCTTCAAACTTCCCCAGACTCTCCCCACCTCCGCATTCTTAAAGATCTCCGTCGCGCTCGGATCATCCTCGCGATTCATCAATACAACATGCGATGAATACCATATCTTTTCTCGATGTGTGGCCTTGTTTCTGCCGTGGAGGCAATGCGGTCTCGCGCAGTCACCTATGGTCCTGGGAGGAGGAGCTGTAGAACAAGATGGGGTACGAATTTAATTGTTCACAGAATACGACAACAAAAGGCCTTTAGCTCGTCTCCATTTACACAAGATCAATTGGAGACTTCAGAAGAAGAGAAATTGAAACCAGACCAATTGGAAACTTCAGAAGAAGAGAAATGGAAAGCAAGGTTCGAAAATTCTGTGGAGGAATTGGGCGCAACGACATATCGACCGCAGGACCTAGGAACTCCTCGACAACCTCCTCCTCGGCTACCTCGTCTTGCGCAACCTCTCCCACAACTCGACCATACAGATGGACACTTTCCCATCTTGTACGGCCGAAACCGCCGTTCGCACAGGATAAAGGAGAAACGTGGCTACATAAAGAATGTCGTGCCTGGAATAGAAAATTACAACCTGCGCTCCGTTGAGCGAGAACATCCGTGGGAAACTTCGAAATCTCCACGAAAGGCCCTTTTGGATGCTTTACGAATTGGGACCCATCACTCAGTACTGCGATGTTTGATTCGCCTGGTCATGGCTGGAACAGAAAGATTCGCATTCTTAACAGAAATACCATCCACAACCTTTTCCGAAATACTCAAAAGTCTGGATCCTCATTACTTCCTAGATGAATATCAGAGACGCTATAAAACCATCATCAAACCTAGACATATGGAGATTTTGAGTTTGACTCAAAGAGGGTTTGACAGTTACCATAAGTTTGCCAGCTTGTTCCTATCTGAAATGACCCCAATCATCAGAGCTCGCCGTGCTATTGGTCCGCTGACTCTCACGGATTACTCCTACCTCTTGAAATGTGCTCGCGCGACAGGAAGGTTGCACGAAGCAAATGCTATATGGCGGGAAATGAAGAATGGAAAGATCAAGCCCGACCTCGATTGCTATAATAGTTACATGGGTGTGTTGTGTTGGTCCGAGACATCCAATATCGGACAATATACCAGCCTGCGTGTCATTCCTCGAAATTTCGCACCTCGCCGGTGGGACTTACCCCCAGAGGACCTCCAAGGCCATCGTGTTGGCATCGGCGGTATAAAGCAGAAGATCGTGGAATTGTTTCAGGAGATGGTGACATATGGACTTGCGGGAGATGAGAGAACATTTTGTTGTATGATGATTGGATTTGCAAGAGAGAGAGATTTGTCGAATGTTGGGACACTTCTCAAAAGGGTATGGGATATAGACGTTGACGCTGTTGTCGCATCACAGGGCTATGAACGTCCAGCCAGGAGATACGAGGCGAATTCTCCTTTTTATCCTACGAATCAACTTCTTTATACAATAGCCCACGTCTACGCCATCAACCACCACATTGCGACCGCCCTACGATTGATAGACTACATATCGAGGCAATACTCGATAGATATCGAGCACAATGTGTGGACGGAGCTGATGAACTGGACCTATACGTTAGCAGTTCCCCGCACTTGGAAATACGTGGAGCGGTTGAAGTTTGAAGAGCCTGATGATGAGGGTTTATATCAGACAGGTATTTCTGATGCAAGCGTATCCGACAATACAGGTAACTTGACACTGCCTGCTTACTCAGTAGTGAATCTCTGGAACACATTGATCGCAGAACCATACAATGTCAAGCCATCAGTCGAGCTTGTGAATCTCCCAATCTTGCGAATGATAAGGAATATGTCTGCTGTCAGAGCTCTTGACATGATGGAAGTCGGCAGATATTACTTTAAAGAAGAAGTCTCTCAATTAAACAGTCTCCAGGCCGAGATCAAATCGTTAATGATGAAAGACTCGAAACATCCAGCGCTCGAAGATATGATCCAAACTCTTCATCTCAGTCAACTCAAGGTGCGCCACAACAGAGCCTTGATCCGAAATTGGGTTCGCAAAATCCTCACCATGAAATTCGATGGTTACCCACCAGGACACTGGGCAGAAATCCACATGCCAAGGATGATTCGGGACTGGGATATCTTCCTTGACAAGTGGGTCACGATTACCACGGAGACGGGGGTGATGAACTTGAGAACGCACTCTTTGGAGCTCAATCGGCTGCGCGCGTGGAGATTTCGATATGGTAACAAGGAGGCGAAACTTCATAGGATGGCTAGACGGGGTGAGCCGAGACGGGTTGTGGCAGATAGACGGAACCTTGTCAGGCACGTTGATGCGGTCCACAGTAGGGGGAAGAAAGTTTCGTGGTCGAAGAGGTATAAGAAGACACCGTTTTTTGCGGGCGCCATCGTCTCGACTAGAGGAAAAGGTGCCTCAACCGGTGGAAGGTCTTTGGCACAGGAAGAGGCTTCGAATAGGCCCGTGACGCTAGCGGATATGTTATAGGTCTTTGGTATGTGTGGATAGTATATAGTATCTGGTATATACGAGGAGCAACCATGCAAACATTCTGCCAAAACGTACAAATCCTATTCTGTCTCCTGATATTCATCCTTTAAATTCACAGAGTGTATCAGCCACTCTGTCTCGCCATGAAAACAATAAAGTCCTTCTTTATAAGTAGTATTCAGGACTTGTCCACCCAATCGCCGTAGCATTCATTGAAAACATGAAATCTATCAATTCTCCTGGCCTCGCGGCCAAAAGAGATGACTCTTCCCGTTCTCATGGGGGGTTATAGCTGCTTGCTTTAATTTGATAAAGGTCGGCAAAACCATCATACTTATATCTTTACAACTATCACAATATCTCAACTGTAAAATTACCTGCTTCGAGGTGCTAAAAGCATAAACCACCACTCGACGATTACTGTGTACCGTACTATTTGTACCATCTGTAAAAGTATTCAACCGAATCAATTTGCTATCACTGCCTTATTTTACTTAGACCGTGTTTACAGTTTTATATTTCAGTTGTCATGAAAGTGGGTAAAGGGTAGGCGTGTCTCTGTCGCTGATCTAGCCTAGCACAGAATGGGGCATTTGGGTTAAGTGACAAGTGTCGAGGGGTCTACTCATAGTTCTGGGTTATTTGCTGTTTTAGAGCTGTGTTTGAGATGTGCTAAGTGATTAGATATCTACTAGTTTTTAATTGTAACTTAAGTTAATGGAATTAAGGGTCAGTTCTACCGTTTCTGCGAGAAGCACGTTAAGTTATCTTAAAATTCCCACTAAACTTTGCTTACCTCATAAATATAATTACAGAAGCACGATTTCCTATCATTATCTCAAACTTCGAAAGACACAGTTTGTTAATTCAATTTATTTCATAATTCATCTATCTAGTAAAGTCTAGAAGCCAACCACCCAGCCATAATCCGTTTCCATTGCGATCCATAAAGTCGTTAGTAAAAGCAAAATCCCTGCCTGCAATTTATGACTCCAAATCCGCCATCCCATTCCACCTGAACTCCTCTGATAAGGAAAATGACCACCACCATCCACCAACGAAAGAAACAACCCCACCACCACCTCACTCCCCCACCGCAACACCAAAGAAAAAGAAATCTACCAAGCACCCCTAAACCCACTCCTCCCCGCCCCCCTCTCACCCAACCCGCGCAGACTTCCCCCCACCCCACCCCCCAAAATCTCAAACACAGCAACCTCAGCCCTAACCTCCCTCTCAAACCAATTCCGCAGCTCAACAGCAACCAGACTATCGAGTCCGAACCCGTGAATCGGACGGTGTTCGTCCATCTCGCTTACAGGGATGCTTAGGATCTTGGAGAGACGTTTTGCGAGTTCGGAGGTTACGATGGCGGAGGCTTCCGACAGGGAGGTGACGGAGGTGAAGGCGGTGGCGAAGGAGAAGTGCGTGGAGGAGGTGGAGGAGGTGGGGGAGAGGGTTAGGGAGGGGATGGTGTGGAGGTGTGTGAAGAGGGGGCGGGTGAGCCAGGTTGGAATTTCGATGCCTGATGCTGTGAGGTCGGCGGGGGGTTTAAGTGCCGTGATGATTTGGCTTGGTTGTTGGATGTGTGGATTGCAGCAGGTGTCTAGGATGCCGAACATTTGATTCAATGACACAGCAGTCAACGTTCCCACGCTTTCAAAACGCCTCATTATTTCTGCGTTTTCAGCTACAAATCCCTCCTCAAGCATGGGTCCTAGATCGATGGATGTTGCTGCAAGGCCTTGGGAGATCCGCAGGTGAGTGAGAGCGTCTAGGTAGGTGTTTGCAGCTGCGTAATTAGCTTGACCACCTTGACCTATGGTGCCGCAGACTGAGGAGAGGGAGATGAAGAATTTGAGGTTGCTAGGGAGAAGGGTGTGCAGGTTCCAGGCGCCGTGGACTTTGGGGGTGATACAGGTTGTCCAGTCGGTGTATGGCATTGTTTGGAAGACGGCATCCTGGTTTGTTAGTATATAAGAAGGAAGATCGGAGTTGGAACTTACCCTTAAAACCATAGCACCATGAATACAGCCTTGAAGTGGTGGCATTATTTTAACACAATCCTCAAGAATCTCCTTTAGTGCTGTCAAATTGGCGATATCACACTTTGGTGCCATGACCGTAACCCCCAGAGCCTCCATATCTTGCATGAAGGATTTGGCAGCAGCAGATGTTGCACCTGATCTTCCAAGAAGTAACAGATTTCTAGCACCGCGAGCAACCATCCATCTGGAGATACTTCGACCAAGACCACCAAGACCGCCGGTGATGAGGTAGGTTGCATCTCGGGTAAACTCGTACGCTGGTTTCGCCTTGATGAGAGCCTGCTATGGTTAGTAATCTAGATCATCAATCAAAAAGGGACAAGCTCACCTGAACTTCCGCCTCATCATCAACCTCAATCACAATCTTTCCAATATTCTTCCCACTCTGCATCAATCTCATCGCACCCTCCACGTTACCAATACCATAGGTGACCAGTGGATTAGCCGGTCGCAGCACTTTCTGCCCCATCAACTCCATCACAGGACCAAAACTCTTCTTGACAAGATCTGGACGTTGCTGTGTCATCAATGCAAGATCAATAGCGCTGAAAGTACGGTTCTCTTCGAATGGGGACATGGAAATCTTGTTATGGGATTGGATGTCTTTCTTTCCAATTTCAATGAAGCGACCGAATGGTGCGACGCATTCCCATGATGCTGCGAGTGATTCGCCGGATAACGAATTTAGGACAACATCTACACCACGTCCTTTTGTGAGCCGTTTAATACCTTGAGCGAAAGAAATGTCTCTGGAGAATAGAATTTGGTCGTCTGAAATACCATACGTATCCTTCAGATGTTGTTTCTTTTCTTCTGTTCCGACAGTGACATAGATAGTCGCACCTAGATGCTGGGCAATTTGAATCGCTGCTTGACCAGTTCCACCAGATGCAGCGTGGATGAGGATTGATTCCCCCTTTTGCAGCTGCGCAAGAATGACAAGACCATGATAGACAGTGACAAAAGTCGTCGGTACTGAAGCTGCTTCGACGAAAGACATGAATCCAGGAATTGGCGCAACGCATTCTTGTGGTGCTCGAACAAAAGTTTGATAGGTATTCAAGTATGCCACCGTGACACGGTCTCCTGGTTTGAAAGTTGTGCATTCAGAACCGACACGACTGACGATTCCAGAGCATTCGCAACCGAAGACTCCAGTATCTAATCTTCCCAAAGCAAGAAGACAATCTCTGAAATTGACACCGACGGCTTTGACTTGGATCTCAACCTCGGTAGGTCCCATTGGAATGGCATAAGTGTCATCTTCAATGAATTGAAGTGTATCGAGGAGTCCAGGAGCACCGATGCTGAGTTTCAAAGGTGGCGCTTTTCTCCACTCGATGGATTCAAGTTGACTTGGTGCACAGTATTGAGCGACTTGATTGTCCAGAACAGTGTCTTCGATAATACGAGGAATTTGAAGAAGTCCATCAACCTCGGTGTATTCTGATTCAAATGATTGGTGGTCAGAATTATGAAAGGACTTTCGGAAGACTGAAGCGATCTTGGAAGCATGTTCTGCCAATTCGGTTTCCAAGCATGCTTCACCAGATTCCAGGTGTAGCGTGACAATCGACAACGATCCTCGCTCGGTACTCAGAACTCGAGCAAGTCCAGTAGACATGCCAGAATTCGCTGTCTGAGGGGTACCACCACCCTCCGTCACCCAGAGTACTTCTTTGGCAGAATTTAGGATCTGCTGAAGATTTCCAAAGCTTTGTTCGCTCAGATTTGCCAGCAATGGTCGTTCTAATTCAGAAAGGAAGACTAAGGAGGGAAGTTCATGAGCAGGAATTGCAGCAACCTTTTCCAGCGACAAGACCTGGTAGTTGCTGCCTAGACCCTCTGATTGTAAGACTTTCGCTAGTCGCTGTTGATATCTCGAATCGCCGTCGGCGACAATGACTGTTGATGGTGTTGTGAGTGCCGGAGCTGCATCTCCATCCTCTGCCGTTGCGATAATGATGCTCCATTCGTGACAAACGTCGCTCTCATAATCTTTGAATACAATATCCGTCCCAGAAAAACCATGGACTTTGAGGAGTTCATCCCACTTATCAACCGTAACACTTGGGCCATTTTCGCGATACTCCTCAGAACCTGTCGACGTCAGATAACGAATTGAAGCATGATGGAGAGTACTTACCAAGCCACCACCCAGGAAGCAAACCAAAAGTAAAACCAACTCCATTTCTATCCGGTGTAGTAGGCTCAACCATAATTAATTTACCGCCACTGTTCGAGTTAGCTATATACTTCCTTTTCGAGTTATAACTTACGGTTTTAACGTCTTTCTAATATTTGACAATGTTCGATCAAGACTATTTGTAGCATGTAAAACCTAGAATCTCGTAAGCAATCGACATTCATTCAAGGGAGATGCAGATCTTACGTGCGCAGCAACAACAACATCATAACTCCCCACCTCAACTCCCTGCTTTTCAATATCATTCTCCACATCCAACACCAAGAAATTCAGATTTCGCGCCTCCCCAAAAAGCTCTTGAGCAGGTCCAAAAAAGCCCGCCGAGATGTCCGAGAAATCATAACGCCCATATTGCACGCTTTCCCCCTTTGTAAGATTGCCCAAGATGATTTCAGTCGTTGCACCCGTACCCGCGCCCACCTCTAAAAATTTCATGGTAGGATTCTTATGAGCAAGGAGATCTAGATATTTTGCGAATTTAGAAAAGCCTGTAGAGCGGACGTGTCCCATGTTGTAGAATTTGCGCATCAGATCATCTTTGAAAAACAGTGCTAGTGGATCTACCTCTCCACGCAGAATTGGGACAAGGTTTTCGCCAGTTCGAAGAATCAGTGCTTTTTGATGGTCGACTTGGGCAATGTCGTCGACATTAAGGTCAGTATCTTGAAAATCGCCTTGAGCGAGTTGTAAATGCATCCATGCAATGTACTTTTGGAAATGAGTCGGTATTTGATCCTGAGCAATTGGGTGTTTGACTAGTTCCTTCAATGCATCGGACATGTACCGAAGTTTGAGTTGATGTAATTGCTTGAAGTACTGTTCGGGATCAACCTCAACCTCCACCTGATCGCAGTAATCTGTGAGCTTGTCGGCGGCAATCAGCTCAATGTCAGGTTTCATATGAATCCCATAACACAACCTCTGCGATTCAGGCTCTTCTTGCGCAGAAGTGTCAGAATTGGAAATGGTAGTTGTTTCGAAACCCTCAAGCTTCAACAAAACCTTCTTCTGCGATTTGTCAAGAACACTGATATCAGCATCTGTACCTCGCATTCCTCTTGGAATAATCTTTGTCCACGTAGTTGCTGTGTCTTTATGCGAAGCATGAAGACCGGAGTTCGCCACCCACAGATTGCGGATTCTTGTTGGAATTCTAGTAGTCACAACTTTCTGTCCTCCTTCTGTTAATGCTGCCAAAGACATCTGTAGCATACCATCAAGTGTTGTTGGATGGATGACACATGGACGAGCTGGATCTTCTCGTTCCTCGATAGAAGCATGATTTAAAGCGACTTCTCCGATGGCTACACCATGTTTATCGACCTGCAGCTGCGTAATGGGCTTGAAAGCTGGTCCATACTGGTAACTCATACCATGAAGACCCTCATAAAGCTTGACACTATCAGTAGGCTCCCCGCAAAAGGCGGCTGCGTGCTGGTGGTGCTCTTGAATTGTTGCAAGCTCTTGTTTCAATTCCCGTCCATGGTCAACAACTTGTTCTTCCGTCTCGTAAATAACCTGGATACTACCTCTCGATGTTTCAATCCACTTCTCATCTTGGTAAATGTCAACTCTGAAATCTGACCATTGATTATCCTTATCCGAGGCATCTCTGAGAGGTCGCAAGGAGAATTGGGTCTCAATCTTGCCTGAAATAGGAATTGTTAGCGCAGTGTGAAATGTCGCATTTTTGATCTCAAAAGCTTTGATTGGTCGATCTTCAGCCATTTGTCGGGCAGCTTCGATAGCCATGATACACATTCCTGCAGCCGGGTATAAGATTGCACCGTTGATCTTGTGATCTTCAACCCATGGCAAGTCGCTACCACCAAGAAAGTGTCTCCATTTGCCTTCCAGAGGATTCCAATCCGAGACGGGAGTTCCAAGAAGGGGGTTATACCCATGTTTGCGGAATCGAAAGCTCTTACTCAGTCGACTCTCGAACCAGTAACTTTTTGAGTGATCAAATGGATACTCTGGTAGGTCAACGAGCAGCATGGGTTGAGAGATAGACTTTGTTGGTCGATTAATCTTTGCGATATCAACGGGATAACCTCTGCAATAAAGCTGACCCAAAGCCTCGAAGGTGGTATCCAGTGCGGATCGGCCTCGGACAAGTGCGGAATAGTATTTCATATCTTCAGCACGATTCACCTTCTGCAAAATCTCTCGGATAGGTCCCTGAAGGGCAGAATGAGGTCCTAATTCCAACAAGTCGTGAACCATGATGATCTTTCTATGACTGCCATCAAGCTTCTTGGTAACTGGTTCAGGCTTTTGGAGGCACATGGACTCAAGCGCCGGTGAGAACTTGACAGGAGATGTCATGTTGCGAACCCAGTAGTCTGGCTGCTGAAGTTCCGAATGCGTAGCACGTTGTCCAGTGACTGATGATACCATTGCTGACAGCTTTGGTACATAATCTCCAGGTTCAATCGTGCCAATGCTCGCACCATATTTCTCAGCCACTTCCAACATTTGAGCAGAATGGTAGGCAACCGTGACTTGCAACTTTCGAGCAAAGACTTTGTCTGCTTGAAGATTTGCCAAAAGTATGTCGATGTATTGTTCGTCGCCCGAAATGGTAACACCTCCAGGGCTGTTGATGCAACTGACTGTCAAACGGTACAAGTCCCCAGGAAGATCTTTGACTGTGTCGATGTATGGTTGAACGGCTGCCACAGATAGACCAACCGCCATCATGCGTCCCTTTGAACGCGACGTATTAGCAACTTCTGTCGCAAAGATTCCTCGGAAATACGCAATGCGCAGTGCTGACTCGCACGAAATGGCACCGACAGAATATCTAGAAAGCTGTTAGAAGTTGCGACGAAGTGCTTGGGGGAGGGACTCACGCAGCAGCAATTTCACCAGAAGAATGACCTACGACAGCAGTGGGCGAAACACCAAATGAACGTAAGAGATCTACCAATGTAATCTGAATTACAGTGCAGACCGGCTGACTCAACTCGGGCTCATTAATACGACTCTCGTCTTTCGACTTCATGAGTTCATCTACCATGTGTTAGCTTTTATCTGGCGCAGAGGTCTAGTACATACCTAGAAGAGACCAAGAGCAGCCCAAGCTGGTGAGATATTCTTCCATCCGCAATATATTTGCCTTGAAAGACTCAACTGACAGCAACTCCCTGCCCATTGCGTGCCACTGCGCGCCTTGTCCTGTGAACACAAAACCCAATTTCAGGTCTTGCAACCTCTGAACCGGTTTCGATATTTTCTCGCCAAAGCTGCGAAGATCCTCATCGCTATTCGCAACACAAAATGCATTTGTAACAAAGGAACTTCGTCTGGTATCTAAAGTATACGCTAAATCATCAAGGAACTGCTGCGTCTTTGGGGTATTAATCGCTTTCTGAAAATGCTGAGTATAATCTTCGGTTAATCTTTGAAGCGCTTGGGTATCTGGTGCTGAAAAAAGTAAAATCTTTGGAACGGGATTTGAATCATGTCGTGATGGTCGTAAAGTAGTGAGGGAATTTGTACCGATAAGACGAGAATTTATGCCATTCAATAAATAATCGCTGTGAGAAGTATCCGTGATGGTTCGGTGATTTCCGACAAGGTTTCTGCTTCGGAGAAAATTATACGCATCGTCAAGAATGACGTGGGAATTGGTTCCTCCAAAACCAAAAGAGTTGACAGAAGCTCTGCGAAGACCAGTACTTGGCCATGGTGTGGGTTCGCTTGGAAACTGTGTGTGTCAGGACGGTCGAAAGGGGCTCAAGCGAGGAATGCAAACCTTTAAACGCAAGAAGTCGGCATCAATCTTTGGGTTCAGATTTTTGAAAGCGGCAATCGGAGGAATAATGCCTTTCTCCAGAACCATGACGGTCTTGATCAGTCCGGCAATACCTGCAGCTCCTTCGAGATGTCCGATGTTCGCCTTGACCGAACCACTGTCTCGGTTAGCATGTATTCTAGAAAAATTGTACAACCAACTCACATGTACAATGGTTCATCTTTTGGACCAGAGTCTTGAAAGGCAGAACCGATAGCACCGGCTTCAATGGGATCGCCCATTGCGGTTCCCGTACCATGCGCTAGATTTCTGTCAGATCACCCTAGATGATATTGGGTCACCACCACGTACCTTCGAAAAATCGAGTGTCTTCCAAACCCAAGCCTGCACGTTCATAAGTCGACCGAATGAGTGCTGCCTGAGAATCTTGCGATGGTTGTGTGATACCAGGTGTGTGACCGTCTTGGTTACTCCCCGTATTCCGGATGATCGCTCGTATCGTATCATTGTTTGCGAGTGCATCACTGAGGCGCTTGACCACCACTACTCCGAAACCTTCTCCTCTCGAGTATCCATTTGCTCGGTCATCGAAACTGTAACACCGACTATCCGGAGACAAAAAGGTCATATTTGACAAGGAGATGCTGAGATCGGGAGCGTACATTAGGTTACAACCGGCAACCAAAGCCTAGACCCGTTGTCAGTCTTGCATTCTGTGTGACGGAAGAACACTAACCATGGACGTTGTGTGATTCCATAAACCCTGACACGCCAGATCTAGTGCAACAATACTGCTGGAGCACGCCGAGTCAAGCGTAACGCTAGTCCCTTTCAAGTCGAAAAACCAGTTGATACGGTTAGACAACATGGTAGCTGCTGTACCGGTCGCGGTGTATTTGTGAACCTGATCTGGATCTTTGGCCATTAAGTTTGCGTAGTCGGCGGTGAAGCATCCTGTGTGAACCGAGGTATCTGAGCCAACCAGAGCATCAATCGGAGATCCGGCTGCTGTTGTTAGCCAGGATTTTGATATGAAGAATGAGGGTTGTACCATTTTCAAGTGCCCGGTAAGCTACTTCTAGAAGGGTTCGTTGTTGAGGGTCCATGGCAGCCGCCTCGGCGGGCGTGATGGAGAAGAAGGGAGCATCGAAGGCGCCCAGGTCTCCCTTGACAAAGTGACCACCTCGCATGGAAATCTGTAGAGAAGTTGTCAGACGGGTATCCGGTTACACGAGTAAATGAACGATGGTGTAGGTGACGTACCGTGCCCAGTCTATCATTTTTTGGATCATTGAAACTATCAATGTTCAATCGATCTTTGGGGAACTCTGATGAGACATTTCGTCCATTGATGAGCATGTCCCAGAATGAATCGGCATCTGTCGCATCTTCCGGAAATTTGAGAGAGAAGCCCACGATGGCCAGTGGCTCGATCAGATCTAGCGTCGAAGGTTCCGGGAATTCATCATAGGCATCGCCGGCATGAGGAGAAGTGATGGCGGTATACACTCCGGTGGAGGGAGCATCCGAAGAGCTCGTCGTGCTACTGGGACCCATGGTTGCTGATCATGAGCAGAGTGGTGGTTGTAAGTTGAAAGCCACTAGTCGTGAGGACGATTGAAGCTGACTGGAACAGCATATATATCCGTCCATGTAGTGAGTGATGATTCAGGAAACAAACAAAACAAAAAAAGATTTCAATGCTCGCCGATCCGTGGGAACGCCAATCTATGAATCACGAGTCGAGCCCAAGTGAGGTGCAAGAGTGAATCTGAATCAAGACCTCAAGGTGTCGGGTCTTGGGTGGTGGCACACCTTCTGATGATATCTCCCAGTACCGCGAGCAAAAGTGAGGTTTGACAGCCGCCAGCTAACCCAACCCTAGGGCGAGGAATTTCAAAGGACCCAGCCTGTGCATGTGTAGTGCTCGACCCATACGGAGGACATCGCAGTCGGGATCCAGAACCTGGCCCGCCCACATCAAGGTGGTCCGCCCAGTTCCAGTGGTCTGGTAAGGCCAAATTGAAGGTGTCCATGAGCTCCCCTCGTTCCCGAAGAACAGTGGAGGATGTTCAATTTGGCGTCGGCCAGCATTCCACATTGGGCAAGTGACGTGGGCACCAACATGTGCGTGGAAGTACGTCCATAGAGAGCGGCTCACTCATGTACATGCGCATGTATTCCTTCATGTACCTGTATCTTGGGACAAGGACAGACGTCCGGGATGGAAGGGATATCTCCAGAAAGGCCGTGTGCGGTGCCGAACGTTGAAGCTGCCGATGGAGCGGGTGGACGAGCAGGGGGAGAATCTGATTCTGAGCACAGACATGTGATCTCCGTCGAATGGCGGGCCTCACCTTGTTGGTTGGATATGTGGGATTGTTGATATATAATATCAGACACCTCGGTTACATTTCTTCAATATCATCTCCGTTTCCATGGAAGAATCCTGATTCTGATCATCTCTCGCCATGCCTCGAAAAATCCAGCTGCATCGGAATACCAACATCCAACGCCCCGTGTACATCACCCACCAGCCCGCGTGGCAACCGCAGAGACAAATCACCGTTCCTCCTCAAACCCGCACCTTCGCACCGCCAACCGTGTAAATACATGCAGATAAATGAATCCATCTCAACGGCCCTACCGATAGGTTCCCAGCGGCTGTGGCAGGTGTCAGGACCGCGTGTGCAGCAGTGAGTTGTGTGCCTGCTGGTTGCATTGCATCCCTTCTACGCAGCAGCGGTAATGAGAAGTCTCTGGAATATTAATCCTGTTCCCAATCCAGACGCCGCTGGCGCATGTACGGATTATTCAGAAGAGTCGGCTGTTCTCTGCGGCTATACGGTAAGACCTGGGGTTGACATGATTCGTAATGGCCATTTCTGATTCTGACCACCGAGATCCGGTTGTATGGTCGTTGGTAGACGATGCTTCGAATCCGAGTTTGGGCTGCTCAACTCAACCTCCATCATAGCATTTCCATTATACATTCATCACCCTGCCTAACACCGCATATGTATCAGAAGGTATGGCAGGTATAACCTCAATTCTGCAGCACCCCTAGGTTCATTCGTCTCGCCTTTCCTCGAGTCGCATTCCTAAATGATACTTCACGTAGAACGAGTCGGCCCCTCTTCCCCTCGGCGTGCTCTGCATCCAGCAAATCAAACCCACCAATTCATCTCGCTATCAGACTCTGCGTTGTCCCAAGAGAGAACGTTCCAACGGATGTCGAGAGGTGCAGCTGGTGATGGTGCAGGTAATCGACAATCAAATCATGGTACGAATGAAAAGCTTCAATTGCGTCGGATTCCAACAAACACCAACAATGATAAATGATATCCTACGAATGACATCTCTCAATTCAGACAAGATCATCCGGTCTATAGCACGCGTGTTATGATTCCTGCACTGACATGCACACCACGACCCGGGGACCACAGCCGCAGCAAACGGACAATGTCGCAATCTCTAGCGGACCGTTCCTCTTGCGGCGTTTTGTACCGGAGACTCGGTCGGGATGCGAGGGGAGAAGGTTGAAAGACCTCAAGTGTGGCTCGAACCGTCCCGTACCAACTCAAGAAACGTCCATTGGTATCGTTACACGTGTCTCTTGACCTGCCATCACGGAGTCTACGGATTGAATCCTGGATGATTCACGATTTGAAGCTCAATTTCTAATCTCAAAGAAGAATGCGACAAGATACGGCCTGACATCGATACGAGAGCTGTGAATCGAATGAGATCAGATAATCTCGCCGATTAACCCCACGTCGACGTTGAATAATCCTTCTTCACCGGTCGAGGTCTTCACCGATCGTGTACTTGTTGCATTGGCATTTCATCTTCATCTTTCGACTTTTTACCCCTCCTTCTCTTCATCATTACCCATTACCCCTCCAAGAATATCTCTAGATCTCACTCACTCTTATCTTTACCCCACCATCACCGCTCAAAATGAAATTCCTCTGCCTCCATGGATATGGAACGAATAACAAGGTGAGTTAAACAATTGATCTTCTAAATCATTCTCAATTGCATCATAAGACCTGGCTGACAACAATTCAGGTCTTTGAAATGCAAACCGGTAATTGCTGACTCCCGCAATAAGAAAATATCACTATTCTGATCATTCGCCAGCTGCTCTACGGTACGAATTAGGTACCCACCACACCTTTGAATTTGTCGAAGGAACCGTTCCAGCACCCATGGATCCTGGTACGTACAGTCCTCAGCTTTCCACTCATGAAGCTTCCCCCACCACCCAGACGCCATTCCCCTCCACACCTGACTTTGAGGCCCACCCCTTTCTTACCACACCTCCACCACCCACACCAACGGCATTTAACAACAACCTCCATTTAATCACCACTAATTCATCTTCAGAACTCCAATCCCTTTTCTCCCCCTCTGAACAAGCATTCTCATATTTCGACACTTTTTCCACTCAATCCTGTCAAACCGCCCTCCAAAACCTCACCACCTACATCCAAGTCGAAGGACCTTTCGACGCCATCCTCGCCTTCTCCGCCGGCGCAACCCTCGCAGCAACCTACCTCGCTCAATCGCCAAACCATCCCTTCAAATGCGCCATCTTCCTCTCCGGTGTCTCCCCAATCGATCCTATCGTCTTGAAAACAGGCGTCTTTCGGAGTCTAGACCCTGAGACGGATGGCGAGATGATTGTCATTCCCACGGCCCATGTGTATGGGAAGAGAGATACGAAGTTTCCGGGTAGTAGTGCTATCCTAGAGAAACTATGTGTGGGAGAGAAGAAAGCGGTGTTGGTTCATGAGGGTGGCCACCCGATTCCGGGGAGTGCGAGTGAGCTTTCGGGGATGGTTAGGGTGGCGAGGAGAGCGATTCATTGGGGTGATTTGAAGGCTCGTTGAGACGATTCGAAGGTTGATGCTATTTCACCATTGAACTCTGAAAGTGTTGGCAACACTGGAACTGGCTGGTTTCAAACATTTATCCTTAGCATAGACTGGTTTCGGCGTTATGGCGTTTGAATGCTCGATGATTTTATTAGACATCCCGACGACGTAGATGGTCTCCATATCTCACACCTAAAACGATAGAAAAGATTTAAATTCTCAATTGACCACTTACCTAGCTTCATCCTCCAACAAATGCAGAGAACCAACTTCTAGCACCATCATCATCTCAACCCAACAACCTAACATCTTCACAAATGACCTTTATCTAAGTAACCAACCAACCAACATCCCCACAGTAATCTAACATCTAAAATCAAACGCACCTCCTCAATTCCCCAAATCCCCTCCACAATCCCCAAGAAATCTGCCCATGATCCAACATCAACATCCAACATCCAACATCCCACTTTCCAACACCACCCCTCCCCAAAACCAACACAGCTCTCCAACAGAACCCCAAACTATCGATTCCCAGCACCACGGTCCGCCCGTCTCCCTCGCACTTCGCCTCGCTCATGCATCCACGCATTTCTCATCACACATTCCTACTCGGTCTACATATCACATGAAATCTACCTACCTAGCTAGAATAGGTACAGGGAATCGACAATGTCACATTAACGGGCTCATACCACCTTAACCGGTGTATTGCATGCTATAGCGCGCGTAGAAGGTATAGTGCCAGCACATAGGTATTTACCGGGGAGGTCGGCGATTAGGTTGTCGGAATCCAGAGTCTAGTGGAGATGCAGTGGTGTTTGTTGCGCGTGATGGCAGGGGGTTGAGGCAGCGTGAAGTTGAATGGGTCATGGTGGGTAGATATTATATACTAGCGTTAATTGGTAATCCAGTTCATCTGTTCCTCGTATTGGGCGTGAACACAGTATTTATTACCAGTCAAAGATGGTCTCTCGTGACTGACAAGATTGGGGAGTGGTTAATCCACACACCTCAATTGTCAGATGTAGTTCCTACCCAACAACATGCTCGCTTGTTGTCGATGAATCAATTTCTCTTCGCGTCCTCCATGATCATGGGACGTTGCCAACGACTCGAGTATCGTCGATCGCCGTCCAAACAGCTACTTCATGTCCAGTAGTATGAGATTGGAACACCTTCACCTCCACATCCATAATCCATCAGCCTACTCTCCCCACAAGTTGGTTGTAGGATGTTGGAAAGCCGGGAAGTTGGGATTCGGCATTTAGGCTGTTACCGGTGTATCGGTAAGTAGAAAATCAATGTGGAAAGGCCGGTAAAAGGCCATCAGAAAGTGGACGTCTATTATAACCTGCTCTGTCTTCTTCTTCAGGTTTGAAACATTTCAGATCTATCAAAGACTCCGGAGTCTGCCTTTTGATAGCCATCATGGAATTCTGATTACCTCAGATTGGCGAGTAGAATGAACTCAGAAGATCGCGGACTAGGTATGAATGGAATTCAAGGAAAGACGAAGGCCAGCTCGAATCGTTTTCTCAGTCTTGATTCTCAGGTCTAAATACAATTTCTCGAAGTCTTCGCTTTTAACTTCCTGTAAATCCACCCGCTAATCCGATTCTCACCCCAAACCTCATCCATAATATAAATTCAGCGCTCATCTAATCACCCCACCAATCCACCACCAAATCCATAACCTATGAACATCAACGAAAAAGCCGGCCGTAATGCGTTATCATAAAACGAATGCTCCACTCGCCAACAAGTGGTAAAGAACAGTAAAGGAAAAGAATGCAAAAGACAATGAGACGCTAGATGCGCAGTACCAAACAAAAGCAGAAAACCCTCCGAATAATCGCCTATCCAGACGTCCTTTCATCAGACGGAAAATCGTGATTCGCCATAGCGGGGAATATTGAAAACAAAAGAGCGGTGTCGAGAAGAATCACTGTCCATAGGCTCCAGCTTGACCAGTAATGACGCCTCCCATGCCACCGGCTCCCATTCCACCCAATCCCGCATACATCTCTCGACCCTTTGCATCGACTGCAGGATATCTTGCTCGTAGCTCCAAATCATCGAGATGCATGTGAGAACGAATATACTTTTCCCGACCGTCGTCGTTCGGGTTATGATCCCAACTGGTAAATGCACCTTGTTTCAATGCGGACCACACCAATCGACGTTGCTTTTGAGAGATGAGTACATCGGAGGTTATCTTTTCCATATCCCATTTCGCCTTGGCTTCGGCGACAAAGTCGGATAAGATCTGGGACACTTCCGCAGTTATCAGTGGGTGCTTGGATGGAAGAGATGCTAGATTGACGATTTCTTTTGGATCGGTAGCAAGATTGTATAATTGATCAGGATCAGCTGGACACGTGATGTATTTCCAATCACCACGGCGGATCATCATCATTGGAGCGATGGTGCCTTCACCGCAATATTCAGCAAAGACGGTATCGGAACCACCGGATCTTTCTTCAAGATGTGGTAATAAGGAATTGCCATCCATTGGTAAGCCGTCCCACAATTTCGACTTGACAATGTCAACGAGGGTTGGTAAGATGTCAAGAGTAGAGACGTTGGAGGATACACGATGTGGCTTGAAGGTTGCAGGGTGATGAACAAGGAGTGGAACACGAACAGAAGCCTCAAAGTAAGACATCTTGTACCACAATCCTCGCTCGCCTAACATATCTCCGTGATCTCCGCTAAAGACAATGATGGTGTCTTGGTCAAGTCGACAATCTTTGAGAGTTTGAATCAACTTGCCAATGCAATCATCGACATAAGAAACAGCACCGAAGTATGCACGTCTGGCTCTCTTGATCTCGTCATGAGTAAATTTCTTGCCCCAGAGATCACAGACCCGAAGAAGACGTTGACTGTGGGAGTCTAGCTCCTCTTGAGGAATGTTGACATCTGGTAGTGGAATATCAACATCCTCATACATATCCCAGTACTTTTTCTCAATTGTGTATGGGTCGTGTGGGTGAGTAAGAGAGACAGTCATGCAGAAGGGACGAGTGTTGGCGCCTTTGCGGACGTGGTCGTACAGGAATTGCTTGGATCTGCTTCTATTAGTCATTGATTTACTCAGAATGGTCTGGTTGCTTACTTGTACATGACCTCCTCGTCGTAATCAAGTTGATTGCTTCGAACACAAGGTCCTGCTTGAAGAATCGAACTTGCATTGTGATACCATTCCAATCTGCGATCCGGTTCCTCCCAATTCACTGACCATCCATAGTCACCTGGATATATGTCGCTTGTCAATCTGCTCTCGTATCCATGCAACTGCTCTCCAATAAAGTGCATCTTTCCTGCCAGTGTAGTTTCATATCCAGCGGCTCGTAGATAGTGAGCATATGTTGGAATGCTTGGATCGATCGAAGAGGCATTGTCGTAGGAGCCAATCTTGGTAGGAAGCTGGCCTGACACCATGGACATTCGGGAAGGCGCACATAAAGGTGAAGGGCAATATGCTGAATCAAAAAGGACGGCATCTTTGGCTAGAGCATCGAGGTTTGGCGTCTTGATTACCGACGAAGGATTGTGCATCTTTAAAAGTGGCGCCGCGAGTTGATCTGCCATAATATACAAGATATTCGGCTTCTTCCCAGATGGACGGGCATATTGGGTAGGAGGCGATTGAGACAATCCAGAGGGAGGTGTTGCGAATTGAGTTCGTGGGGAGAGCGGTACTGAGTTCAAATCAGGAGCCATGATGAATGCTAAGCAGGCTTATTTCGGAATCAATGCAGACGTATCGCCTTCGCAGTAAAAGTGAGGTTATGGATGTAAACTGAATGTGATTCTCGTTGTCCAATCCGCGATCTCTGTAAACCTGGCGCGGGTATGGCGTGCTTGGGACAAAGAGGGTGTGAATGAAGTGGGCGAAAACCGTTGGTGGCTGCAGCAAACGTTTGCTTTTTCTTGTACCTTGATGAGGCTCAACGAGCTCGAAGAGGAAGCTGAGGAAGAGAAAATTGGAAGGTGAGTAGGAAAAAGCAAACGGAAGAAGGCGGGAGGCCACAGAAATATATATCGAGCGGTCAGACTGAAATGAAAGGCGGGGGTCAAACTTTCCGTATAATGGTTGATAGTATAAGCTGGCCTGATTCGGACTCCGTTCCAGGAATCGATGTTGTGATCCAGGAGAGCGTCTGGACAAGGTGTGATTGATCGTGGAAATTCGCAATCGCCTCTCTTTCTCGAGTGACACTTTACCCAAAGGGGCTGGACCCTTGATATTCTGCCGACATATTCGCTGACCGTGTGCCCGATGTGGAATGGTGGTGATGGTATCATTCCCCTGCTTCTGCTCGATTCCGCCTCTTTCTCCATTCTCCAGTCTCCTCCGAGCTCCAGGCGGTCTCTGCGGTCTCTGCTGGTCTCCGTTCGCAACACTTTTCCGTCTTTGATCTTTCTTATCGCACGACTCTTGGGAGCTGTGGTGTGGCAGCCGCACACGCCAGGCATCAATAATGTACCCAAACATTCGAATCTCTGGTAAACTGCTGGCCGTCGATGGAATCGCCTGAGATTCACACTCATATCGAGATATCATACAACCAGAGCTGAGTTCAAAATTTGTGGTGTTGCTGGTTGTCTGTGTCGAAATCTACGACTTGCGAATAGCTTCACCATTACCACGTTCGGGCAACAAATCCTCTGCACCAGGCATCTCTGCATCGATCACGGTCGACTTGATCGTGGCAACGACAGACACATGCTTCGTATGCACCCAGCCATGTGACGGCGACTGCATTCTATTGCCCATACCCAAAACCGCCAATGTGTCCTTCCGAGGGTAGCCACGCTCGTGTGACATCTTCGTGGCTTTCTATACTTGCAATCCGACCTTTGCGCCGTCAACGAGACATTCCGTAGCCTTGCAGAAAAGGTGCCACCAGCAGCCTCGAGCAAAACCATCAATATCCAGTGAGATACATGCATTTCGACTGGAATAGCCTCGCGACGACTGGCAAGCTCTTTCAAGCTCCTCATTTCCAGGGGAAATCGTCATGGTGGACTCTTCTGCTGCAAAAGCACCTCCTTCGTTGCATGCCACCAACCCGTCTCAGCCTAGTTGGGACGAGAAGCAGCAAACGTCATTTTAAAGCAATCGTATTGGCTCACCGTCAGCAGTTGGGCGTATTCCAGAAGTCGTGCCGAACAGGCGCAGAGACGGCACACGTGAGGTAAGAATTGGTTCGTCAGTGTCGATCCGGGGAAAGCAAGCATTCTTACTCCATGTTCAGATTCTTTGAAATCGATCATCGCGATTGCTCATGGTGAGCTGAGTCCGAAAACGTACATCTTCTTACAGCTCCAGATTACATCCTCACGCGATGGAAATCTTGTCCAATGGATCATTTACCCAGAAGTACATAAGCGCCCCACGTCCGGTTCCGGACTCATCGAAGCATTCAAGTTGGATGAATAATTCTCATTGGTGGCAAGGTGCAGGACCGATTGAAATGGCGGGAGAATCTTGTATCGCCGATATAAGGTCGTACCGATTTCGAGTGTACATCCACAGCCTTACGAAAGGACAGAGGATAGGCCACCTAAAACGGGAATGAGGCTTGGAGACCTGACACAAGTACCATTGCCAAACTAAGTCTTCTTAAAAAAGCCGCCATCGATAGTATGTTTTGTGCGGCACTCCATAGCTGGTCGGTGATATCGTGTCACTGGGTTAGATCCTATGGCACACAAGATGGGCGGTGGAATCTTTGGAGAACGGTGAGTTTAGGTAATTTCAAGCTTCGTGAGAGGCTATTCCTATCTAAAGTCTGGTAGATGCTGGGACGTCACATCATTCGGTACTCGAGTACTCACGGAGCTGAATATGAGTTCGTACAATTGTCACCAGGCTGCTAACACAACATCGCCCTAACACTGGGCTTACTGAGTTTATACCTCCTTTAGCAAGCATGAATGTTAGTCTACGGTGCCTCATAGCCAAGTGTTCTTTGCTAGGGGTGTTCTTCTCACCTAGCGCAACTTAAATATTTACTTGGGTTGGCCTCCGATTTTGTCTAGTGAGACAAACGATTTAAGAGCCTTGTTTTGTTACTCTACAGGAGCTGGGTCTCGCCAGAACCAAAAATCTCGAGCTCCAGATGATTTTGATGTGTTCGTACACCTCGAGGAGTAACGTTATACGAACATGTTGCATGCCTTTTCGTAAGCAAAATGACTACTTTTCGCACTTTGCATGTACATCTGGGATTTGAGCCACGCTCGTCCGGTGTCGCCATTATATCCTTGGTTTTTAAATGCCAAACTTCTTTCTCTGTTCACTGTATCTTTCTGGAAGTCAGGACTCCTCATGTTAGTGTTGTTAAAATATAACTTGTTATACTTTCATTTAACCCTTGATTTTGGCAGGTTTCTTAAACTCCGGTTGAACTTTCTACTTCACTGTTCTTTTGTCTTCATTTCATCTTAAGTGGCTACACCGCTTTCATACTCTCACTTCCTGAAATACAATACACAAGTTGTGGTAAGACAGGATTGTTTTACTATGTACATTTTTTTAGGATCCAGCTCTTGCTATTCCAATCCGAGGTGCTCTTCATTCCGCATACTTATCTATCCATTTTTCTCTTGTATTTTTCACTGCTACACCGGAGAAACCTACCTCAAAGTCAATTTATCAAAACATGGACGACTGTACATGAATTTGATTCCAGGTTTCTCACTTATGTGTCGAGTCGATCCCTTAGTGAGAAGTGAGCCTTGCGGGTCCTTTGTATTGACCCGCTCTCGACAGTCTGTCGCAGGTGATCAGCTGGATGTTTGCTAGCTTGTTCCTTCATCGCGAGTTTTAAGAAATTTAATCTTACGTCTGTGGGACAATCCATCTGATGTAATTTACCTTACGCACTTAACCTGATGTGATCAAAAAACGACAACCTGATGCAATTAAGCTGATGCAATTCACCTCCTTACATCAACTTCATCATATCAACCTAACAGCATCATCCTAATGATGTCAACCGAGTGACATATATACCAAAATGCGCGATGTCTGCTACATCTTCAATCCAAATGTAAGAAATTACCTTAGTGTTCCGGCACCGACCCTCGCACTGTTCATCAAAAATTGGGATTAGAACATTCTGACCTTATTTCCAGGCAAAGTCAGGGGTGAATCGCACGATACTGTTTCTACCGTCCTTTGCGTCTCTGTCCGCGTCTATGATTTCTCGAAACACGTTAATTATTTTACTACTCCGACGCCATACTCTAGATTAAAAATGTCTTCACGATTTGAAGCGTAAAGCTTCAAGTTGGAATGATATATCGTACTTGCTACTTACAGCCGAGCACCCGTCAGAGCTTTTCACTTGTACCTATCACCATGATTGCCTCTATTATTATCTACGGCAATACTGGCGAATATAGTAACGGGTAAAATTCGAGAGAGAAATTGAGCTTTCTTCTTATGATTGCCTTTTGTTGTGCCATCAGGCCCTGATCGAATCTCTGATCGGATATAAGATTACAATCACAATCCCTATCTGAGACCTTCTGAGATGTTAAGCTCTACCGAGGCTGCACACATGCTTGTCCGAGGCGTGGACAATCCTCGCTTGTTGCTGACGGTCAAGGGTGATAATACAGGGGTAGCTTTGGATATCCAGCCTGAGCCTCTCCCCCAACTTTTTTTTATTGTGAAATTCGCTTCATTTTACGCGCAAAAACTGAAAATGTTCAACAAAACGCTTTTCTGGTGGTTTCCCTGCGATATGACGCCCTTGCGTTTGATATTGACCCCTGGGTTGCTCATGTAGCAGTATTTTCATTGGTTTTTCTCTTCTCTGTATAAAAATTATTTCTCTGTTGATTTGTTTGTGCTTTTTCATACAAATTCCAGTGATATTTGAGCTTTTTGATACTATCTCGACAATATAAACCATTTTATTAATTATGACGGATCAAAAACATCTCACACAATCATCTGATAATCTCAGTCCCAATACAATTCATCTTTCTGACATGCCAGAGCATATTCCCGATAGACACTTCGAGGCAAAAGAAGTACCAAAAGAGGGCATCGAGGTCTCCAGCTCAGTTCAAGTTCTACCTTCAATTTGCGTCCAAGCCCTAGTGCATCCCACCACGTCCAGCTCTCTTCCCACCGAGGCAATTGACTTGACAACATCGCAAGCACCATCCCAGAGCCGAATTCAGACAGCAACAATAATGGCCTGTCTCATGGCAGCAGTCTTTGTCGCTGCATTGGATGTAACAATAATCGTCACAGCACTACCAACCATTTCTCGTCAGTTCTCTTCAGACACAGCTTACACATGGGTTGGAACAGCCTACGTCCTGACTTACAACACTTCGTCGCCATTATGGGGATCCCTGTCCGATATCTTCGGGCGCAAACCCGTTCTCCTGTCCGGCATCGCCATATTCTTCATCGGCAGTCTGATGTGTGGCGCTGCTCCCAGTTTGAGTATTCTGCTTGCTGGAAGAGCGGTACAAGGTCTTGGTGGAGCGGGATGTATTGTTTTGGTTAACATCTGTGTTAGTGACCTCTTTAGTCTTAGGGACAGGGGGTTTTACTTTGGACTGATTGGAGTTATGTGGGCTCTTGCTAGTGGTATTGGACCGGTTATTGGAGGGGTTTTTACCCAAAGTCTTTCGTGAGTTGAATCACCATTCAAGCAAATTTGAAAGACGGCAACTAACTTATCGAGCAGATGGCGGTATTGCTTCTGGCTGAACTGTAAGTATCCGGTCTACACGTTTTGACTCCTGATATGTGTGGAGATATTGACAGTGATCTAGTACCTATCACCGGGCTCGTTTTTGTACTCTTGTTGTTCACTCTAAGGCTACCCAACCCACAAACGCCAATTCTCGAGGGCCTAGCAACAATAGACTGGGTAGGCGCCATTCTAATATCAGCATTCTCAGTCATGATTCTTCTCGGTCTGAACTTTGGCGGCTCAACATATCCCTGGTCATCAGCAACAGTAATTTGCCTCATCATTTTCGGTGCATCTACCTTTGGTATATTCATTTTTCACTCAGCAAAGCTAACAAAATCGCCCATTATTCCCCTCCACAAGTTTACATCTGCATCGGCAATCTCATCACTATGTCTTTGTTTCACCCATGGTATTGTATTCATGGGTGTATCATACTATCTACCACTCTACTTTCAAACTGTCCTCGCAACCTCGCCATTAAAATCCGGAATCTACATGCTCCCTTTCATCATAACAATGACCATTACGTCTGGTCTTACCGGCCTCTACATCATGAAAACAGGTCACTACATCCCAGCAGTCTACCTCGGAATCATCCTCACGCCTCTCGGAATCGGCCTCTTCATCACCTTCCCTCCCGCAACTAACTGGATCAAACTCATCATTTTCCAAATCATCGGCGCGGTAGGCCTGGGATTGAACTTTGAAGGTCCGCTGCTAGCACTTCAAGCTGTTGTCGGAAACAAAGATGTCGCAATGGCAACGGCGACGTTTGGGTTTGTGAGGAGTATGAGTAATGCGTTTAGCATCGTTATTGGGGGTGTCGTTTTTGCAAATGTGATGGCGCGACAAAGACCGCAACTCGGAAGGGTGTTGGGTGATGATATTGCCGAGCAATTGGCAGGAGATGCCGCTGCTAACATTGGCGTGATTGATGGGTTAAGTGAAAGTGAGAAGGTTGTGGTGAAAATGGCGTTGTTGAAGGCCGTGAAGGCGATGTGGATTTTGGTGAGTCTGGGTTTTCTTTCGCTCTTTTACGCAGAGTTCTGACATCTTCCAGTATACGGCTTTTGCTGGGACATCTGTCATTGCTGGCCTGGGTATGAAAGCTCATGTTTTGAGCAAAGATAATGAAGGATCTCAAGTTGGGCTGGCGAATCGCGGTCGTCAAAGGGAACAAGTTGACCCAGGAGCGCAAGGAGCCGGTGCCGGACAGTGACTTTTCATTGGCGCTGTGTTTCTAAATCTCTGGCAGGAGACAAAGCGGGTGGCAATTGAGATCCGATAGATCGTGAATTAATTGGCCCCAGATCAGCGGCATTCCCGTCGCACAAATTTCTAGTGTTAAAGGAGATGCGGACCAAAGCCAATAAAGAGCAACCAAATCCACCCCTTTTATTGTAAGTTGAGGCCACATTGCAGAACGAACCTAAGAACGGAATGGAAGATTTGACTTGAAGTGGTCAAAGTGAATAAAGCTGTCTGGCCAGTAGCTATTAAGCCATTTGCTAGGTAACTACTTTGAAGTAAACGGCTGGTAGTAGACGAAAATAGATAGCCATTGGCTGTGCAATTATTCGAGAGTGAACTTGATACCGCGTATGACTGAAGAATGTCGTCGGTGATATGATGAAACATCTACAGCTCAGCGCCTCGAGGTTTGAGTTTGACGAAAATTCCCATCTGGAGCTTCGTTGGATGTACATACTACAGGTCCCCCGCAACTTTTGACGTGAAGGGATTTTCACTAGACAAGAAGCATACAATCCTCCTGGAATACTTATCTTAACACGTCGCAGAGGGCACGATATCGATCGATCAGACGATTTAATAACCATATTTATTCACCATGAAATGCCTCTCGGTGTCGATTTGTAGCTGTCGGAAAACGCGATTTTAGAACTTCTATTTTACCCTGGCTTGATAGCGGACAACATGAGTACACCAATTGACCTCTGGACTTGATTTTGCCGTCTACTTAGTAACTGGTGGAGGAAGTAGATGATCTTGGCTGAAATAATGGCGAAATACATAAATTTTGTCCATCGACTAAATATACCATATTTCGAGAAAGAAATCAAGAGAGGGTCGCGTTTAAACTTCTAACTGTATTGCTACTGTGAGCTAGCTCTACGTGTTATCTCAGAGTTGTTTTTTTTACTGTCGCGTTGTAAGTTCCAAACCCGTGTATCAGGCGATAATAGTGTGTAAAGCCAACAAAGCTGCCTCGTGGTAGACGACGTGGCTAGTAGCGGAACACTATCCCTAGTCTTGCTGACTTGCGAGCATACTTGTCTAGTTTTAGGACGAGAGTAAGACATCTCGGCACGGGTTCAAAAACTATTATGACGAGAGCGTCTCCAATAATTGAGTGTAGCATAAGTTTATACGGTAGTCGAAAGGAACTACTCTCTTCCTTCCTACGCACAACTACTTCGTAATTTTATTAAACTAACTTGTCTTGTTACCAGACACGACGAGGACTCCATTGCAGTGCCGAGAAGCTAAGTTTAAGGGGCTGTTTCTCCGAATCATGAAAAGATGGCGGCACGTCCCACTACTAAAAAGCAAAAACAAAAACAAATCTTGGTAGGTGCTTTCTCCCGTGTACATAATCGATGGAACGGCTGAGATCGAATTGGTGTGCCGTCTTTTGATCAAGTGTCCCGTCATCCTGACTATGTAGTGGAGCCTGGTGGACGTAGAGACGCTGATTAGACCCTAACAGCATAATTTAATAGATAACATCTCGAGATTTTCATGTTGCTAAGTCGTTAAAAGATAAGAAGGAACCTCGCTCAGCTTATTCTTCTCAATTACAAAGGCTGGCATTAGGGTTAGGGTTGGCTGGCCTCGGGAACCAAAACAGACTTGCCTTTTAGACTACACTACTGAGCGAAATGACGTTGATATCACAAGACATAAGTTGCAGTTGACGATAGATGCTCGATTTGTGGTTTATGGAAGTCATCTCCGATTCTTGCTTAATCACACTTATCTCCCTTAGTGCACGTAAGCAACAAAACCTGTCAATAACGCCGTACTGCCTCCCCATGCAAATTCCTGAAAATGCCCACAAATCAGAAGCCGTCGTGTCAGTCAGTAGCTGACACATCGCCATACTTTCTCAACCCATCAACGCCTGTATACCCAGCCCTTCCGATGAGGCCCATATAAAAGAGCTCCATGTGCGTATGCAATGAGATAGTGATCGTAAAATCATGAACTTGATTCAGGTCCTCGAAATCACCCTTCCATCATTAGATTATTGATTCCTCCAATATCGCCTCCATAAGGCTCAAGGTCAACGACTTCAATCCTGCGCATCCATGTATCCGGCCAGAGAAAGAAAACGCCATGAACATCTCGCATATGTGCTTGCCACTCCTCGTCATATAGAGTCTCTCGATTGTAACATGGCGCTCTATGAGATAATCCTGACCTCCCGGATCCGTGTGAAGGCACTTCAACAGCTACAGAAAGTGATTTGCACAGATCGAGTACTCGAGTCCCTTCGGAAGCGGGCATCACAGTCCATGCTGTCTTGGTACTGATGTTGTGTTCCCGCAATCCCCGAAACAAGTCTTTGTCAGAATAGGGATACACTGCCTCAGAGTGACTAGAGTACTGATTCTGGCCGTGACTGTGTGAAGGAACATGAGCCGAGGATGTTGCAGTGTACGCTGGATACGTATAGCTGCTCATGCTTGTCGTCACAGGATATGGATTTGAGTTTGTAGAGGGATAATATGAACCCCTTGCAGCTCCGGTGTGTGAGTGATGTTGATGCATGGACATCAAGACTGCAGATGGCGAGAATGGATCTACTGACGTTGAAGAATGACTTGAACGCTGCCGTGGGACTGCAGAAGTGTCTCTCATCTGGGGACTCGCGTCCATCTCGTCAGAAATATGAGATATCCTTGACGACGATGATGACGTCTCCCGCTCAAAGGAATGTGGCATCTCTCTACTCGAGAAAGTTAGAGACGGTCGACAGAGGAAATCATATAGCTTACAGTCGTCCTCTCCCGCTAGATCCTTCGGCTATTGTGAGGTTTAATCTCTCATTTTTGATGTGTATCGCAACATGCTTAAAGTAAATCGTCAGCTTACAACAGGAATGGATTCGGACGGGAAGAAAAACCTTTCTGAGATTCGCAGCTGTTTTTGTCTCTTTCTGACAAAAGCCACATACAGATTCGCATTTTTCGATTCGCAAGATTCCAGTGGTGTTCCAAGGAGGATGTGTATGCCCTTTACTACAGGTTGTGTTTCGTAACGAAGTCTCCATCTTCAGTCTTCGTTCTCTTTGATCAAATTCATCGGGTCGCCGTTTTAAAGTCATGTGTTCAAGAGCCCGACAATCTGGTGTCCAGAGTAAAATATATTTAAAAAAACTTCTCTGCGACGACTTATTATTGTTGGGTATCACAAAACAATGACCAAATTATCGCGCGCTGCCTGGGAATCGAAAAAGAGCGCATGGCCGGAAGCGATGGGAAACTTCTCTTCGAGGTTTCGAAAAGAGTTGTTGAGATCTTATATCATAGACCATTTGAGGAGTCTCTCAATGTACGCGGGGAGGAGCTTGCTGCAGGAAGAGGCCAAATCTCATTGATACTGTGCTGGTCATCTCAGTCTGGAAATACTCGCGAATGGAGATTTCATTCACATTCTGTGCGAGATGCGATTGGCCGAGAGGTGCATTGGCGGGCGCGAACCACCAGATGACAAACGCTGGCGGGGGAACCCTCCTGAACTTGTGCTTGATCCCGTCCACCGCTCTTCACTGCGAGATCATCTACAGATGCGACTGGGACGAGGATCACGGGCTTGGAGGACGTTAGATTCCCACCAACTTGCGCTTCGATCCAGCTTACTGGGAATTGGGATGAACATCACCCGTACGGAGGAGAGCAGAAACAAGGGGCTTCGGGCTCGAACCACCACGTGGCATTTGTTTTGTTTCGTGTGAAAATTATCGGAAATACAGAGTGCTTGAGGTCAGTTCCCGTGAGCTCTTAACATTAATTAGGCTCGGTTCAAAGTTCAATAGTTATAGGATCTTAAGATCAAGGTAGCTTCTAGTTCGAACCCAGCTTCTTCCTTTACTCTGACCAGAGCTCTCTGGTAACGCTGCTGAGGTTACATCAGGAAAAGTCCCAGTTCATCCAATGTCACAGACAATGGGGAATTTCCCGGTAACCCAAGAAGCCCAATCAATCCAGATTGAGCCGCGCAATCGTGCATGCCATATTTTGTACGACGCACTGTGACCTTACCGTGATGATATGACGTGGCGGTGTCTTTATCAAGAGTCAAACCCTTGAAACTCCACATGGCTGAAGCTATTCAAATACTAAAAACATACGGAGTACAGATATCATGGAGCCCAGCTATTCGAGGGTCGATATCCTGTGTTATTCTTCTGCAGCATCTGCTGCGGTCTCGATCTGCTAGTTTTAGTCGCATCGGGCGGTCGAGCAATGGTGCCGCGGACGGACGATCCAGGTCAACTGGGTTAATAAATCACCGGCCGTCATATACGAGCAGAATTTCTCGAGAGCTTGAGACAATCCCAGCCCTTACAGTGCGAGCACTCGTACATGTATGTACCATTCCTTCGAGAAGCTGTTTCTTGGAATATTTTCCTTTCTATTACGCAAACGGGAAATCTTTCCGTAAGCAACCGCATGTCTTTGAACATTCTTCATGCTCATGGTCTCTTCCTGGCACAATCAATTTGGTGGACCCCTTAACAACCGGTTGGCAACCTTGGTAATACACTGTGAGAACAGAGAGGCCGAATGCGTCAAGTAAGATCAGATGTAGACAATAACGATGCGATTGGTCTCATGCCTGAGTCGAACTGCAAAATAAGCATCTGACGCTATGCAGAACGTCGAGTCGGGTAATTTTTGCGAAAAGACTATATGACGGTACTTGCATTTTGCAATCCAACAACCAGTACAACACGAGGGCGGATAGCTAGCTGGTATACCCTTGTGAGGATGCTGATGATAGGACTAGGAGCGCCATCGTATGATCGATACTGCCAGGAGCTTTCGTGGACCGGGTATGCCTAGTGGCAGCTTTGAATACAATTCTATGGTGACATCCAGTGCCACCTCGAGTGCAAATGCCGCTGGTTACGCCGCCAAACCGTAGGAATCGCGTGACATTGACTGTGGCACAATGTTGCTTGTCTGGGGTTTCTGCTACCGCGCCACGATTCGGCAGAAGATACTGGGAAGAAAGCTCAAATTCGAGATTATAGTCAAAAGCAGATGTCCAGACGGTCGCCAAATTATATGGCTTCCTATTCCCAAAGATTCCATGATCACCATACCGATTAAAAGGACAACTTGCATCGAATCACGGCAGATGATGCTTTTGATAACGATGTTCTTAGTGTGTAGAATTCCAGACTCATCCTTTTCAATATAGGTTCATTGTTTGATAGCAGCTCCGTGAATTCCTTATACAGTTTTCACGTATTTTGAGACAATACTGTTAGCTAGTAAGTTGACTTGCTTTTAGCATATTAGAACTTCTGAAAATATTTGACCATTGGCACATATAGGAGACATTATAGGTGACAGGTGTAGATAGAGCCAAGACTTAATTGTGCTCCCCCAAATGAGACTGAGATGGAGAACGACAATATACTTTGGAGGTCAAACATTGCGACCATTCCGAAAGCTTCTTCATCATACCTCATCTTCAGGTTTACGATACCTGATGTCTAGATGGCCGACTTGGGTGGAGCGACATGAGTCGATAAATGACCCACGTGGAACCTAGTGACACTCCTCCTGTGTGTCCTTTGGAAATTTTAGCACGAATTGAAAAACATAGTGACTACAAAGGAGCACACAATATGACAAAGGTCGGCAAAACGATAGAAGGAGCGACAGCGACGCAGCCAGTGATTTCCACGAAGTCAAATGTTTGACTTGTAAAGATGAATAAAATTCGTAAGTGATTGTGCTCGCAAAGGCGTATTTGAGGTGTAATTGCTGACTTTATTATACCGAGATAAATATTTTCGCAACAACCTAAGCAAACCACCAAACAACGCCATAGCATTGCTTGCATAGTGTATTGTCATACGCAAAAAAACATTAGAAATCTGCCGTCTCGTTTATCAAAACGGATTTCTACCCTACTTAACGGCAGGAAAGCCCAAACCTGAAAATTTCCTGCTAAAGATATAATCGACCCTCGAAAGCGATGGAGAAAGCTGAATTGTTCGGGCTGCAGTGGAAAGCTTGTGGCAATTATAATTTGAAAAGGATTCACTCAAGACGATAATAACAATACGATAATGACAATACGATAATGACAATGGGGCGGAGTATTTTGTCAGTTCCGAGTTCACTTGTGGTGAATCGAACATGCGGCGCTAGACAATGGTTGAAAGACGACGATATGCTTCATTTGAAGAACAAGCTTCAACCACAACATATAAGACATTCGCAGGTCATCTCGTACACTTTCAACAAATTATTTGTCGGTGCATAAAAATTTGACTATCTTGAAATTTGGGTTTTGAGCTTCCGATATTTTGTCTCTTCACTTTCAACCTGTTGCCAGTGTCAGCCTCTTTCTGAAATCAAAATCGCACATATGCTGCCAACTACGCATTCGCCCAAACAGCCGACCGGTCCCAAATGGAGCGAAATAGAGTACCGGCTACTGGACTTTTGGGTTCAAAATGATCGTGATGAAATGAAGAGGCGAAACTTTAGTCTGCAACAAGTGGCGGAGGAAATGAACAAGGAGACCAAGTGGTTGCATTCCCAACAAGATCTTGGTGAGGGTTCTTCTTCGGCAGAATGGCAATGTCAAATCATGCGCTTTCCGACTAGGAACTATAACGCATCAAAACTATCTACAAAAATGAGAATGATAGAAACCAATCCGGGTTCTTACGTTCCTCTACCTCCCAGAAATCCGGACCGTTTCAACATGACGATCTCAGGAAACATGGCGAAGAACATCAAGGGAAATGATAAAACTTACGAACAAGCAACAGCGATCAGCGCACCTGGGAAAGCAAACGGTGTCACTGATTCACGCAGTATATTGGATACTCAAAGTATCGCTGGGATGGCTAACACAGGGCCAACCTATCAGGCTTTTCGTCAGAGTCAACCCTTAGCTGGAGTCGCATACAATAGACAAACCGAGTTTGGGCAGGAGCTTCCTGCGTTTGAAGTCGACCGAAGAAGACCCCAGTCTCTAGAGCAACCAGCGACGTTTGAAGTCCAACATCAATTTTCAAGTCATCCAAGTAATGGAACCACAGCGTCGCCTCAGGATGCAAATTGTCCGTCTTATGAAAGTCATATAACATCTGCAAACCACCAGAAGTTCCACGAAGACCTTCAATCGGAACTATTTCATCAATATCAAAGCCAAGTCACATCATTCGAGCATCATGGAGGTTCGACACAGGTTGATGTTGGGCAAGAACAACCCAGTATTTTGGGTCTTTCGTCAAACCCATGGCAGCAGCATTCAAAAATTACCTCTCTCTCCCAAGTATTACGAGAGCAAGACGCATCAAGGCCCCAAAACCAATCACAATCGGTTGCCGATTTTCAAAGAAGCCAGCAGTTGCTCCCACGTTCTCCAACGCAGCAGACGACCACGAGTGGCCAGCATTATTCTCCAGATTTCATTAATAGCAATCGTCAAACGTCCGCGCTATTTCCAACACAGAATCGCTTACAGCAGTGGCAACATCCTCAATTTCCACCGGTGGACCCCTCAATTGATCGCACTTCTGTAAATGCTGTGGTTGATCAAAACCTATATGAAGTGGCTTTTCGGCAATTGCAACAACAGATCGCTCTCAACAATACTCAACAACCTAAATCCTATGATAATAGCAATAATCACAGTCAGGTGTTACCTGAAACCATGAAGAAGGGAGAGGGTTCAGAAGACTGGAGAAGAAAGCTCGCTGCTCTGTCCTCTGAGCGGGAGTTCTCAGCAAAAGCTCAGTCAGACAATCGAAGAAACAGCACCGTGACTTCAAGCAACTATGATACATTCTTCTCCAGCATTCCTAGAACGTCGTCAATGACAGGAGCCGCGGGAGTGCAGACGCAAAATCTCCGGAATTCGTCCTCGGGCACTGGAATAGGATCCATTTCGTTGAATGATCGAGAAGTGCAAAGACGAATAGCCTCACAACAACAAAAAATGCACGCTAGCAAATTGCAAGATCCAGTAGCCCGAAAGCCAGAACCAGGCAATCCATTTTCGTCACCTAAGCGCATGAAAGTGGCAGAAGGCGTTCATGTTGCAACTTCAAATGCACAAGTCACTCGACCACAACCACGACGGGTTCCTTTTATTGCTCCAGCACAATCATCAGGACAAGTACCACGGGTTCCCTCTGTTGCACAAGTCACGTCGTCAACACAGCCAAAGAATCCATCCTCTGTTGCCACAGTCCCGTCGTCAGTACAGCCAAGCAATTCTTCCTCTCTCGTTCCAGCCCAACCATCATCACAACCACGACATCCTCCCTCTCTTGCTTCGACCCAGTCATCGGTAGAGACACAACGAAAAGATGATGCTCATTCTACCTCTGGTCATGGTACTTTACCAACGCCACAAGATCTAGAAAAGCCGAGTAAGCAAAATGCCACTCGAAAAAGATCGAATCCCTCACCAGAACCCATCCCTCCACATCCAGCACCAGGCTACCCACCGCTTCGTCGCTCGATTTTTGCTACTCCTCGCCCAAGAGTACCTCGTAAATCAACCCCTGCTACCACCTCTATTGTAGAAACTTTGCCACAGTCGAAAAGTGTTAGCGATGCAACACGGAGCGGAGCTGTATATTCAACAAAGTACCCTGCCATTAACGTGCTGAAAAGTGGATTTGTGCCCGCAATCAATGGACGGGAGTCCGCAGCGACACCATCGATGGCGCAAGCAAATACCAACTCAACAAGTGTTACTAAGAGTGGTAGTAGTATTGATACCAGTAATGAGGCAGTTGGAAGGGCATTGGATACCCTTCAAGAGCAATTACGTGTTTCGCGGAATACTTGGAATAATTGAAATCACGGGAGGCGAAAAAGGGTTAGACGGACTAAAACGTCTGTAATGACTTTTGGATGTAATTTATTTTTGAGTGTTGTTCAGAAACTAGTACCTGGATACCCTTGAGAACAGAAGGAAGACAAATTGGTTGTAAAAAGGGTTTATTTTAGTCACGCGAAAACATCCGTGACACGAGCGCTGTAGAATCAGAAAATGGAAGTGTTTCCGTATAATCGGACCCATCTAACATTAAACGTATATCTTTCTACCGTTTGACCTATACCTTATATTCCCTAACCCAAATGTCATCCTCTCTTGTTTTGGTACAAAAGACTTCCACCACACACTGGAACAAATATTTGTGTTAGTTCCACATAGTTTGTGCATCGTGCTTTGAAGATTAAGGCTCCCCTTTCAGTTCTTCTCTTACATGCCTGTTTCCCAACATGGACGATACATTGCCTCAGCCTGGGTCATAGGTTTCCCACTGTCGTCGTCTGCCAAGGCAGCAAATTCATCATAGACCTTAATTTACAACGACAAAAGTCAAGCAAGGCTAGGGTTATTACGGAGTCAAGTGGAAGTGTTGCTAGAAAACTTCAATATTAAGGGAACCGCTTTCCTCCATGTTGCAAACAACCGTATCATCGAAATGTGCGACATTCTTAATCCCGAACTCTGACTATAAATAATTGATAGTAGACTGTACGGTAGAAATAATCCATCTGAGTCTAATCTCATGATTTGAAATGGGAATGAAGTCCATCACATCGAAGTATACTATGGCGAAGCTTGCACTTCCAAATTATTGCTTACGTATAACGGAAGTTGGATTTAGTATAGTCAGAAACCTCTAACGGCAGACGATGGGGAGATTCTGTCAACAGGGAGAGCCGAAAGTCGTTACTTGTACCGGGGATTACACCGAGATGGTCATTTCGAGAATGTCATTTCGAATGATTATAGATCTGCTGGTCAAATTTGAAACGACGTCCCGATATTGGGTGAACGCTTCATTAATGATGTTTGAGCCATGTGCCTACAAAGTTTTGAATCGAATTTCAAAGAAGGATGAGGTTTCTCTTTCCATAAATGTGGCATCGAGTTATAGGTCATTGAATGGGTGCCTACTTTATCTCTGTCAATATTATCAGAACGTGTCACAGTAGGTACCGTTAATAAACCCTAACCCACTATTTATTTAGAAACCTCTACCCTTGGCATGTTTGAAATTGCTCTATTCATTAAGCAAGTGGAAATAAGAGGACACTTTCGTTCGAAGTCTTTAAGCACCTGTTAAGCGCCTACTATATACTTAAATGTTTAGGAACATCAAACTCTTTTAAAAAACAGCTTTTTATAAGTCCATGCTGTAAGTGGAATTATCGAACAATAATTCTAGAGCTGGCTGAGGGGTATTCATAGAGCTAGGTCTCATTTATGATTTACTCTAGTAACGTTGGGCCACAATTAGTACCTGATAATTGATGATGAGAGCTTTTCCTTGCGACCTGCAATGATGGCGAGGATACTGTATTCTGTATGTAGCGTGTATGGCACTATTATTGCTTGCTATATTCCTGGTGTCAACCTTAATGATACTACTGACATCTACCCACAGATGTTTCAATTAAAACTCGCATGCCTTCTTTCGCATTTATAACAGTGGGTGGAAATTGTATGGCTAAAAGTTTAATATATTTCATCGACTTATGTTTAGAGCTTTACATAAAGCTTAACATCTATGAATCGAGAACACTGGTTATCCTCTGACCAGGAAGCTAACACCTCCCTTGTGCTAATTCTGTAACAATCTTCCTAATCTCCTTTACTTTAAAATATTAAATACTGCAAAGCTTAAGGGTCCAGATTCGTCGATGGCAGATATAAGCCACTCTAGTCTCGCAAGGGCTTTCGTAAAGCATTTTCTGTATATATTATTGCTTCAATCCTGGGGTTATCCTCCAGGTGGCCAATGTTGACCTTTTATCATCCAAGTTAACCCGCCGAAGCCTTGCAACACGCGAATTCTGCTTGAAAGGTGTAGAGATATGGCTTCTGGATAGTTACGGATCATATCTTCACATGGTCCATAGAAGCTCTCCGCATGTACAGCTCAAAATAGTGTGAAGTGTTCTTCGAGGACCGAAAACGCGCCTCTGAACGAAGCGTACACTGTGTCCTGCTCTTGAGGCGACAGAAATGGCAGCAATGAGGTTTACTACCTTGGACATACTCAACACACTCACCAGGTCGGGAGCGCATAGTGAGGACCCAACGACTGTAGCCAAAACTACCTTTGAACACGGGGCAATGACATCTCCCGGCTCACTATCACCTCCCGACCTTGACTGTGCTATGTTGAGACCAGGCCGATCTAGCAAGACATCGCGGTTACGGCGAGGAGCAGGCTTGGAAGAAGAATGACTTGTTGTGTTGGAAGAAAAAGTCCACTGGATGAAAACGAGATTCTTTTCAAAACAAGCCGCAGGACGCAGCTATTATCCGTTTTTGTATAATTTGATCTTCACTGCGCACCGCTGAATGCGTACTGTTGATATGATTTAGCTGACGAAAAATTCAGAACACACGGCATGAAATGTCATAAATCATCATTCTATAACTAGCTATACAATGCTATGTGCAAGCTAATCGCTAAACTGAGCCTCGTAAAATTTTGAACACCTGAAATGCAACACCATCCAACTCCCAGCCATGCAGAACCAGCAAAATAACCGACTTTTACCTCGAGAATTACTGGACTTGTCTTTCCGATATGGGTATATGCGTTTTCATGAGCTCAAGACTTCCTTTTTCGACCAACAACTAACTCACCCCCATCCCCAGATGCTTTCCGCTTCCTCTCCTTTTCCTCCTTCTTTGCCTTCTTTCCCTCCTTGCTTAAGCCGTCAGAGCTCCTTCTTCTCTTTTTGTCTTTCTTGGACTCTGCAACCTCTCCGTGTGCCTCGATGTCTTTTGTAGCTTCCCCGATGTCCACCTCGGCCTGAAGTTTTGCTTGCAGAGCCTCGAAATCGACAGGTGTCTCGCTGGAGGCATGTTCTTCCTTCGCGCGCGATTTGTTCTTTTTCGTATGCGATTGGCTTGCGCCCAGCTCGACTGTAACCGGCGTAGGCTCTGTATCAACCACAAAGTACGGATTGGCTTCGACAACTACCGCGCCGTTCGCTTTGGTTGGTTCGATGGTGGACTCAGCGTCTGCTGCTTCGTCTACATCGCTGCTACTTGATGCATCCTCCATCTCGCTATCCCCATCCTCGTCAACTGGCGCAGTTGGAAGTGTTGGTGCCGGAGCGGAGGCAGCGTTGTGACCAGGCAATAAACTGACAGCCTCCTTCGCATTCTTCACGGTTTCTTTGGCCCTTTCAACGCATCCGACGATAATCTTTAAATGACCCTTCTCCCCTCTTTCCCAGGCGTCCCTTTCAACATCAGGCAGCCCAAGCATGAAGTCCTTTACACTTTGCTGAACCCTTTCCAAATGTTTGACATGACTTTCCAGAACCCCGATATGTTTTTTGAATAGCGAAGGCCATTTGACATGACTTAGGGCTTCCGCAGCGCCCGAAGGTGGCGTCTTGATTTGGAGGTCGTTCACTGATATTCCGTGGGATTTTGCTGTTTTATGTGGTCTTTTGACACCGGAAGCTTCACGAGCGGCGCGTTTTGCTTCTTTTTTCGCGGTATGGATGGCGGTCTTCTCGGCGTTGGCTTTTGGTTTCGCTTTCCCTTTACCCATTTTGATGCAATTGAGTAGGCGATTGGAAAGTTTCGGTTTGTGGAAATGCTGGTCGCAAGTTGGTTGATTTGATTTGTTTAGTATTCGGCGAGGCTGGAGTTTTTTTTCAGGTTTGCGCAGCCTTTACCGAGGTTTCGTGGTTTGCTCAGAAAACGGAATTATGATAATCCGACAAGTCCACCTAATACAGTCGCGACTTTATGACTGTCTGCTACCAATGTTGTAGAAATGGTAAGATGATCGAATTCCTGTTACTAAAACTGAATAATTTTTTCGCTTAAATTTGCCCTTCGACTTTTGTTGGACGCAGTGTGAATATTGCGCGATGTGCAAACTACACCGGCAACCCACTAACCGTTGAACATGTATATCTTTTGCACGACGTGACGGGAGCAATGATCACAATACAGATATCGGTACAGATTGAATTATGTGATTGTTGGTATATCCCTCAAACTCTTAGCCCTGTTACCCATGCCCAAGCATATATCGACAAAAAAACTCCATCGCTATGCAATTTTCCAAGATCCACCAGTTTCCATCCTCTCAAACACCAAGAAGTAAAAATCAAAAAGGGGTTGGCACTGCAGCAACAGCGGCGGGTATCAGGCGTTTATTTAAGACGCTAGATGTGGGGGTAGACGCCAATGTTGCGGAAGGCACTCCAGCTGTGGTTGTCGTTATCTTGATTTTGCCAATATCACACCAATCATTTACATCCTACAAGAATCAGCAAAATCATTCCACGGATAGGAAGTAAACTTACGATGCATGTGATGTATTTACACCAGGAACAGGTAGCGCGTTTTTCGATGCTCTTGTAAAAATTGGTCAGGAGTAAGATGAACACAATCAAGAGAAAGACCAAGGAGGCCACACGAACAAGCCACCAAGCCCACCAAGCTGGCTTACGGCCCTTGAAGAATCCAACGGGCGCCTTGGCGAATGCTTGTGTTCCGGTGATGAGGTGATCATCACTCTTACTCTGATGAACAGGCCTGTAAGGTGGATCCTGTCCGATACGCTTTTGCAATGACGCTGGAGAGTGCAGAATGCAGATGCCCAAAGCGATGCCCATAATAAATCCACCGATATGGGAAAAGTTGTCGAGGCCAGGAAGTAGTCCCAGGACGAAAGATATAGCTATATCCAACATGATGAACGCAAAGTCTTTCCATGGTGAAATCCGCTCTGCCCAGTGGTACAGGAGATCGAGAAGAGTCAAGGCGAGAATCCCAAAAAGCGATCCGGAAGCTCCCGTTGAAGCGATGCCTTCAGCTGCAAAGTTTCCCCCAAGAACGAATCCAAAGATGCCGCTGGCGATGTAAACCAGGAAATAGCGTATGGAACCAATAATCATCTCCATTTCGCGGCCCAAGGTCATTTGAAGCAGCATATTGAACCCGATGTGGATGATTCCGGCGTGAAGGAAAATAGGAACGATAAACCTGAACCACTGATCAGGCTGGTGTTTGTCTTCCAACGCAGTTCCGCTGGGTGCACCAATCCCAGGTATTGACGAGTTGGCAAGGTTGAAACCGCAAAGCTGTCCTAAATTGCACAGCTGCCCAGTGTGCCGATCGGAGCCGTTCTTCGCGACGGTATTGGGGCAAGGGAACGAATTGATGTCGGTCAATTCTTGGAAGTACTCCATGTTGTGCATGCAAGAGACGTATCTTGCGCCCATGTTTATGGTGACATATGGTGAGGGACCGATCATCGGGTTGATCTGAGGCTTGATCATGATGGGGGATCCGGTGAGCTGAACTGGATGATATTAGCAATGATCTCGACGACAAACAACGAAACGTACCATTTTTTACAATCTCCACGATGAAGATAATGATTTGGACAAGGGTAAAAATGTAGGTTACGAATGGTATCTTCTTCTTTTTCTTCAAGAGCCCCGTCAAGCGACCTCTCTCCCGCGTACCTTCTTCTAGATTGCCTGTATTCTGCCGCACAGGAGCGTTGGGATCCGCCGCATCGTAGACATGATCGATACTGTTCTGCTTTGGCGGTACATCGGGGCCTCCTGGATGATCTCGTAATGGGATGTCGTCCGCAAATGAATTTGTTGAGGCCTGCCTTCCACCACCTCCCTGACCATAATATGCTGAATCCGCTCCGATTGTACTCTGGCTGTCAAATCTCGCATTGGGAGGCTGTTTCCCTTGCTGCAGCGCAGGATAGACGTGGTCATCGAATGGTGCTTCGAATGGCGAGACTGGGGAGATGTCGTTCGGTCTCGTTGACTGAGTTCGTGATGGCGGATGTGATGTGTATGGCGGGAGTGAAGGCGCTTGCGTTTGTGATGGGTTGTAACTCGAATAATATGTCTGCGAGTCATCTGGGCGGTTTGTCGGAGGATTGAAGTAGTCGTTGGCAGCCATCTCTGCGTTTCTGCCAGCTGAACAATTTGATCGCGACAAAGTGTTGTAGGAGACTTCGGAGAGCTGCCAGGTTGGAAAGTCGGGTAGATTTGTTGGTAGGATTGATTGATCGTCGTGATTCGAGAGCAATCAAGTTGGGCGATTAATCGTGTCGCTCCGTGTTGGGATTCAGGATCACGAGAATAAATGAGCGGCAGTGAGTCCCATCGATTCGGTAGAGCTGAAAGTCGGTGCGTAATGCTTGGGGCTGTGATAGAGTAGAATTTCGTAGGAGATGTTTGATTCGAGCACTGCCACGAGCGGTAGTAGATAGTGGAGAGGGGATAATTAAAAACAGGGGCGAAATAACGGGGTTCTTACGAAAAGCGGAGTACGCTCGAGTTTTAGATTACTATCGGTGTAATCTATTACGACTTCTACTAGAGATTAATATTCGATCTACTTTTTAGAAAATAGTAAGTAAAAGAATAAGTAGAAATCGCGATTTTACTATACTACTTATAACTCTTTAAAATAATAGTAATAGAATAATTTTTACTTATTTAGAAAATATTTTATAAATTAAAATATTATTAAAACTATTTAGTAAAATAGTATTTAACTATTAAGCTTTTTAGTAAAATATAATTTATATATTAGTATATTATTTAGTTATAAACTAGTATAAAATAGTTATTTTACTAACTAGTAATTAATATTAAACTTAGTTATTATAAAATACTATAATTATTTTTTAGTAAAATAGTATTTAAATATAAAGCTTTTTAGTAAAATAAAGTCTATATACTAGTTTATTATATAATATAAAGTTAATAGAAAATAGCTATTTTACTAACTAGTAATTAATAATAAGATTAATTATTATAAAGTATTAAAATTATTAGTTAGTAAAATATAGTTTATATATTAGTTTATTATATACTATAAAGTTAGTAAAAATTAGTTATTTTACTAACTAGTAACTATTAATATAGTTAGTTATTATAAAGTATTATAGTTACTATTTAGTAAAATAGTATTTAACTATTAAGTTTTTTAGTAAAATAAAGTTTATATATTAGTCTATACGTTTAGCGGCGGCTTTACGGCTAGGCGGCTTTAGGTTAATATTATAACTCTACTAAAACTCTATTAACTAAAGTCTTAATTAATACTAAAAATAAATAGATATAACTTAGTATTATATTAAATATATACTATATCTACCTAGAAACTAACTTATAGTTATATATAACTTATTTATATTAAGTTATTATATATTTATAATATTACTTATAAATAGTTTAGACTTATATATATAATCTATATACTACTATAGTATAAAAACTATACTATTACCTTTAATAATAACTTATAACTCTATTAATTAAAGTTTATTATCTTTTAATATAAATATCTATTTAGTATTAAATTAATATTATATTACTCTATTATTATATGTAAGTAGAGATACTTAAGATAGAATATCTTCTCGATATAGCTACTAACTACTACTAAATAACTTAAGTCTATATAGATAATATAAGTAGTATACTACTATAGTATAAAAACTATACTATTATCTTTAATAATAACTTATAACTCTATTAATTATAATTTATTATTTTATAATATAAATATTAATATACTATAAAATTAACTTTAGATTACTCTATTATTATATATAAGCCTTTCTTATTAAGATTTATATTATATAAATTTTACCTCTAATTAATTTAGGCCTATATATATAATTTACTACTATCTCTCTTCTCTTTTACTCTCTCTTTAGATAATATAATTATAGTTTATATTATAATAATTATATATTCTTAGCTTTTAACTACTCTTAAACTTTATTATAGTACTTAAAAAGAAACTAGTTAGTCGACTAAGACTTAATAGTATAGAAAGAAGACGTAGAAAGACTACTATTATCTAAGAAAGACGTCGAAGATTAGGTTTTCTAAATATTAGAATTTAAAGTAACTCTCTAATTTACTCTTCTACTACTACTTAGATTTAAGATATTTCTATACTAATAGAACTATTAACTTAACCTTAGATAACTACTTAAGTTATATAGTTAAGTAGTTAAGTAAGTTAAAATAATAATTTAGAGCCCTCTTTAAACTTAACTAACTAACTATTAATTTAACCTTAATATTATACTTAATTAATATCGAAAAGCTCTTAACTCTCTACTATTCTAGCTTTGTTAATACGTCTATTGTCTATATATAAACTCTTCTATTTAACTAGGTTACCTACGTTCTCTTTACTAATTTGTCTATAATAGCCTAGCCCTTCGCTTTAACTTTCTATTATAACTAAGATACTATCTCTAAGGAGATTCTATAGTAAGAGCTAAGAGTCTTCGGGATAGTATTACGTAAAGAACTAAAGAGTATATAATAGAGCCCTAGAGCCCTCCCCGGGCTCCTCTAGGTCTAGTAGGCCTAATAGGTCCTTATAATAGAAGAGATTTAGAGATCTAGAGAATAAAGGTTTTATATAATAATTGTAATTTTCTTAGATAAGAAGCTTTATACTTAACTTAATATAGTAATAGTATCTTATTAGTTTATCTTACTCTTATTATAATAAATAGACCTTCGAGTCTATATCTTATAATAATATATCTACTTACTTTATACTAACCTTACGACCTTAGTCTACTATAGGTAGAATATAAATCGTTATACTTTAAGTATTTATTCTAAGTAAGTATAAATTATTAGTAATAGTACCTAATAACCTACTTAGTCTAACTACTAGTTAAGTCGACCTTAGTTAAATAATTATCTAAGCTAAAGAAGAACTTCGCGTCTCTCTACTCGATAAGTTTAATAGAAAACCTAGCGAGGTAAACTAGTTTCTAATAAAAACCTACTTATAATTCCAGACATTATTTTGCCTTATAGTAGGGCTACTGCAAAAATTTAATCCTAGCTACTACAAGAATTTAATTCTAGCTACTATAAGAAAAAAGTAAGTTTTAGAGACCTATTTTTATAGTAAGTCGAAAAGAGGTAGAGTTATTCTTAAACGA